AGAACTGTGTCCTTAATCTCCACTGAAAGTTAACCTGTTGATTTCTATTGGAAAAGTATCAAATTTGTGGAATCATAACCTGGTCTCCCAAAACGTAACAATTTTCCTTTCTGTGTATTTCTCATTTTACTTTGTATAAACTTAATTTTTGTTATAGAAAGGCACAGGAAAAGCAGCAACAGAAAACATCTTTGGAATATATTTTAACTATAGATTTTCAATACAGGGATGTTAAAAAGCGACTGTAACTCCCATTTCCCAGTGTGGTTAATGAAGCACTGACTGGTTTATCTGCAGCATTTTTGGTTTGGTATAAAAACCCTTCTGAAGGGTCAGGTTGGATCCAGTGGGCTTGGGCTGTGTCTGTTACCCTGAGAATCAGGTCAAGAATGGGAATAGGGGAGCACTCTGAGGGTAAATAAATACACGTACGTCAGTTCTAAAATTTGCAATAACAGGTAGGAATTTTGATGCTGATACTGGACTATGTGCCTGCAAAAAACTTTTGGGAGTTGTGCTGGCTTTTTTCTGGTAAATACTGATGATTTGCTGCACTCTAGTGGCTGTTGGATAGGAGCCTTGTGCAAGGTCAGTTGTGCTTGGAGAAAGCTGAGGGGTTATTTGTGCCTGACCTCAGAAAGGTTCAACCAGCTTTTACAAATTTTATTTTAGTTGCCCCCATTTTTGCTTATTGTATGATTTAAGCTGCTGAACGGGAGGCTGGGACTGATCCCTCTTCTTTGCTTTATTCCAAGAATAGTCTTTTCAGTGTCTTGAATTCATATATTTCTCTGGATCTGTCTTCCTTTCCCATGGCATTCCCCCTCTCAGCATTAAACCAGGATCTTGCAGAGTTAGGAGGACTGGGAGCGACCCGTGTTATGTGTGCCTGGGATGAATGGCTGGAAAATCATGTTCCTGCCTTGCCAGCGAATCACTGACTGAAGGCAGAGGGGCTCTGTGCTCTACATTTGTTTCTCTAACACTTTAAAATGTGCCTGGAAAAAGAACAGGCTGTCTCCAAGGTGACACTTCTCCCATGTCGTCTCCAAAGCTTAGGCCCAGGCTGCAGTCTGTGCTGTAATTGAGGTTTTCTTTGGGGGTTTATAGAGTGAGGGGGGTGTCATGGGCAGAATAGGGCCTTCAGACACAATTCATTAGGGAAGCTTCCTTTGAGTCATGCGGTGCAGAAGGACCCCCTGGCTTTCTAAACTTCTCAGAGAGGGGTCTGGGTGTGGCTGTGGGTCCAGTCTGAGCTCCAGGCTTTGTCAATAGTTTATGTCTAAAGGATTATACAGGGGTAATTGAACCCTTTTACAACTTTGCCCCACAGGATTAAGGATAGCAGAGCAAATTTATATATGAAACAAATGATTTACTATGATAATAGTTAGACTAAAAGACCATAATCAGAATTATTTACTACCCACTCCAGGTAGCTAGAACCGCTAGTGCAGTGCCCTATTTTTGCAGGAATATTGAAGCCATGATATTAAAGCCAGCAAAACCAGTTATTGAGTAGAGATTGATAAGTCATCCTTTCCAACAACTGTGGGACAGTCTTTTTCCTCAGCCTTGAGGAGTGACCTTGAGGGAAGACCCCACTCCAGGGAGGAATCTCCACACACACCCCTGGAAGGGGGGTGTCAAAAGATCCCACTGTTCCAAAGTGGGACTGGACTTTATTGTATAGAGTGATTGTCAGGTGTGTGTCCGGGCCAGCCGTGTCAGCTCAGCTTTAGATAAGTTATCAGTTGTATGACTTGTTTGTTCCTTTATCAGGCATTTTATCAGCTCTACCACATCTTCACCTCACTGTGGGGGGTGTTTAACTTTGGGATTGGCGAGTCAGGCTGGTTTGAGCTTTCTTAAACCTCAAAAGCAGTATGACACACACACACACACCCCCTTTCTCTGTTCACCACTGACAGCTTTCCAAATTGGGTGTTCAAGTTGTTTTACCCCCCTTCCAGGCAGAGCATCCTGCTATGGACTGACTCCTCTTATTTGCATTACTTAAAAGACTTTTCCTTTAAGTCCCTTGGATTCATATAATTCTCTGTACCTCTCTTCCTTGACCTTGATACTCTCCAACTCAGAGTTAAGCCAGCATCCTGTAGAGGAGGGGGGACTGGGAGCAGCCTGTGTTCTGTGTGCCTGGGATGAGGGGCTGGAAAATTATTTGACTGTCTTGCCAACAAGTGACTGAGTAAAGCCAGAGGGGGCTATGCAGTTGTAGCATTTGTTTCTGTGAGCCTGGAAACAGAATGGGCTGTCTCAAATATTTTCCCATGTCCTCTCGCCAGCTCCGGTTAATGTTGAAGGCAGTGATGTAACTGAGACTTTCTTTTGGGGTTCATAAAGTGGGAGGGTGTCACAGGCAGAATGTGAGTTCAGACAGACTTGTAGCACTGCTTTCACAGCCACTTTTTTCAGATTTAATCCCATTATTCTGACAGCTCCTGTGGAGTCATGTTGATTTAAGCACACAGAGCTGAAACTGTAGCATGGCAAAGAGATAATCCTCATGGTCAGCCACGTGCTGGAACACAAAGAGCCAAGAGGGAACACCAGTTAATGAATTGGATTGAGATATTTGTGTGTTTATTTGGCCTTTTTTATTAAGTTTTCATTTAATTTAGTTTTAAGGGAGTAAGATGACAGGGGAGCTCAGCTTTAGCCTTAAGCTCAGCAAGAATGATGTTGGGCATCATGGTATTGATTTAATCAGTGGACAAAGGCGGTGTCAGATTTATTAAAAAAAGCTTAAGTTTGAGCAAAAAGGGTGTTGATTTGATGGAGTTGGTTCTTGAAATAAGTAAAAACTCTTATTAGACATTCAGTGACCTGTAAATGTCATGTCTGCTCAGTGGGACAAAAGGGTCCAGGGCTGTGGCAGTGTGAGTGGGTTTCCTGTTTGGGGGTGGTTGTGTTGCTGCACATCCTTGTTTGGGGTTATTTAACTAGCCAAAGAATTGAGTTTTGGATTCAGTTCTGGGTCTAAATATCCATGCAGTGTGTATATGGAATGGTGTTACTCCTCATATCCTTACAGTGTATCAGAAACAGGTTCTGCCATAGCTCACCTTACTCCTTTACCTGTAGAGACCAAATTAGAGCAACATATCCATGATAGGCTCCTAGATGTTTAATTGCTCTCTGATAGAGACCTGGGAAGAGGGTTAGGCCTTGGAAGACAAGCCATCTCTGTGCAGGGGATTGAAAAAGGTGGCAAAAACTGAGGATACAGCTGCTCTTCGTGGCACTGATGCTGCACAGACAAAAATTGCCACCAGTGACCTCTTTACCAGATATTCTGAGACCTGACAACTGTTGTAGCTCCAGGCTGTTCTGAAATGCTGCTTCCCATGCCAAGAGCTTGCAGCAGTTGCAGGGTTCATGGCCAGGATAAGGTAAAGGTGCAGGGGAAGCAGTTTGAATTTTTTTTTCCTCAGGGAAATACATTAAATTTGGAAGTTGCTCACTATCATAGGCCTGAAGTTCTAGGCTGTAGTGTGGGGAGTACACAGCTTGTACCTACAACTTGAGTGACTGCCCATGTATGGGATGAGTTGTCAGATGGAAAGTCGGGCTCTCTGTGTCTTCTGGCCCACTTAATTGTGTGTTGTGGATCCAGCATCATTCAGGAAGTGCCCACAGGTCCTGCCAGGGTGCTCCACCAGTTGTAGTCCAGTTTTATGGAATGTAAACTAAAAGTATCACTGGACACTAAAAGTATCTGGAGAGGTCACCATTAGGGGTAATCCACGGAAGGAGACAGCTCTCACAGGTGGCACGTGGCTCCCTTTGGTGGCAGCTACTGCCAGGATCATCAGAGACTGTTAAAACTCACTGATCAGCTCTGCTGGTCAGAGACCCCAACTCTCTTTCAGGGTTAGCTGGGGAAAAGAGGCAGGAGGGAGCAGAAACTGTGCTCATAAAACTCATTTTTGAGCTGCTTTACAGTCAGACTAATAAAAGCTTGATGATATAACTAATCAGCTTTTTTTTAATAAACCCCCTCAGTTTTAGAACTGGATGGTATTTATTTATATGCAGAAATAAAGGGTTTGGTTTTTCAAGGAGGAAGGAAAGAACGACTTTAGTTCCTGAATTGTTGCTGCCACTTATGAGGCCATGAAAAGCACAACGTTAGTCCCTGCATTTAATGACCCGTTTGCTAAAAAGTAAACAAATGTGACTTCAGAAAAGTTGTTTACTTTAGGTATTTAGCAGAACTGGCCAAGTCTTTCAGCAAAATAGTGTTTGTATTTGGAATTGCTGATAGTGTGGCTCAAACTGAGCAGTATTGAGTTTTTCCCTATTATTCCCATCTGTTATTTCCCACTTGTCCTCAGGCCATTGTGATGGTAGTGCGGTGCAGGGGGGTGCAAGTTCTTGTGGGGGTGTTGTTTGGTTGCTGTGTAGGGTTTTGAGTTGGATTTGTTGTTTGATTGTTGGACTCTTTGATGGGAAAAAGAAGAGTAGGAGGAAATAGTTGGTAACTTTTGGTTTAAGTCCTCACCTTGACAGGTCTCGCTGAGTCTGTGACGAGCGAGTGGTGGCTGGTGCCCTGTGTCCCAGGCTCTGGGTTTATATGGAGTAAACTTAAACTGGCAGCAAACCTCTTCCCAATATTTTCTGTGCATGGTGTGAGTGTAAGATGTGACAGGATTTCACCCTATATTTTTCTTCCCTGTCTTTCTTCTGGTGAGAAACTGTTGGTAGCGGGCACTGGAAAAGACAGTGACTGTAGCAAACAGTCTGAGGCACATTTGAAGGAACCTCTGATGTTTCCAGCCCAATAAAATAACTAGAAGACAAGGCTAGATCCCCTTTGAGAAATTAATAACAACTACTCTTATTAAAAATTTTATCTGACTTAGAACCTATCAATAGTGCTGAATGCAGAATTAAATATGTCTGGAAGGGCACTGGGTACAGAGGAGCTGCACTTCCCTCATCCTGCTGTGCCGGCAGTAAAAGCGAGTGAGCCACCATTTCTACATTTAACACTTGTACATTTTTATTTAGTTAAATCAGCCATTGTACACATTGCAGCTATGTATTGTTAGTGTTGTATCTTTTTAATTTTTAACTAATACATGCCCTCATAGATATATTCAATTAGTGTTATCACCATGGGAACAAGATGCTGATTCGTCAACTTAAAATTCACTTCTTCTCACAGTATTCAAGTTCTCCGATAACACAGCAAAAAATCAAAATAAGAGGTGAATAACCATTATGTTGTTACACAGAACATCATCTGCACCGCAAATAACACAACAGAAATGCATTTCTTGAGAGCCCCATCCTCGAAGACCCTCCCGCGCCGTCTCGGACGGCAGGGAAGCCACGATTGCGCTGTGAGATGTGTCATCACGGGTCTCAGTCGGTTTGGCTGCCAAAACACTTTTTTTCTTTTAGCTTTTTATTTTTTTTTTTTTAATTTTTTCTTGCCTGCCCAAAAAAGTGTCAGCACGGCACCTCAGGTGGTTCTGCCCGCAGGAAGCCAGAACTGCAGAGATGTTTCCATGCTTTTGGCATCATTACCTTAATGAGGAAGTGCCCTTGTTCTGAGCACTGAGTGAGTCGTTAAAAAAACAAAGAACCCTATAACTGCGGAAGGCCAGATAAGCTCGGACAAAGGATTACTCCTAGAGGAGAGGGTTGGTTTTACTCTGGTGTCGAATCTACTATTAAAAAATGAATTAACAGCTGTTTAAAAACATTAAGTCAGTGTGTTTGTGTGTACGTGTGTGATGCTAAAACCCTACGGAGCTCCCTCCATTAAATATTAAGGTATAGAACACCCAAAGCTTCAGATCCTTATGTTCCCTTTTCGGAAAATAAAAGTGCAGACATGCTATCGTGGTTTTTCAGAGGGTCGGTTTAGAAATATATATATTATATATAGTTACATAACAAAATATGAACAGAAACTGGCTGCCGAGGATTGTGAGCACTTGTTCTTTAAAAAACGCTCGATCGGAAGATAAAAACTGCTCGCTCAGTGCTAAGAGGGCGGAGAAGCTGACATGGTTCTAGGAGGGTTTGGTTCTGACCTTGGAATGCCACATGCACGGCTCAGCTAAGAGGCAATCTCGATAAAACACGGTGAGTTAGTTATTCTCCCTGTATAGTGGGTAAGTCTTTTTCCCGCAGTTATCTACAGTGCAGTGGCCAGCAGGAAGTACCACCGGTCTGTCGGTGAGGTCGGCTAAGCGGTGACGGAATCGGGAAACTACCGGAGTTGGAATTGTTTAATACGCCCTGCCCCAGGTCCAGATCTAATAGGCTGTAACACTGCACGGGGATGTGCCATAGCTATAGCTGGGAGCAACTCTGTTACCTAATGGGGTATTATTTCTTGGATTTTCCTTCTGGAAATCTTTCAGCGGCTGTCAGAAGGTCTTAACAGTATTAATGGCCACAGGCAGCTGTTACTCATGTGAACAGCTGGGTTTCCAGGTTTTTAGCCTGACTCTTAGAGCCTTTAACTACAAGAGATCCCTAAACCGTAAGTCTTAGGACTCGGTAGCTGCGCGGCGCTTCCTCCTCAGTCTGTGTGTGTTTTGCAGTAGACGGGGACAATGTCGCGCGATCCGTCGCCGTTCCGCAGCCACGGAGACGGGAGCCACGGGCAGCGTATTTCCTGCAGTCTGGTAAGTCCAAATACTCTGTCTATTTACAGTTTACATGTGCACTCCCTTGTACACAGTCACTGGAAGAGGCCTGTGGATGAAGTCGGCTCGAGGAGCGCCGGAGCGAAGGGACAGCGAGAAGCGGCGGCACCGCCGAGGAGGAGGCGCGGCGGGGGAGAAATCCGCCCGCCCGAAGGATGCTGTCTTTGGTCACAAATTAGCTTACAGGGTACAAAAGAAGAAAAACACAAAATGGATCTTAAGGTGGGTAAGAACTGAATTCACTGCAGCTGCACGAGGAGAAATGGCAGTGACCGGGGCGATAGCGTCGGTCGTGACGTCAACTCCCCAGGGAAGGTGACGGGAGCGCACGGGACGGAGGGTGACATGGAGCTGGGGGGGGCGGGGGTGGGCAGCAGCTTCTCACTCGGCCTCCTGTTTCCAGTCCTCTTGGCAGAAGTGCCGAAGAAGCTGCTGGAGGTCGTGCTGGAGGTCATCCCTGGGGAGCGCTTCTGGGGTGTCTTCCAGCTCTTCTATGTGAACACGTTTGCCACACCGATCCTTCATCACGGTCCTCTTCTGAGTGCTGGCTTTACTTAGGGTTGTCCTGCAACAAAGAAAAGCAGAGTTGTGAGTTAAAAAGATCACAGATCCTGCAGATGTGCAGCAATTTCCTTCTTCAGCTGCCGAGGAAGGGTGACACGTGCTGGATGAAAGGCACATCATGTCAACTCTGAGAAATGACTCTCGAGGGTAAAGGTACGGGCTGAGATTACTGGATCACCATGCTACAACACACAGACATGCACAGAGCAACTGAAAATATTAGAGAGGAGCAGCATTGCAACGGCGCTGAAACACTAGCCCTTACATCATTGGACATCTCCTGTACATCAGCACCCGTACGGGACTAGGGGGAACACCGACAGAGGCAATAAAATTCCTAGTGTCTGATACGGGTCGTGTCAAAAAAGTTCATCATAAAACACAAGTGTGGAGATATTTTTTAGAGGAAATCAATAAACTTGCCAGGGTGCCTCTGTGGTTTCTTCCTAAACAACTTAGCTCGTTTTCAGAAAAGCAGGGAAATGGATGATCGGATGCCATCCGGTCTAGCCTGCTGGGGTATACGCACTGTATAGTCTAGCAGGCTAGACCGGACTCCGCCCCCGCAGGAGGACCCCCCGCCCACTCTGCAAGCCCTTCCTACTTCCCCACCCACTCAGCCCCCAGATGCTTTTTAATCTCTTCATTGCACCCACTGATTTTGCACTTGTGCCTTTTCCTATTTGTCCTCATTCCCTGCATGTTTCCAGGTGAGTTTTCCCTCCCCATGCACTCCGGCCTTCGCACTGACACTGTTTGTTAGTAGTTATCTTTAGTACTGCTCACAATCCAGCGTTATGTGCTGGTGCCTGTTTCACTTCAGGAACTCAACTGAAATCCACTCATACACTGTGAGTGTCTTAATTTTTTTCCAGCAACTGTTTGTTGACATGCCAAGGCAAACCTTTTAATTATCGATCCATCTTCTTTCCTGATTTCTTTCTCTACTAAAGCAGGCAGTTGGAATTTCACGTGGTTACCTGTATAGCTCAGAGCCTCCAATGGAAACATAAACTTCAGATTAAAACAAAATTGAAACAGAGCACAAGATAATGCCTGTTTCCACCTTGGTGGGAAAGAGGCTATTAAAATAAGCAGCTGGTTGCCATTTGCATCGCTTCCAACACTCCTCAATGCTTTTTATGTGCTATTATTTCCTCACATAAAAAAAAACACAAACATACATTTCATATAATTCCACACAGCTTTTATCTACTTATCTGTGTATTTTATCTCGCTGTTCATCTATTTTAAGCTCTAAGGTGTGCTATTCAAAGGGACAATAAACTGGATTCAGATGTTGAAACACTCCTTTTAATACTTCTATAAAAGTTACTTGTACCTCTTCGAAGTCCTCTTTGGCTGATGGCAGATCGGAAGCTAAGCTGGCATCCCCCAGGTGTTTCTCCGTCCTCTCTCCGTGCACTACGGTGGTCTTGATGACTTTGCTGACCTTCCGGCCTTCCACTGGCTCCGACTGGAATTTGGAGGCACTAGGCACGACGGCAGGCTCCGACAGGGTCACCTGTAAGGAGATGAGTTCCATACTGCACGATTTGCTCTGGCAAAAGATGCCTTTCACGCCTATGGGCTCTGTACAGTGAAGTGTACCTCTGTTAAGGGTCAGCCAACAAAATAAAAAGCATCTGTTTGCTTATGACCTTACTCCTATAGAATTAATTCTGATGAGGAATTCTGGCAAGAAAAAACGTAAGTGACATTTTTTGCATTTCTAGTAACTGTTTGTTACTCACTACATCTCACCCCAGGACTGGTGAAAGCATGCCCTAGGTCCCAGCTTCTGCCCTCTGTCACAACAGTTTTGCATATCCAAAGGTCTGCAGGGCCACACAGTGTAAGCGTGGCAGGAGAAGGCAGATTGAAAAGCACTCAGCTTTTCAGGTTGTTTCTGTTTTTAATTATCTGGCTCTAAAACAGCTTGCATCAAAGTCATAGGTGTTTTTCAAGCAAAGAACACACCAGTAAGTTAATCTAGCTGTAGACTCGGTTTTAGAATGACCACAATAAGATGCAGTGACTAAGTTCCCTGTTGGAGTGCTGGTGCTTTGTAGCATTGCGAGGAAAGAACCATCTACCTCTGACTGCTCGCTGTCGCTCTTCAGCACAACCCGTTTCACAACTTTGGAATAGCCATCTCCTTCTTCAAGGGTGACAGGTGCTTGTGGTGCTCCTTGCACTAGGACTTCCTCTTTTTCTGTGCCATCTGGAGAAACGTACCGACGGATGATCTTCCGAGTGACCTGTGGGGACGAAACGGAGCTTAGTCCCAAAAGAATTAGCAGCAATGTGTTCCTCCTTGTTCTCTATGCAGCATTTTCCATTCAGAGGGCATCTTTTCTTACATGAAAGAACCTGCACAAATGGTTTACTCTTTTCCCCACAAGTGCTCACAGGGACCTGTGGTGATGCTGCCAGTTGATGCGGTCTCCTTACTTAGGTCACCACATGGCAAAGCTTCCATGAACCTACTTTGTAGGTGGGCACAATAGAGATAGTGGAGTGACTCCCTGAAGCAGTGATTATAACATTTCAGAGAGAAAATACACTTTACAACTGCACAACCACTAGGAAATGCTTTCAGACTGGCATTTTCAAAAAGGCTTCAGAGACTGAAGAGGTGAGCAGTTTATCAAACGCACAGAAATAAGATTCATGGTACTAAGCACTGCTGAACTAGTGAGCTAAAATGAACCCACGGAAGACACTCATCTGGTGCTCGAGCTCTCGAGGCACAAAGGAGGAGGAGCAGAAGACAACAATAGGGTCCAAGATGAGAGAAATTTCTCAGGAGGATGGGTGTGCATCCTTCTATGGATGACCCAGAGCTGGACACAACATCGTCCAAGGCATCCATAAGAATACAGTCACGCTCACTCCTGTACATCAAAACCCAGGAATATTTGGCTGGGGTGGTTTATTCTAACATGAATTCAAGCAGGTACCATTTTAAAAAAACCAAAAAACAAACAACTTGCTTGTAAGACACGTGGGTCTGTGCAGAATTTATATTGGCATTACATGGGAAAATTAACAAAATATGTTCCTCTTAGGTTATATACTGTAATACAGAATGATCTTGAGAAGCAAAATAATTTTTCGAACTTTGTATCTCTCATGAAAAGAAATTCACATTCCTTCCACTCTCTACTCTGGAAATTATGCCCCTTCCATAGCAGAAAATCTGGCATGTACGTGGATGGTTTTATCCTGTCATCTATAGGACAGGAAAAAGGTAGGAAGGGGCAGAACTGACAATACCTTCTTCACCACTGTGTGGCCATGTTCATCTGTATACTGCTCTTCTGTGACTGTTTCTGGTGGCATGTCAGGCATACAATCAGCCTGTATGACAAAGAACAAAGGTGTGTGTGAAGCGAGGCCTCCATGTGGGGTCACTTGAAACAAGCAATTTTAAAATCGGTTAATCGGTTATAGAATGGGGAGAAAAAATTGACAAATGTTGGAAAAAAATCTGTTCTGCAAATAAATCCTTAGAAAGACATGCAACAAAAAGTTATGCCACAGCAGACAGGCAAAGATATGTTAGTTGACTGTGTTGTGTATGGGGCTAAGGAGTCATCTTCCTCCTCCTACCAAGGTGCCTAATGGAGTTTAGAGTTGGGTTAGCAGTATTACTGTAATCCTAAGGTATTGGAATGGCTTATCCAATGCCCATGCATTATTTGGGAGCATCCCAGCTTGAGCTGTGACTCCAGCTAAGTGGCTCTCCCTGCGTTTCAAGGTCCTAAGGCACCACAGGCTCATGCAGTTGTTCACCACTCGGTACCTGAATAATCACCCGGCGCCGAACGACCCTGGTAGTGACCATCTCGTCCTCATCCGAGCTCATCTCCAGCCCACCCAACTCCTCTGCTACCTCCTAGGGGAAGCATGGAAGCACAAGTGCTCTGTTGGGTGTGTGCAGCAGGGTGAATTTATGCTGATACTTTTGGTCTGTGTTTGGCCCCAGCCACCTGTAGTAGTTTATATTCTCCCTGCCAAGGTCACTGATAAAACACTGAATTCGTCCCTGGAGGGACAACTTCTGTATAAACTATTTTAATTGGGACTCTACTATTGGTTCATTGTCTGCCAAGGGCATCTGAAGGAGAAATCCAAGAGGAGAGGAGGAAGGCTCGGTCCCCGACTCAATTAGAAAAGACCCCCAAAGCGTACTGTGCGTGCGTGAGGGGATTGCCGAACGTCTCACGCGTGAGCCCAAGGGATGGACTCACATAACCAGGAGGGTGGGATTGAGAACCTCTGGCTGGGCGGTGATGACCACTCCTGCCTAGGCTGAGGTCACTCAGTTCATTGTATAAAAGCAGATAGTGCTTTCTTGGAGGTGTGCTGGCTTCACACCAAGGACAACGGTGCCTCTTGGCAGGGATGCCTGCCAGTTGGTGAACTTACTGACTCTCCAAGGATGCAGCTTCTGCTATGGGTACTTATAGGCACGCTAGGTCGGTAAGATAACTTTATGGGCAACAGCTGGGGAACTGGGGAGATTGTGCTGGGGGCTTATTTCTCTCCTCCTTCCTCCCTTTTGGGTTTGTTTGTTTTGTTGGCCACCTCTTGGTAATAAATATCAGTTTTGTTGAGCTTGCAACAGTGTCATGGTTTTCAAGCTTCAGTATGTTTGAACATCCCCCTAATACAGCGTGGTACTAGCAGTACTTACAGCTTCTGCCTTGTTACACCAGCCCTGGAATTCCTGCATATTGCACATAGTTTCTGTGTTAATTACACAGAAAAATATATGAAAGCCTACTAATCCTCCTTGTTGGGAGGTACATAGTGCAGCACACACAGCAGGACTGAACAGTTTTAACTAGAGGGAGGCATATCAGGACCAAGTGCTGGAGTTCCTGGAGTTCTCTCTCCTGCATAGGGGAGAATTAGAAGTCTAAATGAAGAGGTCAGAAGGCAAAGAGAGGCTAAAAAGAATGACTTGGGAAATAGCAACACTATGAAAACATAAAGGGGAAAATAAATTAAGGAGGTGTGTTTCTTTTTGGCGGTGTCAGTTGTTGTTTTACTTTAATAAAAGAACCGGAGGGAAAAAGCAGCCCATTATTTTAAGGGCAGTCTTTCCTACAGCAGCCGTTGTACTGAGCCCTCTTGTAGGTACTCTTTCAATCACCTGACACACCTTAAATTCCACCTTTTTCTGAGATCTCAGAGGCCCTCCATTCTAGAGGTGGTACATTTGGCCACATAAACAGCAGAGGCAGAAGAGCCTGTTTCTAATGAATGTCAAGGTGAATTGTCAAGACAGGAAACAGTTTCTGCATCAGTAGAAATGTGCCTTCTCTGCTCTAACTTAACTGATAAACTCAATTTTCAAGGATGCCTTCTCCTTAGCTTTCACTTAGAACAGGCAAAGCAAGCTGTTTATTCCTAAACCTTTATCAAGAAAATTTAATTCCCCACTAAAAGCCATATGGTTTGCTTTCTTTCCTTCCCTCTTGATGTCTTTCCCTCTCGGAACATCACAATAAAGTCCCTTTGTCTCACATAGCCAAAGACCTGCCTCGTATTGTTTTTGATGTTCTCTCTCCTCTCCCATTCCCATCTCTCTTTATTGCCTGTATGCTACATAAACACCATTCTTCCAGTACATCCTTAGTAAATGCACAACCTGCTGCCTCTTTTCCATCTCACTAACTTTACAGATCTTTCATGCCATTTTTTCATGCTGTTCTGGGCTAGCCTTGCCTTTCTTTATAAGCTTTTAATGTTACTACTTTATTTTCCACTACATCTGTTTCAGCTTTTGCTTGTCCATGGTTTGTTTCTGCACCTGTTAGTAACGCTAATTTTCTCTCTGTTAACTGTCACAGATCAAAGGTCAAAAAAGGGCAGAGCAGAACGAGAACTACAGCCTAGACTTTAGGATCCTGGGATTGCTTCAGCTTTGCGAAGCTCTACAGAAATGCCTATAGCTAACCCTTCTAGCCACAGAGGGAGGGAGAAAAGACTCCGTGGCAGATGGGGATTAATTAAAAATATTCTCATCCTAAGGAACAAGTGAGATATAAAAAACCTTTTGTGTCCATTATTTTGAAGTAAAATTGTTCTTTACCTTTTCTAAAGATTCCTCTTCATGGCCCCTTCCAGACTTCTCCGTCTGCTCATCGGTTGACTCCACTATCACAAGACTAGTTCTCCTTGGAGAGGGGTCATCCTGGTGGAGCTGGGGGTCCTCAGGCTCCTGGATGATGGGAGAATCACCTCTCTGTGCAGACGACAGGGGCTGTGGGGATGGTTTTTCTGTCTCTCCCTTGGCTGTGCTTCCTGCTTTCCCAGTTACCGGTGCCGTAGACTGCTCTGTTCCTGGAGCTGTGACCCTGTGAATGTGAATCACAGGTCCAAGAAGTTACACCACCACGCAGTGCTTCCCAAGTGCCAAAAATTGAACACAACACAGTGAATCAATATTGCTGCATCACCTGTTACCTAGAAATAACTGGTACTCCTTGACAAGAACTACACAGTAATCTGCCTGGGCATCCCTCTCACCTTCCCAAGCCAATCTCCAAATGAATATCCAAACCTTGCACCCACTTCTGCACAGCTTGGTATTTGTGAAATATTTCAGTGAGCTTCACTGTCACCTGTGCCCTCACAACTCTATATATTACCTACTATCATTTTAGGGAAAGAGATTGGATCGCTATAGATGGATGAGGAGCAACTACTACATTAATTACAATCTATAAAGCTGCAGGGGAGGAGACCAACTGTTATGTAGAATTCCAGAGCCTTACCAAACAGAAACTTAGTAGAGAATATGATGTTGATGGTATTGCTATTTTCATGGTTGAACACGGCTATGATTTCACTGTTGTTGCAAGTTACTGAAAACTATTATTACATACATTACTATGTAATATATATATTAAGGTAGTACATCTAATTCAAGCATATATACGTGCAATATTCTTGTATAATTCCTCTTAAAACATCTTCCTTACAAGCTATTTAAAACTAGCCCAATTTTCCTCTGATTTTTAGACCTGCAGTGTAGTGATATTCCCCTGCCATCACTCCTCTTGTGTAGTATTGCCAATATTGTCTCACATGTGTTCTCTATTCCTCGAAAACATTCATTTCTTCAGGCAAACCCTTAGGAAGCATTGGTATTTTTACCTATTGGTGCAACAAAAGTCTTCTACGTTAGATGCTCTTTTCTGTCTCCCACTCTCTCTGTCCTGGCTGTAAAGCATATCCTGAGCACAAGAGACCATCTGCTGGACTCAACTGCCCTTTGACTGTTTGGAGCTGCATCTCCACATCAGAGGTAATCACTGATCAACTTGATCAACCCAGTGGAGAGGTCTCAGCATGGTCACAGGATTGGGGATAGTGTGGATAAATAAACATGATCCATTTCAAACCAACCCAACTGACAGCCCCACAGAACAATTCAGGGTTAATTCCACTAAGTTTAACATTACTTCCCATCTAACACACAAAAACTTATACGCAGTTTGGAAAAAAACCAACCCCACCTCTACATTAACCCTCTTTTCTTCCATATGCACTACACTTGATTATTGCTTTGTGTTCGCAGTGACAAACTGACTTTCTCTCCTGAGCCTTAAAGGCTTCCTCCACATGGATTGAAAAATCAAGCCTGGGCACAACTGGAGGAAAATTAAACAGCATTCCTATGTTTCAAAGAAAACTGTAAAAATCCTCTTATTACACAAAGAAGAGGGAATCTGTTCCACCTAGGTTTCACCCTGGACACTTACAGATATTCATGTTGTGAAGCAGATGGTTTTCCTGGCACGTCTTGGGGTTTCCCTGAGAATTCAGTTTCTACTTGTTCCTTATGTGCTTGCCTCAGGAGCTCAGCCATGGATACCTCTGCCTCGCTCCTGGGAGTACTGTCCTGAAAAGGAGAATAACTGGCAGACACTTCTTCCTCGGAGACGAGAGGAGGGTGTTCGGTTGGCTCACTGTCTTTAGATATTCTGTGGTGTTCCTGCTTGTGTCTTGAGCTGTACACTTCTTCTTGCAGTGCAGAAAACCCTTCAAAAACACACAGAGGAGAAATGGCATCACAAGAATGCAGGAACTCCCTCCTGTGCTCCACGTGCATTTAAAATCCCTGCATGGAACACATTACCTGCAATTCTTAAACATCTCGAGTGGGACAGGACATAACCTCTCTAAGCAGCTGAAGTAACAATGGAGTACCACTACTATTGCCAAATTCGGACAGTAACAAACAAAATAAAGTTCACCCAGAAATTTAGATAAATTAATTAATCTCAAAACCCTAAAGTATGCAAGAAGATTCACAACAGGATTTGATAAAAGAACTAGCTCATTTATGTGCTTCAAAGCATAACAAACACATCCACTCACCCGCAACCCCTAATCCCAAAGCAATATTGAATTAAGCACATAGAAGATTCACTACTGCATTCACATAATTTGGAAGTGCTTCTTCAGTTTACAATCAATGATCTAATACAACAAACTTTTAAACTTAAGAAATGGAATCTCATCCTAGCAGAATAACAATACCCTGGATACTCGAATCCAAAGGTTTTGTCAAAGCACAGAGAAGTTTCCCTTTTACAAGTCTCCACCAAATCCTAATACAACCTTCTGAATTGTCATGAAAGCACTTGTATGGGCAAAAGAACCCCAATAAACTTGGCAAAAGTCTCTGAGCACATTATTTGCTTGCTAAGAATCAGTTAAAGTGCAGATCTTATCCCTGGTGAGACAGTGACCCACGTGATGCCAGGCTTGCATTCATTCATCCATACTACCCGTGCTTTCAAAATGGGATTCTAGTGCTCAAACATTTCCAAACAGAGGCTTCTGCAAACTGGCTGAGCAGCCACTTACCTTCGCTGTGGTCCAGTCCTATGGACTGCTCCATCTCCGTGTAGGTGCGGGTGCCGTGGATCTGCGTGGACTCGATGCCGCTGGTCTCCATGAGGTGAACAATATCCATCCGGTTGATTTTCGTGAGACATTGGGTAAGATTTGTATCTGTGGCATCAGAACAACACCGTGGAGCTCAGTTAAGAATTAAACATGGTCTCTCCTTTCTGTTTTCCACGTGAAAGGCATACACGGGATACTGACCGATATAATATCATATATAAATTACAGATGCATTTGGAAGCATTGCTATGTAAAATCCAGAAAGAACCGAATGGCTGCCTACAAAAATTGATTTTTCCTTAAACAATTTTGCCATGTTATACAGATAAGACTAGAAATAACATTCTTTAAGTATAATCCATTCTTTCCATAGGCAAAATATTGCCCAAATTTCCTCTTTGTGATTACAACACACTCAAGTAGCAAATAGGAGACAGTTAGATGTCAAATGGAAACAAACCTGTTGCATGTTTCCCATCCCTTTCAAGCCAGTACTTGAGGAGTGCGTGGCTCTGGTCTTGAAGTGAATTGGGATTTTCAATTCGGATCTGGTGAATTTGCTCTTCTGTGAAATCCAGTTCTCTTGCTAGCTCTGAAAAAGAAATCCATCTCTGTAAAGGGGTTGTCTAGTACTCCCCTGGACTCATTTTATTTACAGAAAAGTAAATGTCTATGAGTTACAGCTGAACCCCAAAAATCTGAAAAAACAGGAAACTGATGTCTTTCTGATGAACAAAAACCAACCACTATTTCACCCTCCACAGTAACTTTTCACTAAGTAATCTTTAAGAGAAGCAACCTTTACCATAAAAAAAAAAAGGACTATTTATGGAGGTCTATTAACCTGCCCTCCCTATAACACTATAGAACATTAATGTCTATCTTGACAAGCATCCACTTTTTCCAGTTTTGTTTTCAGAGCTGTCTATTAAATTTTCAGTGTATTCCTAATCTGTTACATTGCGCAGGTCCAAGTCCTACTGATTTCAGGATAAATCCATGTTGGGATGAGTGACACACGCTCCCAGTTACTCTATGGATTGAAGCAGAGGACAGGAAAGGAAGAGGTGAGCAACATAAGCAAAAAGGTATCAGTGATGTTTTGCGTGTACTCTGAGGACACTTCTGAAAACAGTATAGAACACAATCTTCACTATCAAGGAACTAAAATGTTTTCCCTGGTGTACAGCTCTTCCTTAACTCCTAGAGCATGGCTTATTTTCAGGAGCCTGATACTGCCCTAGTGAGAGATACAAAAAAAGTGCAGATCTTACATAATTTTTTGCACCAATTTTTTTGTCAGACCGCACAGTTTGACACAGCAGAGAGATTTCTGCACAGCTCCTTCTCTTTGTAAGAGCCTTGGAGCTGATTTTCAGTGACATCTGCAGGTCATTCCGTGTTCCTTTCACTCATCCCCAGCCCCGTTCGCTGCCTCAGGTCTATTAAACCCACAGTCCTAAAGGGATTGGTAAAAGTTCCTTGTTATCCATTTTAGGAATCTTCAGTAACCCAAAGACAGTAAGCTGATGAAATATTTCTATAAAACATTTTTTAGATAATCAGGAAAAGAAACAAGAAAAGAGTGCGGAACCTCCTTTTTCTCCGGAGCAGAGGATGTGTATTTTACCTGTCCAGCTGAATCCAAGATGATCAGCGATGTGGGCCAGTCTTTCCTCTGTCCTTTCCTGATCATCCTGCTGATCTAAAGGTCAAAGAGAGCTACAAGTTGCCTTTTACAAGTTAAAAACAGTTTCAATGGGTGATACAGTCCAAGAAGGGAAGGTGCTGTTTTTTCTAACTGCTGTGTCTAAATGTGGACAGGCTGTGTAACTAAAGCAAGGACTGTAAATCCCCAGGTTAAAAAATAAAACCAAAAAGCTTGATTTTTTTTTTTAAAAAAAAGCACAGGACTATCTACATTTTCCATTTGAAAATCAGGCTTTCCAGTGAAAATCTAAGCCAGGACCGAAGCGCCTACTGTGACTATTTAGGCCAAGCATTTTATTCTAAAACTTCATTCTAACATTAAATTGAAGACTTTATCTAGGTCGAGAGCCATAATTTTCCATGCCTCCTTAATAAATGCCAGGGTTGAAGAATTCATCGGGACCAGTGCTTCCGATTACGTTCTTTCTGTAGTAGGGAAAGTTCTGTTCAAACAGTCCATACAGCACTTTGGAATATGGTCTGTATTTGAGACACTGTTAATTTAAGTGTCTTTGACCCTTTAGACTAGGGAGTGAGACAAAATACTCACAACGAAGGCAAGGAAAAATCAGGTGGTCATTCGTCAGTCTTCATTTACCTGGCTAAGGGTGAGACTGACGGCTCCTCCCATCCCCACAGCTAATTTGAGGATGGCAGAGTTTGAGTTTTGATTTTCCCTGAGTGCACACACAGACTGTGATACCTCAGAACCGGGACATTGCTTAGGGTTCACGATACATGCACGTGTCATTTCAGCTCCCAGATTTCCATTGTGGCGGCTCAGCAGGAGCACACAAGTAGGTGAGAGGAAAACTGAACACCGGAAAACTTGTACTAAAATTACCAGTGACTCAGAGCTTCCTTGAGACACAGATCATCAAAAAGGAACGTAAAAAGCTGAATTCTTTAAAACTTCTGCAGATCTCTTTGTGTAACAACTCGAAAGAATATTAATTTGCCCGTCTCGCTTGCAATCGATGCCCAAGCATTTTATTATTAGCAGAAGTTAATAGTTAGTAACAGAGCCAGGGAAAGTCAAAAGCCAAAACGTGCATGACTTAAGCAATCGCTTTAATGGCAAAACAATACATATTTTTAGAAGTGTTTTTGTTTCTTAAGGTAACACTTCCCACAAGCACTTATGGTTTGCAATCTTGAGATCGGTTCACAGACAAGAACACAGACACAACACAAAAAAAACCAAACACGGCTCACAGGGGGAAAAAAAACCGCACAACTAACCACCAAAAGCTGAAAAGAAAATGCCACACGCGTTACACCTGTACATAAACACACACACACACACGCACACACATACACCCCAAAGGAAACAGAAAACAAAAAAGTTTAATTCATGACATGCGTCGCACAGGGAATCCCAGTCGTTGGCAAATACCTTCAGCATGGTCATGGACATTTTCGTCAGGGATACGTTCAATCTGAGTCTCTACAGACTCATCCCAAATGGGTCTGGTGTCAAAGATGTCTTCAGGAACTGACTGCTGAGTCTCACTGGATGGCACATTTTCAATAACTGAAACTTCTAGGGCACTACTGCTTTCATCATCTGAAACTAATTCTTGTTCTCTCTCTGACTGCGTGAGTCTTTCCACTAATTTAGAGGCTTCATCGCTAATTTCTTCAAAGAACTCTATGGAGTTTTTGTAAAGATCAAAAAAATGGTCCTTACTTTCTTTCGTGGGACTAAAAGCACCGCGGGAGCCTGTAGTGCTTCTGTTTTTAACTGGCAACCGTGATGAAAATACCTTCGATCTTGCTGTTGCTGCCTCATCTGAGTCTAGCTCAAACTTCATCTCACTCTCCCTCTCTCTGGTCTCTGCTTCCGCCTCAGCATAACTCCTAGCTTTGACTGAACGCTTAGCCTTTGGGTCCACGGGACTACTCGCATCAGATTCCGATTTACTCCGGTTATCTTGTTTCGTAGGTACAGCGCTCGTCATGTCGAGAGCTTTGGGGGACTCCAGCTTGCGGGCAGACGTGTCCGCGCAGGTGTACTGTGGTTCCGCTTTTTGGGAAGCGGATTTGACGGGAATTTTAGACTTTGGTTTTGCTTGCTCGTCTTTTCCGTCACACTGCGAACTGTCTAGGAAGTCGTCCGGGGAAAGGCTCTCGTTTTCCGACTGTTGCGAGGATTGCGATGCGGTGGCAGCTGTTCGGACAGGGATTTTGGATTTGCTTTCACAAGAAGGCACGCTCTCCATTAGAGCAGTGGGGATTTCAATCACAGATCTCTGTTCCTCTGGGGAAGAGTCCGGGGACTCCTCGCCCTGTTCGGAACTAACTGATCTGGTGACTTTGGAAAAATCTAATTCATCTTCTACCGCACACTGCTCAGGAGAGATGGGGCAAGGCACCTGACTGCTATCGACCGGGTCGGTCTCTGTTCTGGAGAGGGGCTCAGCTTCAGAGGCAGCAGTTTCTTTCTTTGGTGATTTTGAAGAAGCTGAAATACCCATTTTAATTGGAATTCTGGATTTAAGATCTGCTTTTGAGGTGCCCGTGCTGACACCTTCACCCGTCATTTCTTCTGATTTATCACTAGACTCGGGTGACGGGGGTGAATATTTCACTGTGTCTTTTTCTGGTATATCTGACTCCTCTGATTCTGAAGGTGCAAATGGGTTCAGCGAGCCCTCCAGCTTCGAAGATTCCTCCTCTGCTGCTTCTTTCACTTCTTCAGATAATGAAACTTCTTCCTGAGCCTCCTGCCCACCCTGGAAGAAGTGAAAGCTTTCATCTGGGTAGTTCCTTTTGGTCATGTCAATGGCTCCACTTCTAGTCATCTCAAACAACTTGCCTTCCTGAAAAAGAAAAGGGTTTTGTTCACTGAGTGGCGTCCCTTCTTCAGTGGGTGTCCTGGCCGGTGTCGTGTCAGGGGTTGTGCCTTGCGATCGCCTGTCTACCATCAACCCAAATATCTTTTGTTCCTCTTCTTTCACCCGAGCTTCAAAAGCTTCATCGTCTTCACGTATTTCGCTCCACATGTCAGAATCCACATCTGTTCTAGTGATGACAACGTGACCCATCAATTTCTCTGTTTCATCTCTTATATCCTCAAGGGCAGATTCAGCTAATTGCGTGGAATCTTGTGACATTGTCTGAAATCCATCCTCTGATTTGGGCTCTATTTCCATATACACTTCCTCTGAAGAGCAATACTCACTGCCTGTGTCTCTCCTAAGTAAAGCTTCACCCATCTGATCTTTCCCTTCTGCAACAGAACAGGTTTCCCTAGAGAGCAGACTTCTACCAGACCCTACCTCACTTTCAGAGTCAATAAAGAAATGTCCAGAAGACACATTTTCATAAGGGCTCACTATATATGGAGCACTACTCTCTGTGGCATCTGCTACACAACTGTCAAGTTCCACTGTTTCAGTGGTAAGGGATGGATACTTTGGTAAGGGTTCCTCAGCAGGACTATCTCTTTGAGATGTTTCAAAATCTGTATCTGCTTTTCCCAAATCCCTTCCCAAAGCAGAATGGTCAGTGGTATCATCTTCGGCCAGTTTGCCATCTTGTGGTACAGAGTACTGGGTGGTACCATGCCCACAAGAAAGGCCCCCTGCCTTCTCTGACACAGCTCCTGTAGAAATGAGATCTCTGTGTAATGATGCTGTGGGTTCGACATCCTTTTCGGTAGCTTCGTATTGCTCGAGTGTTAACGAAGACTCAGCGTGAACTTCTTTCTGAGGACTGTCACCAATGGAGTGACAGAGAGTACCCCCAGGTCGTGTGACTGTCTCACAGTCACCTGTACTGCCACAACATTTAGATTCAGCACAACCATCGGAATGACAAGTGCCTGATTCTCCCGTGGAAACCTCACAGCTGCGCCCAAGGACAAGCGGTTCCTCTTTGTCACCTTTGCCTTCTGCTTTAACCGCACCTGTCCCGACAGAGCATTGTTGGGAATCAATGGGTTGGAAACCTGCTTCGTCGGGGCTGGAGCTGGAGTCCATACTGGATGGTAAAGGTGAGGGTGGCTGCACTCGGATCACAGGCTCCATTAAGAGGCCTGAGTCGGCTTCTTTTTTGAGCCGGGTCAATTCTGGCTCGCTTTCCGAAGAGGAAGAGCTTTTCCTAGATTCAGCTGCAGGTGTAACTACTGTAGGTACATCTTTTTCTACTACAGCCATTGGCTCTGATGCTTCGGTTTCACATGGAGCTTCTGAGCTGGCAGCTACAGAAGATTCATCTTGCTTACGATTCTTTTTGTAATCTCTCTTCTGCTTTGCTTCTTGTTCCAATTCATCAAACATTTTGATTTTGGTCACCATTTTAAACATCTCCTCTTCGGGGGTGAATCTCTTCTTCGGTTCGCTTTCCGAGTCATCCTCTGGCTCTTCATTGACTTCAGGGATTGTGGCCGATTTTGGTATGTTTGACAGTGACTGCAAGTCTGCCGTTTTAGGTGTGATTTCATAGCTAATTTCTTCTGAACTAGGAGTCTCGGGTGAAACGGGACTTTTCCCCGAACTCTCCATGAGGGATGTTTGCTCCAGACTGTCATCATCGGCACTTCCCTCGGGGTCACGGAGAATCCTGGAACGCACCGATGCCAGCTCTGGGCAGCCTTCTCCTTTGCTAAGAACAGGCTGCAGAGGACCCTGCCCCAAAATACAAGCCTTCACTGTTGGTTCTACGGGGCTGCTTTCAAGGGAATCACGGCAGGGAGACTCTTTCATAGGACTGGGCTCCAAAGAGTCGGGTGTTTTGTGTGATGAGTTATCTTCTAGCACTGGGCTTGCTTCCAGGGAGTCTTTATGACTTATAGTCAAAGAGTCATCTGCAACTGGGCTAACGCCTTCACTATCATGGCTAGCAAGTGAAAGTTCCAATTTCTGGGGACTTCTAACTGCAACACGGCGTTCACAGGTTATATCTTTTTCTTTCTCTAAAGCAGTGTCATGTGTTTCAGAAGACTTAGTGACATGTGCAGTGGTTCTGGATTCTTTATCCCTGCTAATATCTTTCATAATGGAAGCTGAGCTACTTTCTTTAAGTTTATCAGCCTCTTCTTCAGAGGCTGTAGGTACACGCTCTTCTGATACATGGTCAGAATGAGACTTACTAGTCTCAGTAACAGCATCTAGCTGCCTCTCAGTAATACCTTTTTCATCTTCCTTTGAGGAGACTTCCTTCGGAGAGCATGTTTCAGCTGTTGCGTGTGCTCTAGCCGCTCCTTTAGCTTCCTCAGTTGGCCCATCAGTTTTCTTTGGTGAGAATGAAAGGCTTTCTGGGCTCGTTTCTGGAGTCTCTGCAAGACCCTCGTGCTTGTAACTTTCCTCAGAGCTGATCTGAGGGGTTCCATCAAGTAGACTGCCTGGAGAGTCAGCCACACCTTCGTGTTTAAGGCTCTCTGAGCTCCCATCAAAAGCACCACTATGCAGAGAAAGAGCGGGAAGGAATCCATCTTTCCCATCCTCTGTGGGAAAAGCAACACCGAAAGGACTGGTCAGTACTTGCTCCAAGTTAAGTTCTCCCTCCTCTGTCACCGAGAGGTGTCGGAACTGCTGGTATTTGTCATTATCCTCCAGTTCTTCTTTAATGACGTCAGAAAAGTCTGTTGAGGTTTTCCTGTCAGGGCTGATCTGGAAGTCAGGATCTCCTAGGTCATCAGAAGGCCTGCCCTTCCCAGACGCCATTTCTTTGGCACTTGCATCAACTACTACAGGAGGGAGAGGTTCCACTGGCTTTTTGCTGCTCTGCTCTTTCGCCTGGTCTTTACCACCAGCTTTCTTGGTGGTTTCAGTGGTAGAAATTTGCGTTTTTCCTTTTTTGGGTTGCGGCTCTTTCTCTGCTTTTGACACCGGGCTCGGCTTGTCCTTCTGTTTGTCTGTCTTGAGGCTTGTGACTCGCCTCGTTTCGCTCTGCGAAGGAGTTGTTTTCCTCCGGGTTGTTTCCTTCTCGGGGGCCTGTTGCTTCTGTTTGACAGACTTGTGCTCAAACAGGCCAGATATGTTCTTGGATGGGTCTTGCCCTGACTGGAAGGCTTTCATCAGCTCACGAACTGACATGGTCTCTTCGAGTCTCTCAGTCTTAGAAGAAGGCGAGACGGGTGGTTGGGCTTTCTGTGCTACCGGTTTCTTGACTTGTGCTGGTTTCTTAGGTGCCTTCTCGGCAGGGCTTTCTTTTGCTGGAACTCTGACAGGTAGTTTGGACCGGACTTTTTGCTCGTCTTCCACTCGTTTCTGAAGAGCTTTCACTTTATCTTTTATGGAGCCAATGGGAGTGTCCTCTATAACAGGGGACACGGCTTTAGCCTCCGGAGCAGCTGTCACCTTCAGGCCAGGTTCCCCGCCCTGCGACTCGTCTGCAGTGAGCTTTGGTAGTCTCAGCTTTTCTCCGCTGCTCTGCGCCTTGCCTTCCTTTGGCTTTGGCTTCTCTTTTAGTTTTGTCCTGACGGGCTTTTTAACTTCTGAGGCTGCCTTCTGTTGCTCCTTTCCAGTTTTTGGAGATTCTTTTCCTCCTTTTTGAGAATCCTTGCTTATTACTACAGTTTCAACCTTCTCTTCTACTAAGCCCTCTTGTAAGGCTGATGGCTGTAGCTCAGGAAGAGAAACGTGTGTTTTTAAATCCTCTACCTTTCCTGCCATGCCTGGTTTCCCCTTTTTTGCTGTCCCTTTGTCTACCCTGACATCTACGCCGGTCGGCTCCACTTCTGAGGGAGCATTTCTTCTGGCCTCTTCAATTTCCTCATCGCTGACAATGATCCATTCTTCTTCTACAGGCTCTTGTTTGGAAAGGGACTTCTGCAAAACATGTTCTTCTCTGGTATAGGATCCCCCTCTCAGAATTTCATTTACTTTTTCTAAATCCTCTTTCACTCTTTCAACTATTTCGAAAGGCTCTCCTGGCTCTTCCTCAGCAGGTTTTCCAAGATCTTTCACTTTAATGGAGCCTGATTTATCAGAAGGGTCAGTTGTCAGGATGGCAGTCATTTTGATCAAATCTTGTTTCATCTCAGAAACTTCAGACAACAGGTCTGGACTGGCTAGTACAGGGACTTCATTAACCAGATGGCTTTTCAGGATAGATGTTTCTGTAGACTCTGTCTCGTCATCTTTGATGCGAATGAAAAACATTGAAAGTAAAGTGGAAATCAAAAATAGAGATTGGAAAATGTAATCAGGACTGAAAATGACAGTCTTTGGTTGCAGTGGTGGGAAGGTCAACAAAATGGGCCGGGAATGATGGATCCACAAGATCTGAGGGTACAAGAGCAAAGCAAAGCTAACGGGGGAGGGAAAAAAAAACAACTGAAAAGGAAAATGGCAGGAAATAACTTGCTTCACTTTATCGCTAGAGCACAACCACACATACAGTATCAAAGCTGGAACAAACCAAATCAGGACACCACTAAAAAGAAACCAAAACAACAACAACGAAATTTCAAACCAAAACCAGAAGAAACACAGTGAAGTTACACAAAGAGAGGCATCTCAAGATTGTTCAGATGTTACAGATCAATGTTCAAATAAAAAGAAAAACAAGAAAAAAGGGGGAAAGCATTAGAACTGATTGAAAGTCGATTTCCTCTAAGAGAAAGCCAGTGTTAGCAAACTGTCAGAGTAACATCGGGTTAATGGTTTTGTTTTTCTTAATGATCAAAATAAAAGGTGAAAAGTAATTCTGCAGTAATCTAAAATATGACCAAATACGTAGAGATCTGAATCAGCTGCAAACCGGCATTTCATCTAAGGGGATTTCACACCTACACAATGAAACAAACAGTTTTTTGTTTTAAGAGGCATGGTCCTTTCCTTGGAACATCCTCATTGACAACTAATGAACTGACTGAGGAAAGAGAAGACAGAGAAGAAAAGGAGAGAGAATAGGAAAAAACTGTGAATCAACTTAGAAGTGATTTCAGAGTTTTAAAAAATGTAATGTATGGCAACCCAAAATCAGAGACAGTCACACTAGACACATACGTACAATTCATGTAAGGCAAGTTATTTCCATGCAAAGCAAAGGTGTTGCAAATGCTGCTGGGGATGTTGTAGCTTCGGTTAAAAAACAAGAGCTCTAAAAATTAATCATATAAATTAAAGGTACATGAGAATCCTGTAAAACATACTGTGGTGAAATATTTGTCTAATCTGGCAATCAAGATACAGGAGGCTGGCTGCAGCAAATTCCCATTATGCCACAGCTGCCTGCTGGAAATGCTTCTTTCAGCAAGGACTCGTAGAAAATGGATATTGAGTAGAATGAAACAGTGGAGGACTGAAGCAAGTTACGAACAGAACACAATGCTTAGGAATTACAACTGGACATTTTTTTGCTTTAAAGGTAGCACGTCACATGGAACTGCACATTTCGGCACTCGAGACTTAATTCCAAAGCGCTAATGCAAATAAGGAGAACCTAAGCAGTACACAAGTAGCTGTATTTATCTGTAAAAAACAGCTGTTTTGCTACGCTGCTCTCCTGGGTGTAGCGAATGCTAAAAGTCTGTGCTGTACATCAATTACAACCAGGTCAATGAGGGGCATCATGGTGCTGAAAATGTGGCCTTTTGGTGCCGCTGTTTTGGTGTGAACTGTCCAGTGCACACTGAAATCCTGGTCAGTAGCTTCACAGACTTGTAATATATATTTTCATAAATACCAAATGCATGACTGTCCCACTGGCCAAAGAAGCAAATTAATTAGCCAGAAGCAAAGCGGCTCCTGTGGGAAATAAAGGGCTTCTCCGTGGCCTGGGGAGCTGGTGGTGAGGAAGCAGCGGTGGAACAATGCAAGACATGGCACTTTAACTGGAAACAAGACAGATGTCATTCTTTCCCTAAACAGATCCGAGAAATGGCTCAATTGGAAGCAGCTCTCATTAGAGACTCTCTTCAGTCCATGGAGGTATTTGTTTGATTTGCGTCTTCTCCCAAGGAGATCTCAGTGACCCCCTCGCCCTCAGTTTCTAACAGTAACGGCCTGATTCTGGAGGTACAAGGGGTACACGTGCTGTGCCAAGCTTTAATGTCATATTTCCAGCCATATTTCACCACAGTACAGGGCAGGGAGGGTTAAACAGCCTGGTTACTTTGGACAGTATCACTTTTGGGCACGCTTGTATTCCATGAGATCCATGGAATACACGGGAGCCTTCACTAAGTTTTCATTAAAAGTGATACTGTCGTCTGTCTCAAGTACGAGGCAAGGATGGGTGTCGACAAGTGGAGAAAACAAAAAAAATGGAGGGATGAGCATCCATACAAGCAAAATAGCAATAGCGGGATCACTAGGGATGTCAAAGGAAAGTAAATGCTTAGATGAACGGTTTTAAATTGTTAATTTATACATTAAAATGTATTTAATTTGATAGCTGCTTTGATATTAAATTGTTTTCTATTAAAGTATTGATGTTATTAGCAATAGCAGTTAAAAACTTAGCTCTCTTTCATGCTTATGTTTACTCTTAACCATCTTTCATACGAACTGCATTATAACACTTTCAAGTCAAAAAAAAGAAAATCTTACTTTTTTCTGACGTCATGTCAACCTGGAAGGGAAAAAAGGGGGAAATTTAAAAGTTCAAATCATGTTGATATAGTGAAGTCACTAGTGAAGTTAAATCTACTAGATGTATGGAGACACACAGATTCATGGACTGATACGGAACCAAGAATGTAACAGCAGTAACAGTAAAAGCATGGCTTAATTTCTTTAGTGAAAGAAAATATAATCCTTGCCAAAAAACCACATGAAACAAAATGCACTGTCAGACTATGAAAATTCAAGAGGCAAATTTTTGAGGTTGCCTTGTGATTTGAGTTTATTTCAGTTCTGCCAGCATTTGTCCACACAAGCACATGTCGGGTAAATTTGGCCATGCAAAAGTACCCAAATTTAGAAGTAGCATTAAACATTCAGTTTCCTGTACAAACTCGTGGTGGGGGTAGGATGACCATGGGGAATGGAAATCAGCTGTGCAGTACTGCTGGTACAAGATATTGTGTGTGTTAAGGCCCCCAAGTTTTTTAGTGAGTGTTGAAAACGTTGTGGTTGTTTGAAAATATTCTTGATAAAGATAAATGCAATATACTGGCTCATTTATGATGTGAGTAAATCCTTGCTTTTCCATAAACTGACAATGAACAGAAGTAAATCACTGGCCACATGTGCATGTCTGTACATGCCTTGCAATGCTTTAGGCTCACATAATTAAATTTTACACTTAGCAGTGAGTGTTATGGATCCATAATAGTCTGAATTCCTCTGATGCACAGATCACCCCACATGGTAACCTGGGATCCTTTAATTCCCTTTACTTTATGTTCTTCCAGATCAGCATTATGTCAGCATACTAATAAATATTATTAACATAAAAAATAATAAAGTCAACCAAAAATAATTTAAAATGGGAGGTGGTTGTAGCCACCAATGAGCTTGTCTTTTTGTGCTTTAGTTTCTTACACACAAATAGAAGTCATATTTACCACAGGAGTGGTAAATACCTCTATAATGATAACAGGAAACTACAATCCATGCCACAGAACTGCTGAACTCCGTTCTGCATCCATGGAAAAGATGTCCATCTGCTTTGGGGAGCTGGCTGGGTATTCTCCCTCTTCTTTCCAACAGCTGAACATCATCAAAATGTGGGGATGCTTTTCTAATGTTACCCATTCCTGTAGGGGTCAGACCTTAAGGAACACCCATAACTGCCAGAACAGGGCTGGGAGCACAGAGGGGAGTTGGTGCCATTTAGTTTATGCTGAAGATGAAAATTCTAAACCTTATACTCGAGGTAAACTTACTTGTGACTTCTGGGTTAACACTGACTTTGTGCTGGATGTTATAAATGGAGAAGATTTCTAATTCTGACACAGGGCAAGTTAAACTCTGTACATTGTAAAAGTGAGCTTGTATAAGAGCCTTTAATTGCACTCCTCCTTGTTGTGTTTGTAGCACTGAGCTAAGGATGAATGTGCCTGTTCTACTACAGATTTAATCTTCCAAGTTGTGTCTGCTAGTTGTGTTTGAGTGGTGTGAGTAGGCAAGAACAGGTTGATTTAGCAACATTACCTCTTCTGGTTCTTGATCTGAATCTGATTCCTTTCAGTTCCAAATTCCCATGCGAAAAGAGAAGGGGAAAACAGCAGGCAAAATGTAATTTTTTTTTGAAGAGAGTAGGAAAAAGTAACTTCTGACAACATTTAACAGAAAAGAAAAAAATGCGGAACGTTTCTGCAATTTATTTCTTATGCCAAAAAGCAGCAAAACTGAACTGTCAGTTTAAAACACAAAGGGCTACAGAACTGAGCAAAATACAAACAGAAAAGTTGCTTCTGGGTGTTAGACTTCTAGTGATCCTTATTCGTACCAAAACTTTAAATATATACATGCTTTTTCTCTATAAATTAGCATGAATAAATACTTAAAATAGTTAAGAACATTACCCATTGAAAGTTAAAATATGTTGAGATGTGCTGTTTTAAAAGTACACAAAAATGCTATAATAAGGATTGTACTTTATTCCTCTTTAAAATCCCTGACCACAAAACTTGAACTGTGTTTTGCCCTCCTCCTCCTCCTCCTCCTTTCTTGTTTGTATTATAATGCTGATGACTAGAGATCAGTGTAATTTCACAGTACCTTTGTGTAAATGGGTAAAGTGATGTTTAAATTACATATGGCTTGGTGAACGAGGCCCCTTGTAGATTTTGGCTCCTTCATGAAAGATAATCGTCCACAGGGTTCTTGAGTGGTATCTCGCACCTGCCAGAGCAAAAACACATCTTTTTAAATGGAATAGTTCAGGGACAAAACACAGTTACAGTTGGGAATTTAGCTAAATTGATTTTTTTTTTTCATTTGTTCGCAAAAATATGATGAAACAATAACTTGAAATATCCAAAAAAGAAGCCATGAATATTACCTTAACAAACAGAGGAAGTCTATTCTCTTTGAAGGCAAAAAAGCTGAATATATGATGTTGCCCACTCTTTGTGAGAGGCACCAAATTGCCAAAGCAGTCAACATAGATGGGTTTTCCTTCTAATACCTGTTGGAAAGGAAAAAAAGCAGCAAAGCAGCAATTAATCACAGTGATTAGGTGGTTAGGATTTCTTCTTAGAAGAAATCACAGGCAGAGAAGTATTTTCTTCAGCAATCAAATCAAAAGTCAAAGGCAGTGTTTATCAGTACATTTCTATTTATTTCAAGTGGATTTGCAAAGGCCTAGAGCTTTTCAAAGTCAGGCCTCAGGTAAATACCTCTCTGAAATCTCTATATAATGGTACTGTTACATCTTCATATCATGCTGTTATGGCCCCCCCACGTGTTTAAATATCAGATTAGCAGGTTGGGAGATGTTCCCTTCAGCCTGACAATACATTAATGCCTCATCCTTACTTCCCAGAAATTTAGCCTTGGCAGTTTGATAACCCTTATTTTATCTACCTGCTCTGCACAAGAAATGCCTGTCAGAGCTTAAGGAACAGCGAGGACAAATTTTTTAAACGTGGGATTCTCGAGGAAAAGAGGCTGAACTAAGCAGAGGAATGTGCCATGCCTGTAAGTTAAAGCACTTCCAATCTGTTATCCCTTCTGAGGAAGCTGACAGAGCCAGAAAAACTGCATTTAGCAGGCAGTTTCCTGGAAAGCTTTTGCCTGTTCAGCAGCTGATTTAATTTTATTTTTGTAAAGCAGAATATTAATCAAACTTGCTACTTCAACTTCTTGGTACGTAAAGGTGCTGACAAAACATGACTACTGTCAAACTGCCTTTTTGGTTAGTGATATGCATTTAGGAGTTAGTGGAAATTGGGATTTACATGTGCTTTTTGGCTCTGACTGTCCCCCTTTAGCCCTGTGGGCTAAGAGTTCAGCAGCTGCCCATTGGGAACAGTGTTTCATCACTACTTTTCCCTTATATCTGACTGAAGTCCAAGTTTCCATCTTATCACTACAGTTGATACTGCCTCATGACAGTAGTTGCTGGCAGCTATTTTGCAGTACTTGCAATATTAGTTTAAAAGCAGACACTATAAAATAGAGAAAAGAGTCCTGTACAGTACCTCTACGTCCCTGCTTCTGGCAACTTCAGCAAAATTTTCTTGTTGTTCTAGAGTTTTATCCACCTTGTCGTCCGTCATGCAGAAACACCTTAACCGCGCTTCGATGGGATCGTGGGATTTGGCAAACACCACAAATTTGGCCATGTAGGGGACACAGATAATCTCTCTGTACACTTGGGAAGCAAAAGTAACAGATTCTTGTGTCTGTCGACAGTCTATCAACCAAAATCTGAAAAAGAAAATGAAGAGTCAGGTAATCAGCACAGAAAGATTTAAGAAAGGAAATTATATGTTTCCCCAGCCTGGCAGCATTAGCTGGTAAGCCCAGTAACTGTAGATAACAAGTCACAAAAAAGAATTGTTATGCTTGTTTTTTGTCCACCATCTAACTTAAAGGATAACAGCACGTTCCTTATATACAGTGTCAAAACCTGGAGGTCCTGCGTGCAAAGTCAGAAATTATTCCCATGTGAATTTAATCACCAAGTATTTTCCAGGGAGTAACATGTGCTGCCTGCTTTCCCAGCCATCACTTTGGTTTCTCTGTGGAGCTGATGACATTTCTTCTACATAAAATCCACTGTGTGGGTGGAAATCATGCTCGAGTTTCGTACCCGTAGGATGGAGACGGAAGTCGGGAGAGGTCAAAGACAGCTCCAAAGCTGATCTAATCTACAGGGGGCTTATTCCCTACTGTGGATTACATGGCATTACGACCCCAAAGCACACCTTCTCAGCGTGACTGCTCTGGGCTTACTCATCTGCAACTGAATAACAGTGAATTTTGTGCTGTGCTGCTCTTTAGAACATTTAGCAAACACAGCGGTCAAAAAAAACAAGCTGATGACATTTGAAGGAGAGAAAGCATGTGTGGCACAGAAAGGATCTGCACACTGATACTTTCCTTTTCCTGTGTGGGAGAACTATGCTGTGCTGGACTCAAACTGGAGAGGCTACATCCTCTGAGAAACCACCAGATGCCTCAATGATTTGCTGTCATACACCAGGGGCTAAAAAGCCCAAACAGAGACCATTTTTTAAAAAGCTGCGGCTCAGGAAATGGAAAACAACAGCCAGGCCTCCAAGTCTGCAGTGTGATTCACATGACAAATGTATCTCTTTCCCAAGCTCATTTTGGACAGTGTTAGTCTTGTGAAAGGGAAAATTGTTGTCCATCATTAATGATTTAGCTAGACAGAAAAAATTACTGTGAATAGCAAACAGTCAGAAATTAGCCAACTCTTGGCAAGGCAAAAGGACAGTGGCACTTTAAGACCAGGGAAAAAGTGAAAAAAAATTAAGGTTAGCTTGTCCTTTGGCAAATAAAGTAATTATTTCCCTGACTCCAAATCCATGAAAAATCCTGTTTTCTAACTTTAGCAGCACTTAAAGTCACATCTGAGTGAAAGGAGTCAGCTGAACATTCATTTCATTTACAAAGAAGAGGCAGAACCCATTAAAATCTCTACACGGGACCCTGCCTATATCACTGAACATTAACAACAGTAATCAATTTTCATGTCATCATGGGGATTAGGAAAGATCCACCATAAATATGGGCTGTAGATCCATAAACTGTCACCCTCATTCTGGCTGTATTTCATGTGTAGCCCTGCTGGGGATTTCACAGTTTCAGGGACTTGGACCTCTCAAACTCTGCATCTAGTGGCCACATATGGTTCTTAAATTAACCTTTAATTCAGCTTTAATTTCACCCTTTACACAGACTGAGAGCTAAACACACTGTAATATCTCCCTCTCGTGGCTACTGCTGTTACAGCAAAATGTTGACCTAAACCAAAATGGAATGTACATCAGCAAAGCATCCAGTTTAATGGGAAAAAAAAGCCCTTTCTGAACTAAGAAAGCATAAAAAAATAATACTTTATTTTGCCTAATGTTAAACCGGGGGTTGGACTGCAAGAGCTGATCTCATTTTAACATTGAATACATTATTTCACCATATAACAAATCTAATCTAATAGTAATAACTGCCCTGGACACTGAAGGTTGGCACTGAATTCTCTGAATTTCATGGGCAAGTTATCCAAGATTTTTGTTTGCTAAACTACACTCCCTAAATGGAACACTTTCCAGATCATGGATTGCATCTCCTCTTACAAGGGAGGAGATTTCTGTGCATTTCTGTGAAATAAATCATGGCCAGTGTACAAACTAAAATACATACATATATATGTATTATTACTATTATTATTTTAATACGAAATTCTGTTTCCAGGAAGACAGCAGTTGAACCTCGTCCCAGGAACAAATGGTTGGAAGAGATGCTTCTAGATCCCAGTTTTGTACACCTACAGGTCTTTCTGTATGACTTCTCAGTTTTTGGATATTCCGGAAGTAATATCCCTTGTAAGATGTACAATGAGGTACCCAAACAAAGGATTTCTATTTCCACGGAAATTTGTATAAGTATCTCTGTTCCTTCTACTATATAAACTAAAATAGTTTAAAGGAAGTATTTGTTGGGAAAAAAAAGACATGCATTTGAAAGTATCACTGTAAAACTCATGTTTGGTTATGTAGGTACCTGGCAGACACATTTGTTGTGAAGGAAACACATTCATTAACAAACGTCAGTGGTGTTGTCCCGGTGATGTCTTCCCATTGGGCAGGGGTGGTTCCTCCTGAAGGGAGAGAGATTAAAAAAAAAAAAATTAAAACCAAGCAAGTCTGCAACTCTTTTGCTTCTAAGAAATTCATCTGAGTTTTTAATTGCTATGAAATCAGTAATAATCCCAGACATGCCTTCTCCTCGGGTCTATATTATTCCACCAATGCTGGTAGGATTGGAGGGGTTAAATTAAACATGATTAAATTAATTTATTAAACTAAATGCATGCAGCTCATTTCTGCCTCTTAAGTGAGACTGAATGAGGCACTGGTCACTTTGGAGTTATAGCAAGCATTAAGTGTTTAAATCCACTATTTTTCATTCAAGTGTAGTGCAACATTAAGTCTGAACTACACTTACTCTGCCAGGCAGAGGTATGTTGATTTTCAAGACACAAACTGTAAGGAAAATGCAAAAAACCACACCAAACCTCGAGTCTATGATTATATTACACATCTCTTGTTAGTCCAAACAACAAATGTTATTTCTGCTTAAAAATAATTGTTTGCAAAGTAGTTTATTTTCACAGCTTCTCATCCCAGCCAGGTTTTCTCCGAGCTTCCCATGTGTGTCATCAGCTTAAAACATTTTCCAGCCCACGAGGAGTGACAGATTCAAGATGCACATGGAAAGCTCCGGCACTGGCATCCTACCTGTTATGCTGCATAGTAACCTCAGAGTGGGCGTGTCGCCTCCGTAGCCATTCATGATCCCATCGCTGGAGGCCTTGGGGACGGGAATCGTCATCGTGATGGGTTTATGGAACTTCCTCCTCCTGGGCTCCAGCGTGACGATGGGGCTGAAGGTGGCCTTGTTGCCTAAAATCTTCTTCGTAAGTTCAGTGTGCATAGGTTGAGCCTTGCCAGAGCGACAGAAAAATAACAGAATGGTTACTTGAAAACAGTTCAGTGAGTTTGTAAAGAACTGGGTCTGTGTACTGTATACTTTTTTTCCCCTTAGAATAAGCTCTGAGCTGTTTTAAAAGTGTGCTATGCAGCCAATCCCAGGGGATACCAACAAGCACAGTCTCCTGGCCAAGGTAAGTTGAGGATACAAGCAGCAGGAGGATGAGAAGGAGATACGGGAAAAGACTTCCTTTCTTTCAGGAAGGAATTGTTAGGCTGGTTCCTTCATGCTGAGAATCTGTACATTTGACTTTATTATTGCAGCACTTTTTACTTTTCTGCTGCCTTTCATAAGAAGTATTTAAGAAACTGTTCTATGACCTACTATATCATTATCAATATATTATATTATTATTACTATATCATAATCATCACCAAAATTAGGTACTTTTCCCAAGATTATATGGACAGTTAACAGACAGAAATCTGAATTAACTGGAAAACCCAAAGCTTTACTGCTTTCTTTGATTCTGCATGGATTTTTTTTTTTATTATTACTATTTTTACTAGAAGCATTGTAGACAAGATACAACATGATAAGCTAAACATGCTGCTCTCCATTCAGAGAATTACAGAATCAACTAGGTTGGAAAAGATCTGTGAGATCATCAAGTCCAACCTATGACCCAACACCACCTTGTCACCCAGACCATGGCACTGATGCCACATCCAGTCTCTTCTTAAACACCTCCAGGGACGGTGAGTCCACCAACTTCCTTGGCAGCCCTTTCCAGTGTCTGATTACTCTGTAAAAAATGTCTTCCTAATGTCCAAGCTGAACCTCCCCTGGCACAGCTCAAGACTGTGCCCTCTTGTCCTACTGCTGGTTGCCAGGGAAAAGAGGACAATATCCACCTGGCTACAACCTCCTGTCAGGGGGTTGTAGAGAGTGAGGAGGTCTCCCCTGAGCCTCCTCCTCTCCAGCTCCCTCAGCCTCTCGTCACAGCATTTGTGCTCCAGACCCTTCACCAGCCTCGTTGCCCTTCTTTGGACACTCTCCAGCACCTCAATACCCTTCCTAAACCGAGGCGCCCAGAACTTCAAAGAAGGTGATTTTACACTAAAAGCCTTGTGATTGTTGCACCGTACCTGGAGGCCAACGCGGATTCGTTTGGTTAGAGCCCCTTCTGGGAAGACTGCCTGCACTTGTGGCACCACAGTGCTGCTCAACACCCCTCCCTCGGGCCCGATGAGGTTGCTGTCCTGTTTGATCCGGGACACCACGGCGAAGTACTGAGGGAAATCCCGGGTGATGATGCGGCAGATCCGCTTCTTCTCCAGCTCCTCTGGAGTGTCAAGTACTGAGGGCGGAAGAGGAGATGGTCAAAAGACAAGAGTTTCACACAACCTTCAAAATGCAGTCAAGCTTTTCACAGTTTGATGCAACTTACACAAAGTTTTTTAGTCTAGAAATCGAGGGGGAAAAGGAAACACACCCCAGTGTTCAGCTAAACCAGAGAAATCCGGAAAAGGACAGACAGACTGAACAACCAACTGAAGGGAGTTTAAGACAGCCAACAGAATATGTTGACATCTCCAAAACAAGCAGCCAAACACACCAAGGGACTTGTCCAAGCTCCTTTCTACTTCACATATTTAGAATGCCGTGAAGCAGCACAAAGAAAACGAAACTTCAAAACAAAAAACTATAGAAGTATGAGTTTGGCTTTAATTCTGTGAGGTGTCTTGTTTACTTTGGGGTTTGTTTGGGGTTTTTTGTCAAAAAAATAACAAATTCTGCAGCTCCAAGGCAGCCCAAGGCCATTCTGTTCTCTCAGAAAGCAAGAATACCCGTGACTGACATTTCCTCCCACACGTGGGGCTGCTTGGAAAGGATTAGTATGATAATTGCCTTGTTTTGGAAGGGTGTTTGCTATGGAAACTTTTTGTTTTACACCATGAAAAGGAGCAGCAGCAAACACAAGTGTAGCACCTCTTCCCCATTTTGTGATGGCAGATGTCTCGTCCCATGACTTCAGCAGACCAGGCAAGGGAAGTAAGCAAGTGGTCAAAGCTATTACCCCCAGCAAGAGCAGCAGTGCAGGAGCAGAATAAAAATCCAAGTCCCCCCCTGGATACCTTCATCCATCCCATTGAGGATTTCATTCAGCTCATCCTCAGTGTATTCACAGAAGTGCTCCTTCCAGCTGTCCCCGTTCTCGCTGCGCAGAATCACCAACTCCCTCTCCTTCCCACGCAGAGCAGCAAAGTGGGGGATCTCCACAATCACAGGCCTGGCACGGCAACACAGCGCATTAAATGCACACGGGAGAGAGGAAGAGACAGGATTAACAGCAACTCTATTCAGTCTGCTACAAAGTGACCTGGAATTCTACCTATTTGGCTGGAATACTTTGGCACAATCCTAAACTAGTAGGCCACTAACACAAACTAAATGTTTACAGGGACCCAGTAAGTGCTGAAGGACAGATGAAAAAGTGCATTCACCTCTTTCCACAGTGTGAATGAGATTTGGTAAGATAATAGTGCTTATCTGGTAATTTGGTGATTGTTTCGCAAATCCATGAAAAACTCATGCTCGTTTTAGTTGTCACTACTGTCTGGGTTAACCTGTGCAACTTCATTTCAAAGAGAATCTACTGTAACATATGGGAATAGTGGGACAAATTCTGATCTCACTTATACTAGTGCAAATCAGAATAATTTCATTGCTATCAGGGGGGCAGGTGTGTCCCGCACCAATTTACTTCTTTATAATTCTATATATTCCAATGAACTTATTCCTGATTTACACCTTGGGAGAGACACAGGAGGTCTGAGGAGATTGTCTGGGTTGCTACTGCAGTATAGGAGATAAGAATTTGCCTTGTTGCCTTACAAGCACATGTCAATACATGTATCAGCATAAGCGCCCATATATATATATATATACACACACACATATACACATGTGTACATATAATATATCTATATTTAGATATACATATACATACATACTCTTAGAAATAAGAGAGAAGATATAAATATATTTGTATAAATGCTCCTCTAATTAGAGGACTCACACAGGTTACCATGTACATAGTAGATGCCATGTGTTCTATCACACTGGTGGTATCCAACATACAACTTATTGATTGATCAGTCCTTCATACAAAAAAACAGCTTGAAATTTACAGTAGATTCTTTTTTTTTTTTTGTCCCAATCCAGGTTGCTTTGCTACAGACATCAAGCACATAACTAGGAAGATTTCATGCCAAAACAAAAATGAAGGCCACAGTACTCGAAGAAAAAGATACAAACATACCACCAAAACAAAACCACATACCACAAAGGTTGAAAAATGGTCCACTAAGGGTTAAGTGTACAAAATTTCAAATGATAGAAAGGGACAATATCATGGGCATAATGACAATAAAAAAATCATATTGCAGAAGGAGGAGAAGAATGGGGAGGTCAGCATCCATCAATTTGTTTCAAGTCTCTCCTACCCAAGGAATTTGGTCCCAGGAGGCCCCAGCTGAAGGATTCGGCTGACCAAGCTTTCTCCCTCATTAAGTGGGGGAGGAGCCGTAGGCAGATGAAGTTTACTGAGTACATCCAAAGCAGCAGTGAAAGAAAGAACATAAATAAACTTTATGTATTTTTTGTGCCAGAACGCCAGTGCCACTGTCTGGTGCACAGAGTGGAATTAGGCTGTACACTAAATAAGGTTCCGTCCTAGCCGTGACAATTTGGTGACCAAAATCGGCAAAATCAGTTTTGTGAATTTAGGATCTTGTCTTGCTTTATGGGGGCTTTGGCCATGAACTCGATGGGAACGGGATCTGGACCTTAGAATGCACCTCTGCAAACTGTGCAGTGATTTTCTGATTTCGCTGCCAGCAGAACACCCGGAAAAACCCTCGCAGGAAGGGCACAAAGACCTGAGAATGAACCAACTCTGCTACAGCCTTGTCCTTTAGGGAGACATTCTCATTAGATAGAGAAACCATTAAAAAAAAATGGGAGACATACTTAAAATTCATTTGTGTGCAACAGAGATAATGGGAAGACTGAATGTGAAAGCACAGTATTTCTTCTGCTCTTTAGATTTCTTTCTCCTTTCTCTTTAAGGTGACCAAGATGTGAAAAGAATAAGTGGTAGCACTAATGAAGATGGTAGCTCTGATGACTGCCTATTATAATAGGATTTTAAAGCAACTGAGTTGTTTCCAAATGGATTTAAACTATTGCTGTTCACAGAGTCGTTTCTTTTATAGTTTCTGAATGTAATAGAAGGGGTTCCTTCAATCGTTCCCTTCTGGATGCCACAGTTGATAGGGAGAACAGTTGGCAAAACAAATTTTTAGAAGTGCAAGTGACTGCTGCTTTCAGCTAAAATTGCTAAAACGAAATGAGCAGCAGACACAAATCTGACCTTTCTGTGGGTTTTGCAGGATAGGACAAAAGAAATGGCCAGAAAATTCCAGGGTTGTCCAATTGCTTAGTTTAGCAATTTCAACTCCAGAAAAATCAAAGGCACTGTGCTTCCCTGATAGTCCAAATTACTGATAACACAATAGAAGTCCCTAAAATAGCCCACTGTGTACATAGCAGGCTTCATATTCGGGGTTTAGATCAGTGCTGTGCTATTCATCTTTTAAATATAGCATGAACTGCCTTTTCTGGTTCTAAGGGAGTCTCTTCCCACTATAATATCCCACAACACTGAGTAATAATTATATCCACGGAAGCACATTAACCTTAGCGCTAGTGCTTAAAATACCCATTTTGAAAGGAAAAGGTGTAAAACCTCCCTGATTTGTTAAGTGGCAACCGACCTGTATTTCACACAACCTGCCTGCTACCATGCCACAAAGACCTTTTTCGCCTCACGTCTCGAAAAAAAGGAACCCTTCCAGTGCAACTTAAACGCAAAAATGTGGCTGAAAATGTTTTCCTCCGGGCCGTGTGGCCCCCCCCTTACCCAAGGAACTGTGCCCCAGAAGGTCCCACTTCGATGAGGCGGCTGGCCAGTCCTTCCCCTTCCACCATGGGGGGCATGGTGGCCAGCCGGTGGCGCTTCACCAGCCGGCAGGTCACGCGCGTCGGGGCCGTGCACTTGCGCGGGGGGATGATGATGCGCAGCCCGTTGTGCCGGCAGCCCCTCATGGCACCGCCGCGGGCGTCCACCATGAAGCTCACCAGGAAGCTGCAAAAATCAGGGAAAACCAGTCAGAGACGGAATGGTTAGAACGTTCCGTGGGTACGTTCCACATACGTAACGCGCTACGTATGTAAACGGGGCTCTTGCTCAAAAGGCACAATTAGAAAAAGCCTTTCTCCCACGGGAAGCACCAAATCATGCTGAGGTCATTTATTCATTAACAAGTGTTACCTAAGAGTTCTTCGCTGAAAGTCTTGTTTTACAGTGCTGCTGTTGGTAAAATACCAGCAGACACTAATAAATGTGAGCCTATATCACTCCTCGGTACCTGCAAACAACTGTGCTTAAAGTGGGCACTCATTAAATACTTCACAAGCAAATACGTCTCATTGAAGGAAATTATTTATGATTCAAAAATATAAAGCCAATTCTGACGGGATGGCTCGGGATTTTTTGGGGGGTTCTCAATATAATTTTATGGTTATTTGGTAAAATGTAATTTCTAACAAAAATAGGTTTGGATATTAAAAAAAATTAACCAAATTTCATTCTGGAGCGTGCGGATACAATTCATACTCCATCAATGGGGTTATCATAAAAAAAAACCTCAGCAAGTCATTCGTGCTTGAAGACAAATTTTGGGTTTTGGACAACAACAGTTACAGGCACCATATAAGAGGTGCATAAACTGTGTAAGAGATTTATTTATGGATTTTTGTTTGTCTGTGTTACTTTGCACACCAAGGCAGTGTCCCACTGGAAAACGTAGAGGTGCACAAAGCCATCTACAGGGAGCCCTCGTCTAGCACAAGGTAAACTATTTATTTCTTTTTCTTTAAGAGGGAGAAAAACATTTCGTTTTGTTTGGAATTTCTTTTGTGCTTAATTTTTTGTAGTTCCACATATAACCAAACATAGATTTTGACAGATTTGGGACATTCTTGGGAAAGGTGTAGAACTACTTCCCCTTTTTTTTTTTTTTTTTTTTTTAACTGTTTTATGATTTAGGATCATGCCTGATGTGGGATGGGAATGTCAGGCTGCTGGAAGTGAAAGTAAGAGTAGAGGAGACAGAAGGGTGTCAGGTCTAGTTCTAGCCACTAAAATAGAATCATCTCATGGGGTGTCGCAGAAATGCTATTTGAAGGACCTGCAACAGAGAAAATATACTCCCTTGTAACAGGAGTAACGAACACAGGGATTTTTCCACTGTCCCCTTGACCGTTCTGTGCAACAAACATTGCATCCATTCATTGTCCACACAAAGAATTCCACATGCTATAAGAACACAACACTCGACACACCGTGCAAGTCAGAGGGATGGAGGATGGGAAGGAGCCACAAGCGCCAGTCGGAAGCACACCATGCACCACGGATGCCAGTCTGTCTCACACATGCAGTCTCCTAGTCTACTGCCATTCAGATACCTCTAGGCTTTGCTTAGTGTAAAACTCGGGGTAGTACAACCATTATCTCATTCCTTAGAGCTTGGTGTTTCTGTGGTTTTAACAAGGGGGGAAAAAAAGAAAATGAAAACATTTTACAGCTTCCATTGTCTGGGGGATTAGTTGAGAAGAATGGGAGCTTCCTTCACAAAATACATTCTTTATACAGGGTAAAGCACAGATGAAAGAAGAGCTTAAGAGACACTAAGTGCTCAATTGTTGCACTAATGCTCTTGGCTTGCACTGCAATTGCCCGGTAAGTGCATGAAGTGGTGTTATCAAAGTGGTGCTGTTTCCGGAGAATTGGTGCAGCTCTCCAGTACAACGGGTGTTGTTTGAGGCAGTTAGTGACGCTGCTGGAAGAGGAGTTTCACATTTTAAAGCTAACGCTGTGAGCAACACAAACGCTCCCCCACAATTACCAGAAGCTCTGACTGAATCAAAGCAGCATTCACATTTCTCACTGGGTAAGCCGTCATGAACACAATTCTAGGGAGTCAATTATTCTCATTATTGACATAATACTCAATATTGTGTACTTTAACATCAGGATCACTTTCTGTCGCTGTCCAGTTAGTGCTGGGTCACCTGTCTACCCTATGTCCTCCTTAGCTTATCTCCACACGTGCCTCAGCAATGCCAAAACCACTGTTAAGTGCCAGAGAAAAATACACGGGAAAGGTGGGGCTCCAAACCAAATCTCCCTTCTATTAACATGGTTGCAACTCTTTCTCTCAGTTTAAGTTTACTGAATGTGCCTGCTGGGTCAGTAAATCTATCACAAAGTCAATCAGTCATCTCTCACTGAGATCAACCATTGCTCCAAAGAGTGGAAAAACAGGCAAGGACAAGTCTCACTGGAAGGTGGACACAAAGATAACAATGGTTAAAATGAAGACAGTAAGACATTATTATTATTCACTGTAAAAACAGCTGTTTCTATCATAAGGAAGACCTAAAGTAGTTATTCAGACAAGCACAGAATAGTGTGAGCACAGCACAGAAAGATTAGTGCCAATTATCGCATTATGGAGGAGCCAGTTCACAAACCCAGCTGCGTAATACTACAAAATTCCTGGAAAACAGATTTTGGAGAACTACCATGAATACATGCAAAGGAAAGAAACTGAGAGGGAAAATTTCTCAGCTCTAGACCTCAAAGGATAGTACACTGACACAGGATTTATAGAGCTGACATAGAGTGTAAAAACACATCCTTTTCCACCACACCACCCTGTTTATTTCCCACCCTGTTGCCATATCCATTTTGTCATGCACTTATTTAATCCAATTTCTTTCCATCTCTTTTTTTTTTAATCAGCACATTTCACATACTTTTGGATATGCAAGAGGGTGAAGCCAATAATTCATAATAATGCATTTTCTGAATCACAGCAGACTCTTTTCCTGCCTATTTGCCACATAATAGGGCATCTGGAATGTGCCATTACTGATCCAGGACCGGAAAAGTTTTTCCCTTTTGAAGGAGTGTGTCTATCAATATACAGATAATTCACACAAAACTAATGCGTGATATAAAATATGCTTTCTGAAATGTGCATTTGGGAAAGTGAAAAAATTGTATGACTAATATAAAGGAAATGTAAAATGCAAACTAATTATTTTGCTGCCCACACGCACACACGTTATTTTTCCTCTCTCCAACACTTCTTTTACCAGTGTTGTTGAGTGACAAGGCTGAGATAGGAAGAGATTGCACTCAATATACAAAACTAGCAGGAATAATTGGCAGATGAAGCCATCACTCTGAGAAGTGATACCTTATGGTGATAAAATTCCCATGGTCAAAAAGAAAATAACGCATAATAGCAGCATATTAATAACCCTAATTTCATATATACTCCCTGAAGCTGAGCAGGAAACTCAGAGCTTATCCCACGAGCCAACTGCATGGGGCACAACTAAAAGCACTATCAACCATCTGTGTACAGAGAACTAAGAGAAGAGGGATCATTAAAGAGAAACACAAATGGTTCAAGAGGGGAAAAAAAGAAAGGGAAAAAAGGTAAATAAAGGGGATTAAAGGAACTTTAACTTAAATTTTAATTAAGTGATGAGTCAAAGCAGATTATGGGTAAAGGTGTATCTTACTCAAAGACAGCCTTTGAGTAAGTTCCACTTCCAGTTTTAAAGGTTCTGGTAGAAATGAAACATAACACAGACATGTGACCCCCACAGTCTTGCAAATTGGATCGATACTGAGCTTTCCTGGGATATAGCAAGGTGGCAGTGCAACATAACAGCCAAATCAATGAAACAAATCAGGTTTGGGGAAATCATTGCCTCCCTCTTTTAAAGAGAATGAAGGGGAAATCAGGATTATTTTTCTAAAGAAAAAACAAAGTGCAAAAGCAATTATTTTATAGGAATCAGTTATAGGCTGCAGGGCAGTCTATACATGCTTCTGTTAAACACACGGCAGTCAGCTCAAGCACCATCCATCATTCCCTTCTAATTTAGTAAGACTTACTCAAAAATTAGAGGCCATTTCGTTCTCCTCCACTTTAGAGCAATTAAAAACTACATACCTGCCATGTGAAAGGTAACTACGCCAAGTAACACTGGCTACAGTGTCCCTCTGGTTGAAGACACACACAAAGGCCCCTAAATCTTTCAGGTTGTTTCCATACCTTCTACAGAGAGCAGAGCAAACAGAGATGGGGTTTCTAATGGCTTCACTTGAACAAAACACAGACAATATCACGCATTGGACAGAAGGACAAAAAGTTGGGGTGTGTTTTCATGAAATTTGTATTTCAGATCAGAGCCTGAGTCACTTCCTTTGATGACTTTATTCATATAGAATTAACTTGGTTTTATTCTGTATCTATCCTGATTTGAAAGAGAACAGCAGGATGAACAAATAAATTAAAAAAGGGATGTGTCAGTGCTGGAGAGGGTGAAGGAAGATACTTGTTGTGTGCTTTGTGAGGAGTCCCTGCCCTGTGAAGAGAGAGGCACAGCCTCAGGTGTTGGCACTCAAACACACGTCCCATTCTGCAGAGTCACTGGGAGAGCCATGCAAAACCCAGCAGGGGAAGGGGCTTCCTGGGGCAGGCAACAGTTCTTGGAACACACAAAAGAGGCAAAATCTACACCACCACCTTCATACACTCGGCTCAGGTACGATTATTCTCTCAGACTGTGCAGCCACACATGCGCTCATCGGGCAGCAGGAAACAAAAGCTCCAAGGAGAGCACATCCACTGGAGACACATGATAGAACTTTTCAGCACAGGTTTTCTGAACTTAATAACAGAAACTGGGAAACAAGGAGATAGCAGCATTCAGTGTTAGTCGCAGTGTGAAGAAGCAGAAACAAACAATCAGGGTGCTTCAGCCATCCCAAAGTGTTCAGCAGGAGGAGGAGAACCCGGAGAGGCTGAAATTCCGAAAAAAGGCCTTGATCCAGCTCCCGCTGAAGTCAACAGCAAGTCATTCAACTACCTCAGCGTGCTTTCCAGCAGGCTGCAACTGTGCCATACAGAAACAAGGCAAAATACACATTCCAGGAGGACAAAAAACATGATCCTACGTGGGAAACTGCTATAGTATTGACTCCTGATAACATCCACTGCATTAGCCAGCTGCTGAGAGACTGAGTGACGTGGCCGAAAAATACGGGGTTGTAGTCTGGGGGTTCATTTAGCCATTTTACAATTTTGCACAGCTGAATATTTAAGGAGATTTTCACCTTTCTACGGTTATGTTAAAGGAGCTGAAGAGGTGGCAATAAACACTCAGTTTTGCCAAGGGAAGATAATCTCCTCTGGGAATGTTCAGCTTCAAGCACTGATTAACTATCACACAAAAAAATACATGTGTCATGAAAAATAATATACACTCAGACTGGGCAGTTATTCTATTAGTTCAAATATGGTGGCACAATTGGGTAAATGTGGCCTAGGGAGAGGCTCTGAAATATTCTTTATATAGACAACGAGATAAAAGGCCCACTTAATAATTTAACAATTACAGTGGTTTGTGTTGGGTTATTTGTGGAGGGTTTTTACCTTCCTTAAAATATTAATATTAAAGCATGCCACGGACAAAGAAAGGGTATTGTTAAATAAACCAGTGGTTAAAACAATCTAGGAATGTATAAGGAGCTTTGTTAAGTTTTTTTTTGCAGTGGACTTACTACGTGTTCAGAACTCTTTTGTTATAGATGACAAAGCAGAGGGAGAAAGTGGGCACTTACTGTATAAGAAGAGAAACAGGGCCACATGTAACTATTCCTGCTAGTTAAATTGATTTTTTGTCTTGGCTAACGTGCACTATCAAAACACAAAAGCATCCTGAAGTGAGGTAAGAGGGGAGGATAAATAGGGTGGGTGAGAAGTGCAATGTATTAAAGAAAGAAATTATGCAGAAGTTCACCTGCTGTTGTCAAGATCAAGACATGGAGAAGAGCATCTGCAATAGAATAGATGATTTAACATCAAAAAGGAAAAGAAAGGGGGGGGGGGAAAGAATGAGTTAAATGAAATACTGAAATATTGGGAAAAAAATGAAACCGATTTCTAAATCAAACACATGAACATATTCAAACACATGTGCATATTCATTCCGTGTGAGAAGGTAGGAGTGAGCGTGGGAAATAAGCCCTGGTTACAAACGGCCACTGCTACTACAGGAGTAAAACTCCAGTGATCTGGGTCCTCTACAGACATTCTCCTACTGGAAGTCAGATGCCTGAAATGCACAGTTAGATCAGATTTAGGGGAAGTGCTGTTCGGTTTAGGCATCCACATGTGAAACGTGGGCCATGATTTATCAGAGGGCAAGGAATCGAAGGTAATTCCAGCCAGTGTTCCTGATTACACGATGAATCACAATTTCTTTTCTTTGATTTCCCTATCTACAGCTTCTGTCCTCCCCTCTTCTCCATTTCAACATGTTTCTTGTCCTCCTTTTGTTCTGCAGAACAACAAATTCCAAACTTTCAGTTTGACCTGTTTAGGCCCTCTGTAATCACTTGGTGTCACACAGTTAGTTTTCCAATGTTCCTTTTTCTATGGATCTCCATTGCCATTTTCTTCCATTAACTTCCATTAATTTGCTATTCATGAAACACATCCGCTCTTTTTCCTTCCTGTAACTTTCTGAACAAAGGCCATAAAGCTACAGCAAATTTTGAAGTCATTCAGACTTTCAGATTTAAGAAATGACTATCAGCTGGTCGCTGCCAGGTCCTGTTTCCATAACGATTTCCAGGAAATCAATCTCACATTGGGAAAAAGCAATGTTATGGATTCAAAATACAACACTTCAAATAGATTTTGATTACCTTGTTAGCAAGGATCCAGCCTCCTTTTTTGCAGACATGCAGCTAAGAATGATAATTCACATTATTTGTCACAGTATGAGATGCCCAGTCCCTCATCCTTCACCTTTTTTCATTGATGGAGGCAACGACTTCCAGAAAGACAAACTCACTAATAATATCCCAACTTTTTTTCAAGATAGAAGTACTGATACTCTCAAATCATCAAAGTGGGATTTCTCCATCAAATTATATATATTCAATATCTTTCATTAAATAGGAGTTTTACTGTGAGCAAGTCAGAGCTGGAACATTTGCAGAGCTGCTACGTATTTTCTCCAGAACACAAAATCAAGTTAATATCAAAGCCTAGACCCAAAGCTAAACACTGCAAGAGAAATCTTTCAGTTCAGTGATTTTTTTGCCTTCCAACTTCCAAGAAAATTTGTTCTTCCACAATAGGATATGGTGAGGTATGAGAGTAAGACTATGAAACATATTTGAATTATGTAGGTGTAGTTCTGTCTGTCACAACACTTCAGCAGGAAATTATAAATTATATCCCTAATATCACCAGCAAAGCGATAATACTCTTTATCTTATTGGATGTTTAGCACCCAAACTTTCTGGTATACTCAGAGGTCCTTAACATAGCTCAATATGTAAGATCAGACTGTTTTATGAGGAGAAGCAAATCTGATCTGCTGAAAGGGAGTTTAAATGCAGGAATTTATATTTTTACCTTCAGCCAATGCATGAAACTACTCAGAAACTGTCAGCTGTGTAAAATGTCCAGGAGATCTTTATGTTGAGATTTTGAGCACTACAAGAATGTTACCTCTTCAGAGAGAAATGTTTTCTGGGTTTTGAAACGGTTGCCAAAGACTCTGACAAAAGATCTTGTTTTTCCTTCCTTACTGATGAAATTATCAACACATTGTAACAATAGTTACATTCACTTTTTAAGCAGACAGTTAAAACATTTTCCCCTTCTGAAATTTCAGACACGGAAGGGGTTTTGGTCAGTTATGCAAAGGCTGAAATATGTGCCTGTGAAATTCCACACTGAGAGAACAGTTCTCTCTGAATTTATGCTTTTGCTGGGGGTGATCCACAGAAACACTTCCCTACAACGGGACATCAGTAAGAATCCAACAACAATTTGGGGTTTACCACTGAAACAGTGCAGGGTGTAACTTTTTTCCTTAGATCGCACAGAATACAAATTTAAAATCTTCTGTGACCAGTAATTCATGTCCAATGCCTTGCTGATATGTTATTTCACAATCAGAATTCAATGCATTTTCAGTGTCTTGGGCAAAATCAAGGCCAGACCTTTGCCCAAGGCCACTGACAGTGTTTATACAGGATTTCTTTGAAAATTCTAAGAGTTTTCTTTTATGGCAGATAAATACTCTTTCACTGCACGCACCCAAATGTTAGCAGTGCTGCTGGTTCAGAAGAACCTACTAATATATAGTGTTTGTCTGGATGTGGAGGAGGGTGTGGGTGACAAGAGGAGTATTAATGACAAACACATTTGTTGTTCCAGTACTTCTACAACTGTTTCACTTTCAAAAGCAAACTCTAACAGTCAATGTACTTAGCTAAAAAAAAAAAAGACATATACCCCAACAGTTCATGATAATTTGATGACTTGGACAAATCTAAACAAGATAAAAATGACGTGGTGTATGACCTTTTCCAAAGGCTAAGGAATCATTATTATAGGTTTCTTTATTACAATATTTAGTGGCAAGTTAGTTGGTATGTATAGAAAGAGGAACATAATTCGTGTCACGTTAAAGGTCACTATTTAATATAAGGTTGCAGGAGTGCTGCTCCTATTAAAATCAGATATCTTCTCCTACCACTAGCATCCTGGTCATCCCAAAAGATTGAAATATCACTAATATAATTTAAAAGAAAACCACAAAATTACTGCACATTCAAGAAATAAATGCCACTCTCCTAGAAAGTCTTTAGTTCATCCTCTGCAATGACAGGAAAGACCTACCTTTCTGAAAGGGAAAACTAATACAACCTTTGGAAAAGTCTAGAATCTATTTAGGGTTAGAATAAAGCACCAAAGCCATTTTAAAGCTTACCAGCATATATAGAAACACATACATACTTTACATATTAAGTACTTTCATTTCATTTGTTAGTTCTAGAGCTCATGAAAAGCAAATCCAAACAACATTGGTCACAGCCAAGTACCCTCCTATCAGTCAACAAAAATACTTCTCATCTGTGTCACATCAAGCAGTTTGCAATCACAGTTATGACAATATTGTTCCTCCTCTAGACCTGTCATTCCAAATGGGACCTCAGTGCTATTTTCTGAAAGATACGGACTGTAAGATAGTTGCAAAGTCATTTGAGATTAACAAAACTCATCTTTCCCCTTGTGATGTCCAGCCATGCTGTGTACAATGTAGTGCCACAGAAGTTAAAGGCTTTTTAATTACATCAGCTCTTTTATGAACTCATCTGCACGTTTCTAATCAAACCTCATGGCAGAACACAAGTGTAGAATTCAGTGTAAAAAACAGAATTACTTAAAACACAGTAAGTAGGAGTGTTTAAAAGGCCAGCCAGGATAAGCTTTCTAAGCATGAACTTGGCTGGGCCTGCAGTTTGACCTGCCTTATGCCACAACAACGGGCTTGCCTAAATGCAAATGCTTAAGAAGAGTCAGTTGTGAGAATACATGAAGAGAGTGCCCAAATATACACAAAACACATGTTTAGGTTGCTTGGCCATTCCTGCAATTTGAAAGGCAAACACCAGAGTCAATGCTCACCTAAACTACTCCACTAGCACGGTAAGTACTCATCATCTGGAATGATTAGGCCCTTGATCTCAATTATTGCTAATTCCAAAGAGGCAGTGATTTATTTCTCCATAAAATTCACACAATTCCTGCGTGTATGTGTCAATTATCTTATTCATTCCTCTTGAACTTGACTCAGGGCTCACTGACTTGCAGCAATTTCAGTGAACAGTCATGGTACTCAGGTTTGCTTGATTGTCAGAGCTTAAGAGATCATAACAATTTATTGACAGCTCCAGGAGGCAAGGAATTAAAATACAGCTCATAGTTAAGCATTAGTTGAAGCTGCTGCCACTGCAGGTACTCTCTTTCTCATTTTTAAGTAAAATGCTAATTGATACACTCACCCTGAGTGAATAGGGCTGGAAGAAAGAGCCACATTGTCCAAGTTTTCAGGGCCCCAGCTTAAGCGATAGGAATTCCTTTCAGCTTCTTTGGCCAGAGTTGTTACCTTGGGAAGCAAAAAAAAAAAAAATCCAACCCCTTTTATTGCAATGAAACCAAATAATCAACCAAACAATAAGACGTATTTTGCATAGCAGTGCCTAAAACATAAACATTTTTTAAAAAGAAAACAAAGGAGTAAGAATAGAATTAAGATATTAGAAACCCCTCATTGTAACATTCTGTATTTGCTTAAAGTAATCCTGTGTTAGTGGTATCAGTGAAATGAATGCTGTGATTTACCAAGAGGGCATTTCCTAAATGTCTTTTTTTAACTAAAAGCATGTTTCAGGAGAGTATCTTTGAGTACAATGGCTGTGAGTTCATTAGAATGTTTAGCCCGATGGCTGTAGCAACATTCAAAAATCAGCTAAAATGGAGAAAACATTAAGAACACAGTCCTTGTAATTCACACAGCTCATCCACTTATTTTGGAATAGAGTTTAACACTGCATGGTACAATATGCTGTTAAATATCAGCAAAAACAGAGAGACTGGTACTAAAATTAACAAGCAGCGAACACCACACAGACTCATTAGTGCGATTTACGCCGAGATCTTTTTCTCTGCCCCGATTTCTCCCGGCACCGAGTGAGTCCAGGGGGTTTTCTTACCTGCTGGCTGGGGATCACCACGGTGTCGTCGATCATGGCGCTGTCCCGCAGGTAGGAGGCGTGGCTCAGGGTGTGGGACCTGTCTGAACTGAAGGACCGCAGGCTGGCAGGTTGGTAGGATGGCATAGCAGTGCATCAGCAGCACGGATGATTTTGGGAAGGTGTCATGACAGAGCGAGTGGGAGAATGAAAGAAGCGTGCAATTAGCAACGGGATGCAGCTTCCAGGGGGAGCAGATCTCAGTCCTGGGGGAACCTCCCTGACCGTGGGCCACAAAGCCTCTCCACTGACTCAGCTGCTTCAAAATGCAGAACCTAGAGATTAATCTACATGATAGCTTTATACTCACAGATACTTTAGGCTTGGCTTTGTGGCATGATAGTTTCCTTACAACAAAAAGCATTAATTTCTTTTCAGTAAGGCTCTCCGGAGAAGTTCTCCGCTACGTCCCACAAACCACTGCGGAAAACCAGAACGCTGCCACCTGAGGAAAAGCTGGAATGACTCTTGCCCCCCCAACCTAATCTCTCCCCTTAAAACTGTAAATAAGTAAGCTTGACGTCGTCCCCTGGAAGGTACACGCAGCAAGGTGAAGTGTGGCCAGCCACAAGCTCCTGTGGAAAACAGGACCTTTCCCGTGAATGCCAGCAGCATCTTTAGGGAGGCAGTCCAAATGGGAGCACGGATCTCGCTGTGAGTACGCACAGCTCCACAGAACACTGGTTGCTGTAGCAATGAGAGGTGCAAGGCAGTAAATAAGCTGCTTCCAAGCACTGGCTCAGAACGTAACTGCAGCATCCACCAGCAAAAAGCAAAGAAAAAAACCAGACAAATAGGACGCCACAGAAGGACATACTGAGGTAAATGGGGTTTCTGCTACCAAACAGCACTAGTTTTGTCCCTTCAATATTCGCTGCCTGCAGTTTTACAGGATTGGTTTTTAAAAGAGATCAGCCACCTTCAGATGTTGTACGTGTACTCTAGAGGAATATAGTACATATAACTGAAGGCAGCAGTTTTGTTTTCCTGGCTTACACATCCGTGAGTAGTACTCAGAATGACTAATAAGCGGGATCAGAACAATAGGCCATTTATCTGGATACGCAGATTTTTAAAGGATAATTCATTTTCAGAAGTTAGCAAGTCATGCATTCACTACAGACATGAGTTTCAAGTGCTTTAAGTGCAGTTCAAATACCATCTGATTCAGATCACTCAGCCTTTTTTAACAATAGCTACATTCACTCGGGTTTGGGGTTTTTGATCCATTTTTAAAAGCAAAATGGTTACCTCGTTTTTATTAGAAATATATGACATGGAAGAATAATGAATGCTCTGGATGACTGACTCATACCAAAGGCCTGTTTAGCATCCTAGATGGACTGTACAAAACTGGAAGCAAAGACAGGCACTACACAAGGATCAGGTTTTGGAAAGCCTTGAGAAAAAACTAAACCAACAGTGAACATTTGTTCTTTGGCTGAGAAATGAGCCTCAGTAGCAGACCCCATTTGCCCTCATTATCCTGTGTTCATTTCCACGTTTGACACTTCCAGAACTGCTTTGCTGTGCCATGCAATGCTTGTGAGAGAGTCACCATCCAAGTTGTAGGTTCTGCTATTCAGCTACTGTCATGTCCTGGACAGACACTTAATGAAAGGAAGTCTGAACTAATGTTGGCTGGTTATCTCCACAGTGATTTTGTCCATCTTCACTGCTACTACCACCACGACAGGTATATATCCACTATGTACACTATGTGTACATAAGGTCCAGTAAATACATCGAGGGTATGGGCTTTATCTACAGGCACACACATGACTGAGGTTTGCAGTTAATTGGAGGTTTAAATTTCTTTCTAAATTCAATTTCAAACCTAGTGCTCAGATGGCACTGCCCCTCTCTGTGTGATGGACCAGCTAAATGAAGAGCAAACCAGTAGTTAAAGACTCAGAAATAAAGGTACTTCAGGAACCCTTTTAAATAAAATAAAATTTAAAAAAAAACTACCTAAATCAGAGCCAAAAATACCGTCTAAATATAGCTTCTTTCCAAATCTGGTTGATGGATTTTAAGTCACAGAGGCTGTGGGGCCAATAGCACTCAGCCACAGAGATGGAACTGTGGAACCCAGGAACGCTCCTGAACATAAGAGTGGGCCTTATGTATCATCCTTCTCTTCTAAGCCCTGAGCAAGGCCCAGGTGGTATCCAGAAAATATAAGCAGCATTCCTTAGCCTAGTTTCTAACCTGGATACCTGGGAGACCACGTTGCAGGGCACATCTACCAGCCTAGAGATCTAACAAGCTCTAGTCCAGTTAAATGTAATTCCTGTTGAAGTATATGTTGTTTCAGAGGCTGAGAAAAAAGGTGGTATCATTGAAAACTGTACAAATCAACCTTGAGAACACTTTCCAACAGCAGCATCGTTCATTTGGTCCTCCAAACCAACTTCCTGGCATACAGCAGGCCTCCAAGGTGGATGAACAGAGACAGGTGCCACAGAAGGGTATAGAGACAACAGGTGTTCATGCTATGTGATACCTACCTGGGCATGATGCTAATGAAAGCATATGGAAAAGAAAGAAAAATGAAGGGGAGAGAGAAATAAAATAAATAGGGAAGATGGTTACAAATGAAAAATATATGTTTTGAAATCAAATTGATCAATGCATAAGGTTACATGAGTCTAGACTGCTTTAGACTGTTCTGCTTTACTGAATTTCTTGGAAAACCAAAGTCGGTATAATGCAATGAAAATCACATTAAAGCAAAAGCAAAACAATGGAACCAATCTCTGTGAAAATTCTTAAAACCAGTAACCTGAAGGTGACAGAAAATGAGACCATGGAGTTAGAAAGACGTTTTTCTTCTTTCATTCTTTCTCCCTTTATAATTTTGCTTCATTTCAGTATAATCATTCTAAATGGGAGCTTAACTTAAACTGGCTTAAGATCTGCATGCACAATCATTTGTATACATCATCTTAAATAAAATCTTTGTTACCATGGAAAGAACAAAAGGGTTTGACTTCAGGCACTCTGCTGTAGTTCATAAACTTCCTCTAGGAGTTAAAAAGCCACACAGTCACTTTGTTTTCAGTAGACTCACTGGAACTGCCTAAAAACCAGCAAAGACTCCAGGCTTGTGAGACCTGAATGATGGGATTTACACATGCTGTGAGGAAAACCAAACTGTTTCCTGACATCTTTTGTTCCAGGAGCAATTCACAGCCCACTGAAGTAAACAGAAGGGATCCTACTGATTCCACTGAGCTTCGGAGATGCTGCCAGAATAACAATCAAGACTGGAAAACGAGGTAGGTTAAAAATTCTGTTGCCAAGACTTCCACTTTCTTCTTTTATTCCCTTTAGTGTACCCCAGTTCTAAAGGCAGTAAGTCCGGAGACATTGCTGACTTACAGCAGACATTTCACACCCAGGAGTGCCTGGGTAGCTATTCAGAACTAGAACTGTGGGTGTTCCTCTGCCAGCTCGAGTGGGAGACCCTGAAAAGGGGATTTCAAACGTATGTAACAAAATGAGTGTGGAATTATCACAAGAAAAGTGATGTATCAGAGAAATACCTGTCCGATCGTCCTCCTTCCAAGCTGTACCTCAGGTAGTTCATACCATCCAAGAACTGGCTGCTTGGTAAAGAGTCATCTCCTAGTTCTCGGAGGTCTTCTGGCCTAAGGTACTCTCCCCCATCTCCTGTCATTGTGTCATCACCTGTAAATCAATCACAGAAGGGACAGAGCTCAGCACACGCAGGGGTGGGATTCCATCTGCACAGCGGGATCTAACAGCTGGACAGCACAATCAACAGGAAGGCATTTCTCACTCAGGAAACACTGCAAACCACAAGCAATTAATATATATAATGACACTGCCACATCAAGCAAGACATTAAAAAAAATTGAAATCAAGGTGATTAGATTTAATCTATTTTTTGCTGTTGCACGCACTGGTAAGGGGCACATTTCTTTGCTATTCTCTAAAGTCTCTCTTGTTCCTTTAATCTATTTCAGCTCTCTGGTCACAGCTATGCTTTATCCCAGCCTGACAGTTTATGGTTAAATATCCCCACTTATTTGACTGTAATCTACGTGTTTGTAGAAGAAAACATATTTTCTGTGGCCTTATGCCTTATAGTTGCAAATCCTAATTTAAACTCTCCACTGTCCAACCTCCACATCATATGAGGCTCTCTCACCCATGTTACAACATCCTTCTGTGATCAGCAACAAAATTCTTATTTCTAAAACACAGCAACATCCAGAAACTGGAAATAAGCTCACCTGCACAGATGGGAATGATCATTATTCAGAAAAGTAATTCCTAATGAATCACAGCCTAAATGACCATTCTGACACAGTAACCTTTATGTATATACTCTGAACAACAGGGTTTAATCTTTTTTTTTTTAGGTCCAAAATTATTTTCCCCAGGAAATTCTGTCTATATGAAGTCACAGTTTGCTTTCCCCAGCAGACTAACAAAACAGATCCCATTGCCAAGCAACATGTAGATATTTCTTTTCATTCCCTTTTGCAAGATGCCTTCTCTCCACAGTTTCTTCCTGGATATTTCAGTCATCTTTCCAATTACTGGATGAGCCTGCCAGATCCTAGGCCATGGATGGCTTCAAACTTTCTCGTTTTCTAAGCTGTGTGGGCAAACTGGAGGTCATCTTGATATTTGTTTTCACAAAAACAAATCAAGCTACTTTTTCTAGCTTGATGTTTCAGCTAAGAAATAAGTAATTCGTTATTTGTCATCTAAAACTAAGTAAACTTTGGGGTGTTTAAGACTTTTTTTTGTATACAATAATATTATATGTAAAAATGAGGCTTGACTCTTTTCAGTGTAACAACAAGAGCTCTTGAAAATTCCATCTGCCCACATTAAGAGGGAGAAACTGGGCACAGTTTCACAGAAAACAATAAAATGCATTTAATCATTTCATGTTTCCTGTCTTCTGACAGACGATGCCTCCTGTTTCCTGGGAATGTCACATTATAAAGCACAGGGCTAAGTGAAAACTTGGAAGATATTAAGGCAATGCTGTTAATCAAACAGTAAAAGGAATTCCAAGTTATATTTCAAATAAACTAGATAATTATAATCATGCCAGACATTCCAGCTATAATAGAAACAAAGGCAAAATCTTCACCACTTTCATCACACCCACATCCTTAAAAAAAACAAAAAAAAAAATCCAAAGTCTGCTCTTATTCCAGCTTTGGCCTCTCATCTAAGAGTTGTCAATACCAGGGCTAAGTACCTCTGTTTGATGTGCTGGGAACATCTGCAAACAGAAACCAGACTATCCATGGATATCCTTCAACAGCAAACTAATCTTGAGGGAACTAGAAGATAAAGTCACTCCCCACCAGCCCCTTGTGCCCCTCCACCTTTCCTTAATGAGATGAACTCCCAAGGAGTTCCTTGTAGTATATGAAGGGGAAAACCACATGCTTAAGCCTCAGTGATTGCATATTTAGCTGACCAAGGCCTTCCTTACACAGCAGATCTTACCAGATGTAGGGCTTTGTGGCCCTACAAGAAATTATCCTTTTTAATTGTGCCAGAAATGATTTGTCTGCCATCACATTCCCCATCAAATTAATGCCAGGAACATTTTCCCCACTCACACTAAGCAGTCTGGGACAAATATAACCCTTGACACTGGTGCTCCATTGTTTGCAGTGGTCACCTGTGAACTCACAAGTAGATTTTGAGGAGTCACCTGCTTAGTGATTTATCTTCTATTTCCTAGAGAGAACACCTTCCCAGCTGAACCCCTGCCCTTGCTGCTGCTGTTGTCAAACGTCTGAACACAGTTCTGAGCATTTTAAATCACTGAACAGGCTACTAAGTGACACAGGATACATTCTGAGATCACATATCTGCTCCTTCAGCGAGAGCTTGGCTGGACACACAGGATTTTACTGATGCCCAGGAACTGGAGACCCACACTGATAGGGCTGTACTGACATCTGCAGCACAGTCAACTCGTTTAGGGAAGGCTCAACAAAGGCACTTCCTACCATTCCTGCGCTTCTTCTGCTCCTAAATGAACTGCAAAACACAACTGCTGTATGAGAATTGCTCTGGAATTGTTTCTCACAAAACACAGAGAAAATGTAGGCAAAAGTTAAAAAAAAGAAATAAGTAAAGAAAGGGGTCTGTGTCAAACTGCCAGAAGTTGCTTCTAATAGATGTTTTTAAAGCCAGATACAGTTATGTGAGTTTGCCAAAATTATTGTTTTCTCTACAGCATGCAGATAAGTTTACAGTTCACCACAGAAGTGCTGCTCCTTAAAGGTAACAGATGGAGAAGGGAGAGCTATGGCAAGAAAAATTTTTATGGAATACGTATACTCCAGAGTTTCTGTGACACTTTCCTTGGACACCTTCACTTCCCTAAAGTCAATTCTCCACTTAATGGCCCACACTAGCAGTTTCCCTGGATTACAGTTTGGCTAATGCTTTAAATTTTCTTTACTTTTAGCCAGTCAGGAAAGCAGGGTCTCACGTGTGGTTTCCTGCAGGGTTTCAGACATTAATACATTGAACAGTTCCTGGCTGCAACTTTAACTTCCAGGTTTAATTAAGGAAATTAAGTTTTCCCACTAATTAAGGTGCTCCTGCAGAGGAATTATGTGCCTGTACACCAGCAGTGAATTGTGCCCATTTCTCACATATATGCAGCAGTATTTGCTACTCCAAGGCCATGTGGGGAGGCACCCAGGAAATTCACTGTTGTATTTTAGCACTGTGAGTTTTTTTTCCTTTTTGATCAGAAATCTGATCCAATCAGGTATGAATTAGCTGTGAACTGCTTCCTGGAAATCTCAGATCACATTATGATGTTCTTAAGTGACACAGCAGTTCACAGACCTGCCACCCTGTCACTGATGCACTTCCATGAAGGGACAGCAAATCCTGCTTTTACACAGAAACTATTACAGTGACTCTGTTGGAACCAGGCACAGGGTTGACTCCTCAGCAATTTCTGGACAAGTTTCCCTCACGAAAAAAACAATTTTTTTTCTACTGATACTGGGATTCCAATGGGTTTTTGAGAGTCCATTGACTACTTGCACATGAAAACCTCTGTCTATCCCTTTTCTGCAATTGAAATGTCAGCATTAATTACTGTTTGGTGTGAGCTGACCTTCATGGTCGTGCCCATCTCAGGCCATGCTGCTTCTGACAGTGGTGTCTCACCTTTTACTTCAGCCTTTCTGTTCCCTTCTGCCTGTAAAAGTCATCTGGTGGGAAAACAACTTGTCAGTACAAACAAAGAGATTGATTTGCAGACGGATCAGTTCTCTGGGTTGGTTCATCACATGGTGAAACGTTTGTGCTGCCAGAATGGAGGATGTGGGGAACCACGGTCACAACTTGACTGCTTCTGCAGCAGCCACAACTTAAGTCTCGAATAGGAAGTGAACCTACAACTTTGGAAAATGAGCTGGAGGTGAGCAGGCTCAAAGAGAAACTAATGAGAGCTCTTGAACACCCTTTTAAAATAACGCATGGAACGAGTGCATAGAAGCACATTAATATATGGGAGGAAAAAAAAACCAAAACAGGTTCCTGCTTTTTCTAGATGTTCCTCTGTGTCTACACTGACTCAGCCCTAACAAAAACATCTGCTTGTGCTCAACTTCACTAATTCTCCAGACATCACTAAAATACATTTCACGAGATGCTTTGCAGTAATTCCCCTCTGCTACTCTAAGGATCCCTCGGGGGCCAAGTGTTTCTTTTGTGGCAACAGCTTTAAAGGAACTCAGCTTTGCAGCAACACTCACAGCCAAGGCAGATGCAAAGATAAAAATGCACAGGTTTTTTTAGTGCAACTGTATCCACACCAAGCATTTCTGCTGGCATGGGTGTACATTTCTCAAACCACATCACTTAACAGCTCTGCCTATGGGAATTTGTAGTGCAATCCCCACTGATGGGGAACAAATGCCATTAAGAAAAAATAAATTATCTAGTTCTGTTCAAAAGAAAGATTATTTTTTCCAGGTACTGTAAAAGGCAAAGAATTCTGAATAATAATAATACATAGGATGAACAGAAAAATGCTGCAAGAAAATTGAGGAAAAATTAGTGGGAATCTCAGTTCGTGCAAAATATTTTAAAATAAGCTACACAGGGCAAGGACCTGCCATATCAAGCTGAGCTATTTGATAGATTATTTGGTGCATTACTTTATCCTGTTAACATGAGATGTTGCACTTCTGTTTGTTTTAGGAATAGGAATACTACGTTAACAACATAACAGCATGCAATTATGCAACGCACCTATTTTCCAGGCACAATACAAAATATTTATCACCAGTAGCCAACATGCTCCACAATGGGACATGAACCCCCTCTTTGCTCAAGCGCTCTTGTGTTACTCTTGGTAATTATGTAACTACAGCTGGCAGGTTTAGCTGTCACATCAATTTATTTCAGAAAACATTGTGTCACTTGAAAGAACACAGACAAATCTCATTGCTGGCCTCTTACAAAGCTACACCGTCACTGAAGGGTTCATCCCCTCTATTAAAAGAGTTTTTGCAGTCTTCCTGTCCCCAGCTATTTTAAGTTCCTGTCACCAGTACCATCCACGTTAGGACTGTCTGCAGGGAATGTTAATTCAAAGCACTGGAGAGCATTAGTCATGCTGGACAGCCCCTTCAAGTTCTGCCAACATATTCAAGATATAGGTAATAAATCTGAGGTCTCCTGGCCTCCCTTCTTCCTCCCACCTTTCAGGAAACACACGCTCAGCCACACTTCAAAAGTAACGGAGAGGAGCAGTGTTAGGCACCCAGAGTATGCAAACCTGTGTTGTTTCAACACCAAAAATAAACCAAACAGTCCAAACAAGAAGAAAAAGTTTGTAGGTCTTACTCCACGAACTCCTGCTAACAGCACCTGTGCCATTACATGCTTCCCCATCACTGAAGGGTTCATCATCAGAGTGTTTAAAGGCTGTACAACACACAAATTGGTTTGAGAAAAGGGAATACTCTGGATTAATCCTGTAGAAGCAGAAAGACGTACCAGGCCTTGTGGATTTAAAGATGGTTCAAAAGACTGGGAATAAACTCAGCAAGGTGAACATAAAACTATAAGCAGTTTAAAGGCCATTTGTCATAATAATTACACAACTAGTTGAATTGTTTCTCAGACACAAAGCAGCAAAAACATTCCTGAGCAAAATAATCTCGACGGTCATGATGCAGCAGAAAATAATTGATTTTGAATCACACTTGTTTTGCTTTCACATTTGAAAACAAAAAGTTGCATCTGGAGCCTAAGCATGGTATTTACTCAAGAGTGTAACTCATTTATCAGCAGAAATCCCATTTCTAAAAGCAATGCAAGAAGTTGTATTGGCCCTAATGAATGCCATTAACTTCCTGCACCATTTAGAACCACAAGTGCATTTGCATTCTTTGTAAAAGAAAAAAATCCAACCCTGTAACCTGTGTTCCCAAATCCCCAGGACTTTTTGGAAATCAGTCACTCTACAAATTATTTGCATGAAATAATAAAAACAATCATAAAATAGCATATGTAAGATACTGCAATATTAATTAACACTGCCAAGAGTAAAAAAGAACACAGAAGATTCTTGCAAACGTGTTCATATTTCTCAGATGCTGTGTGACCGAAATTTCTAAGCAGTCACTTGTGAACTTTGAAAAAGGGACATTTTTAAGCCTTTTCTGTAATTCTGTGCAGTACAAAATTGCAATATTTTATCAATTCTTCCAGAAGTTCACAGAAATTTTCTTGGGATGTAGCTGAGCAGTACAACACGTGTCTCCTGTCTGTACATGTAATGGACTCTGAAACCCAAGTGCCAAACTTATTAGCGTGTTGTTACTTTATGTCATGCCTTATGTATCCATGAGTCCTGTGTGCCAAAAGCTCCCTCCAGGGAACAGCCTGCTCACCTTCCACCTTATGCATCTCCTCACACAAATGTTTCCAATTAGGCAGAATTCCTAGATATATGTATCTGATACAGGTGGCACGGGGCCAAAAAAATTACTGCTCAGATTCCTCGTCGTGGGAGGGTCAAAGTCAGCTCTGGGAAAGCTCTACATTGAAATTTTAAAATCTGAAGTTGGGAAACGTTCGCATTTGTTGATTTGGTTCAGACAAGCTTTTTCTGAAAAGATGCAGGGGTGTAGGATTTTGCTCTAGGTCAAATTCTGGCACCTTTATCCAAATGCCATGATGATTACATCATTTTAAAAAGGCATTTCAAGCACTGCAAAATGAAGACATCAAAGTACTTAGGTAGCTTCTCAAGGTGACATAAGTGATATGGAATTTAGCAAAGTTGCTCACCTTCTTCATCCGACACATCCAGGACCTCAGTCATGGTCTCGGGGACATTCAGCTTGTGCTTCTCTGTTACAGTCTGCAAAGACAGAACCATCAGTCCTCAAATGAAACCCCAAACAGAGCAGCAAAGTTTACAGCGAGATATTTTCAGCACTGACAGCAGGGGGATGTGCTGAGGCACTTCAAAACGTGCATCCCCCTTCCCCTAACTCTCCTTTTCATCTGTACTCCAGAGGCTCTCATTCTCAGTGCTGTGTAAGGTAACATTTCTTCTGGCAGAAAAGTAAAAAAAACATAAAGATAACGTGCTGGTCAGAGGAATAAAATTTACTTATAAATGGTGCATGTAGAACAATTCAGCTCAATGTTTCCAAGATTATTTTAAAGGGAATTAGGTAATGTCTACAGAAGAGCTTCAGAAAGTTGTATGTGGCATATGGAAATTATTAAATCGTAAAGCATTTGGAAATGAAGTTATGAATGATGTGAAATTCCTAAACTAAAAAAAGATGTGAGGGATTTACACAGATCACTTGAAACATTTCTCCCCCCCCCCAAAAAAATGCCTATACTGCATATTAATGATATCCTTTTCATAAATCACGTACATTCCCCCAAAGCATGTACACATCAGAAGAAAAAAAAAGGTTATTTGAAGATTCTGATATATTTTGTGCACCTAAAAACTTAAAATACTGTGAATCAAGGCAACTGTGGACTGAGGAATAGTGGGAGAACACTGATTAAACAAGAGAGCACAGAGCGGGAGAACAGTGGAAGATATTTTTTATATAATTTTATCTTCATAAATGACTTCTGGGAGAAAAGAGATGATGTTCAGGGGTGCTGAATCAAGAATGGGGACATCCTTTTAGCACCAAGATACAGCCTGGAGAAGAACATGCAGAACACAATGAGAGAAACTGTAGGAAATGCGAGGTGTGAGAAAGTTGCCTGCAGGAAACTCTTGAGCGTGTTACGATACAGGACGCAAAATGCCAAGGGCTAAAAAAAAAGAGCAGTTTGAGCAGAACTGCATTAGTCACAAACAAAAAAATAACTATTTCCCTGGCTCCACCCAGCTGTGCAGCCAGTCAGCTGAACTGGGGAGCTGTGGAGGGCAGCACACACATGGCCTTTAAGGTATGTGGGAGCAGATGTGCCCCTCTGGCATAGAGGAGAGCGCCAGGAGTGTTTCTTGGGAAGCTCTGACTGAGGCAGTGCTTCAGCCCCTGCTGTAGATAGTATCTATCCTGCAGAAATTACATGCAAAAGGAGGGAAAGAGCATAAAATGAGAGGGATAATTAAAGTCAGCCAAATCCTGAGTCCCTTGTGCAACATTCTTCTGGGAAAATGCCCACTGATAGCAAGCAGTGAAGCCAACAGCAGTTTTTGTTGCACAGAATTTAGTAGCTATTTCCTGATCCTGTTGTATATTCTCTAGTTCTAACAAACCCACAAAGACAGCATTCTTGATTATTGTAACATACTGCACTTTCATAAACAACTATGTTACCAAGCGTGTAGTTACTTTGCAACTTTGTTTTAAAAGCCTGCTTTACATTTTTGAAATCTATTTAACTGTGACAGCAGTTTTCAGTTCACCCTCCTGAGGAACAGGGAGAGAACAATGCCCTTTGCCTCAACTGGCAATCCCAATTAGGCCCCCCCCCAAGTTCACTCTTACCCAGGAGTAAAGACAACCAATTATTTCTGTTGCAGCAGAACACGTTCGGGGTCGAAAACTAGTTTATATTCACCGAATGCCTCCGCCAATATGTCTGACTTTTCCCCCTGTATTCCCATGGCATTCCTTGGATAGAAATGTCAGGCAGCAGTGGGGTGACAAGGCCAGCAATGACAGATGGGGAGGGTGCTGTCACTCAGGTGGCACTGACCTTGTCCCTTCAACAGCACAGTTAACAAATAAGTTAGACAATAAGCTAAAGCAAACCACAAGAAACAGGTACAGAGGCTCGCTGTATACTTTTCTTTTACTCTGCTCTATTTACCATTACATCAATTTATTCATAAGTTAGGATTTTACAGGCTCCTATATAATAACAGTCTGGCCTCTGACTAAGGCTCTCAGACATTATTATTTATTAACAGAGAAGCAGGGATACTTTATTTACTTCCTGATTTTCCTATCGGTCATGAAAAAAAAAATTATTACCTAATTTAAGAACTGAAAGGAAGTTTGGAAAAGAGACTCAAAAGAGTGTGTGTGCACGTGTGTGCTTCAGAAGAAAAAATCTGCAAGGCCCACTTTGGAACACTGAACTCAGCAAGAATCATTAATTCCACTTAATTCCTAATTCTACTTAATCATTAATTCTAATCCCAACAACGTCTGTTGGTAATTGATGCTTTTAAAAGGAACTTCTAATGTAAAACTAGAGTTTTTTTAATTGATAGGCACATCAAATACTCTCAAAATTTAAGATCCACATCTAGCCCCATGAGACTTGGAAAACTGCTCAACGTGTGTTGCTTAAACTCCCTACTGTTTGGTGCCACTGAGATTTCCCTTATGGACTTTACTTCAAGCTTCTGTATTTGAGGCTTTCATTGTGAGGCCGGATTTTCATCTGGTGGCACAGAATAATTCAGATACATAAACCCATTTGTGCTTTCAGCAATGACTTACTGAACAGCACCATACCTGTAAACAACCCCAGAGCTCCTCATATATTCATTTGTCCACAGGAAGCCTGTGCTTGTTTGTACAATTGCCCCAAAACTTAATTGCACAGCAAACCTCTGAAAGTCCGGTTTATTCTGATTTATTTCCTACTCATCTCTAATCTTTCAGTTAAAAAAAAAAAAGTGCACTTTATTCTCTCTATTGCTTTATATTCCTGTGGCTCCACTAATAACACCACTAATGCAAGTAAGAGGAAAATTTGTTCCAAGTTAGAGCAAAGCAAGGCTTTGGCACTGGAGATCTTTTCCTCATCTCCAACGCCAGTGACTTGAATATCAATAAAGCATCAGGCTGTCTGACATCCTCCAGGCAGGGCTCAGCCACAAGCTCAGAGAATGAGGTAGCTATGGTGACAGCACCTTCTTTGCAGTGCTAAAACACTGTGTGCAGGTTTGGCAACACCAGCCTCACCATCTGGAGAACTTTACTGCAGGGAGTGCCTGGTATTTATCCCTCCTTTTTAGGACTTGTTGTGAATTATGTTTAATCAACATTCCCCACCACGAACACCGCCACCAGAGCGTATATTCCATACATCCCTGAGGTACAAGGTTCAGATGAATTCACGGCTGGAGAATCTGCTGAGTTTATCGAGGGTTCCCACCTGGCTTTCAAAGCACACAGACACAGGTCAAGATTTCAGATTTGTCTTATGTGCAAGTATTAAAGGTCGACTCTGCAAGTAAGGTTCAGTATTCGACTCAGTCCTAAACCCCAGGCATCAGGTGTCCCGTAGAAAAATCCATTACCCTCAAAGTTTAAAGAAATATTTACCCCAAGTAAATAACTCACAGGTGTCTTTTCATAGTGTAATCCCTACTATTACAAAGCTCTAACACTTACATAAGACAAGGTACAAGGCTGCACAGTGCAACACAATGTACAACAGAAAGGAAGTTACAACTTATATCAGACAAGAGATGAGAAGTGTGTGCCAGGACACAGCACAGAGAACAGCAAAGGGGTGCTTGGAGGCTAAAAAATATTCTTTTCAAGAGAGCTAAAGTTCCTCAAAAAGTTTTACCTAGCTTTTATTTTTCTAAATCTCTGATACATATGTGTTTATGCATGTACATGTGTGATGTGCTATATGACTGAACAAGAACATGAAGTCATAACAACAAAAACCTACAGACTTCATTAGAGACTTCTGGAATTACTCTGGAATTTCTTGTCCAAACCTGACTCAGCCTGATCTTTGTAAGTCATTAATAAATTATGACTCACTCTATTTGTAACCTGATTCCATCTTCCTTGGTTCATATCAGTGGGACTTGCTGTCAGCATGCAACAAAATTAAAATTATTTCCCCATTTCTTTACAAGAGATTTTGTATTTCTTCCCTTCTTCTAACCCTCGCCCTGACTGAGCAGTGGCATCTTTTAAGTAATCTGTGGATTTTTAAAGCTCTGAGCTCCTAAATGACATGTAGAGCTGTTTTCTAGACTGCTAATCATTCTTGAAAAAATAAAAAAAAGCATGACCTTACAACAGTGTTTCAAGATAAATGCAGTAATTGAGGTTAAATTGAATTTAATTTAATTATGCACTGTTCCTATTGTTCTCCCTTTCTACCTGCTAAGACACGTGTAGATGGGAGGTAAAAGTCCAAGAAGAGAAAACCTTCCCCTCCCAGGGTGTCCAAATAGATCAGTTTTTCCTGGCTTAAAGCTGCAGTAGCACCTTGCTGACGTTCAGCACACACACTATTCACAAAACCTGACATAAAAATACACACTCCAAGACTGTGGGGGACTCAGCACATAAGGGAAGATTCCTTTGTATTTGGAAAAATGGGATCTGTTTGAAGTGGAAGTGACTTGAGCAAGAAGATGATGGATGAGATCCACAGCCATCCCACGAGCATCATGAGGCTTGGCACCAGGCCATGGCTGCACAGTCCAAACGTGAGGACACCGTGATGTGCTGCAAGGGCTGAGCCTCAGTCAGTGTCACAAGTGTGGAGATGTCAGGCCAGGAGGGGGAGGAGAGGTGAAAAGAGAAACAGAGAAACAGGGCAGGATCTAAGCAACACCACACAAACTTCTGGAAAGTTTGGGCTTGCAGCTCAGACCCAGATCTAGAAAAAGTTTGACTCTGCTTTCAGAGGGTTGTTTTCCATCTCTGTGCACACAGATTTTGTTCCCAAGCTCAGTGGAGCCTGTGGTGCTGCACACACTTCCACAATGCTTAAAAGATACACTGCAGGCACCGTAGCAAAAATCCAACAGAAAGGGGGGCAGGGGCTAAAACGAGAAACCAAAAAAAGAGGGAAAAAGGTACGTGGAGAGTCTGAGGGATGAAGAGAAAGACAACATTCTGAATAGAGAAGAGACATTGTAATGCATGTGCAACTCACAGTTGTGGTGGTGGTGATCTCCTCCGTTACAACCTTCAGCGTGTCCACCACTGAGATGTATCCCAGGCGCCTGGCGATGGCTAAGGCAGTGTTCCCATTCTGAAGGGAGAGCAGAGGGGGGAGAGCGCTGAGAGGGAGGACTGTGATGTGAACCAATGAGCTCACGCTCCGCGCTGCATGAGCCAGCATTTCCATCCAAAACAAGGCACAGCCTAGGAAAATCGCTGCTTTTTTACCGTTACATCTGACTCTGTCTTTGTAACTTCTTTTAAGACTATAGCCCCGGTCGCCATGGTAACACAACACACTTACATCTCCCAGATAGTCCAAATACTAAAGGCTGTATGGTTTAACCCTTCAGGGCTCAAATCTCACTGGACAGCACGTGTCTTGCCTGCAAAAGTTTGTGTTTTATTTTGCATAAACGTCAGAAATAGTCTTCCAGAACACAGGAAGTTTTTTAAAATGTTACAGTTTCGCTCCCAGTTGAAACTGTTAAACCTTTATCAGATACAATTCCTTCCCCGGGGAATAAAAGATTACAGCTGTGTTGTCCACATACACTTCTATTCCTTCATACAACAAAAATGCATCTCCAATAAAAGCACACAAAAGCTCATGATTTAACAAACACAAAACACGAAAGGTTTGGAGGGGAGGAATTATTTTCCATTTAAATACTATCATGTGCAGTTTGAATGCTCATAATACACAGACGTGATTCATCAAACGCACATTAAAATGATAACTTAGTAAGTGTTTTGGCTTATTTATCCTCATTTTACCACCTGAAACACTGGCAGTCCATGGTCCCCATGGCACTCAACCTGGGGAGGGGAGGAAGGGATGTGTTCCATGGTTCTTTGTAAAGAGCTCTACACAGAATTTTTCCATGTTGTTTTGCACTCAACCAAGGGATAACATGCTGGTCTGCTAGGGAATCATGGAATGTCACTGTACTGCTCTTTGCACTGAAATGATTTCTCTTGTGACCCCACTGTGCAGGATATCAGCCTGAGGGCTTCTCTCTACTTCAGTACTGGCTTTAGTTATCTGTAATTTAAATTCTGCTGTATTAGTCTAGCTCAGCAGCCCTGCAGCAACACAGGGTTTGTGGATTAGCAGCACAAAATGAACAGATTAGCATCTTCATAGCACAAATAATCTGACTGCTACCGTCACTTGCAACCCACTGCCAGATGTCTCAGGTTGAAACTCTCTCTTATCTTAAGCCAGAGGTTGCTACGTCTGGACAAGGACAGATCTAGTACCTGAGGAAGCACGTAAATTGTGTAACACATATCCTTAAGACTCTGCTTGGACTTGGGTTAAGTAGCCCCAATGTGAGGACTGAAATCAAGCCAAGAGATCTTTGGCTGAACATGCCAAACAGCGCCTACAGCCTCAGAAGGTGACTACAGTGGTCTGTCCCTTGATGATCTGGTGCACAAACTAGTATTGTGGATAACTTCACCCAGGATTACTCAACGTGATGGTTCCAGGACCCAACAAGGCGCCGGTGCTGATTTAATCACGCGCACTACATACACGCAGAAAGCTGAGCCACTCTGGGGAATGACACGAGTTTTGGACACTCTGGCTGCATTTTAATGATTACCCAATTAGAGGTGACTAATAACAACATCAACGTGAAATGGGACAGTCGCATTCCTGGCTGACTGTGGGGAAGGAGCTGTGCCAGAAGTTACTGACGGTCTTTGAGGAGGCATTAACATCTGTGAACTCAGCAAGAACCTGAAACGGATCCAGCGGAGAAGAGGGACAGAAATGTGGGTCTAAATTTTCAAAAAAGCCCAGGTTCTGAACTGCCCGCAATTTTTATGGAAAATTCCTTATGGAGATATCAATTTACAGACAGAGGGAAACTGAACAAGGCCAGCACAGCCAGCTGTGGCCAGCCCGACCCTGCAGCTCAGAAATCCCTTTCTCCCCCTCACGTTTAGCTTAGTGCACAGTTAGACCAGATCTGAACTACCTTAAGAGGATAAGGAAAAGCAGAGGAAGTGACATTTACACATCTGACAACCAGCTGTATGAGGAATACTTTCCCCAAAACAACAACTTGCTCTCAAGCCTTAAGAAAGGAAAGAAAAGAACTGTCCAGGGACTAAGTTCCCACTGGCAGGTCGCAGACTTACCGTGGTGATGGCGTTGGGCTTGGCCCCGTGCTGGAGCAGGACATTGATGATGTGAGTGTGACCTTGCTGAGCAGCTTGGTGAAGAGGGGTGTACCCATTCTGTTGACAAGCAAAACAAACAAACAAAGAACAACAAGCGTCAGTAACTAGATTAGAAACTTCACTTTGCTTCCTTCTGCTCCTTTTGAGATGTTTCAAACATAAATTATGCCATCGATTGACCCAAAGAAGACAAACTTTCAGTAATAATAATTCTCCTTCCCCAGACTAATGCAAATATAAAGGAAGATAATATTTTTATTCAGAAATCATCTTTATCTCACAAAGACATTTCTCCCTCATTTCCTAAATCAGAGGGAGGAAAATGAGGAAGAGCAAAGTTAAAGTGGCAAGTTAAGGGCACAAAATCATAGCTGAGGCAGAGAACATTCAACTTGCTCTCACATCTTAGTTTCCAACAGAAGCCCCAAGATTTGCCTTTAAAATATCTGAGCCAATTAAAAAAATGTATCAGTTTTACCAGAAGTGGTTAGAGACCTATTTGCTTTTTAAAAGGCTAACAACATATATGTGTTAAAAACATCAATCAACTTTAGCTTTGCCTTCAGAAGGTTGGACCAAGCTGTAATTACATTTAAAAAAAACATGTAGACAGTGCCTGTACTAATAAACACTCTTAACTCCATACACTTCTCTGCTCCAGTGGTTCGTTCTAATGTCACACAAGGCAGAAGCACAACCCAAGTGTACTGCAGCTGGCTGATCTGAGATGGTATTGTGAAAGTCCAGTCAGGTAATTCATTTACAAAATTAGTTGCAATTGGCTTTGAAAGCAGGCAGAGAAGAAACTGGAAGAAAACACCAAGTTGATCTCACTGTACACTTACATAAAGCCTGGGGGCAGGCTCTGAAAGACACGCTCTGAGAGGTATCTCTGTTGCAAACCAACAGATGCAAACAATGCTTTGCACTGCTAATTAAATAGTGATAGTTCAGAACTGTTACAGTTCTTACTGTGAGTGCATGGACTGCTAGGAATCCGAAGGAGGATTTACTGTAGGTTCTAGTGCAAAGTAAATTCACTATCTTTACTTCAATATTAGGGCAGTCCTTCACAACTGGAATTCAGCCCTATTATTTTTCACAAAGCTTCACGCAGGCTTTCCCTAGTTAAAGCCCAAGCTGCAACAGAGGTTACTTAGTCTTTAACATGCCTATCCTGAATGCAGCCAGGACGGATTTGCTCTTTAAACTGAGTCCACAGTGCCAGTTGACAGACTGCCAGTATTTTTATTGGTCCCCAGGTGTGAGATTTTGGAGAAGCGCTGCCTCACACAAACTTGCTGACTTTAATGAAATTATTATAAATAAGTGAAATACCTGGGTAAATGGAATCAGAATCTGCCCCAGTGGCCCCTTAAATATAGAGAGAGACCTAATACTAAAGATGGAAGTTTGTCTGTCCCTTGAGCTAGCCTCCAAATACCTCAGCTGAATGTCTTGGCAGCTATAGTTTGGATCCTTCTAGTGTCTGTTTTATTAATTCTCATCAGCTGTTTTTCTAGTGGTGTTGCCTGTCCTTTTGAAATACCTGGGTTTTGCCCATTGATTTTGGGTGATCCCATGAGGGATGAGGCAGAATCTTTATTATTTGGCTTATTCTTACCACACTGAGCTGTGACCACGGTGACAAAATAAGCGCTACTTTGAGAAATAAGTTCATCCCATAGGTCACAGGTGGGGACACAGGAGCTGGGCAGAGGGACCAGCAGACTACAAGCCCATTTCAGTATAACTGGTCAGTACCAGCATATCCAGATTCCCCTCAAAAATCCCCAAACCCTCCTTCAGGAAACCACATTCCCTCACCACAGCTGCTTCCTCTCCCAGAGTCATACCACCCACGCGTTGAACAGCAGGAATTTTTCCCACTCTTCCCCCAGCAGACTGGAGAGAACCTGGCATCACCCTCCAAGTGCCTGAATTGTTACTTACTGGTTTGACAGCACACTGGTGTAAACCATGTGCAAATGAGATCAGAAACAAACTTGCATTTGTTAGCTTGCAAGTAATAGGAAGAAGAAAAAAACCCCAATGAAATGGATTCTCCATATCATTTTTTCATACACCCATAGAGTTATCTGACTTTTCTTTCCTGAACACCACACAGTGAGATGGAGCAGAGGGAAGTCATCCCACTACAGTCACAGATATGTTGACACCTCCCATGCCATGGTTACAGCTTCCAAGTGAAAAGGCACCCATGGCATGTACTCAGAGTGCTGGGTTACCACGTTTATAATAAAGAGCAAAACCAAAGCAACGAGAAACTCTTTACCTTTGTTTTAGCATTGACATTTGCTCCGTGCTTGAGGAGAAAATTCACCATCTTGATATTTCCATAGTGACAGGCCACAATTAAAGGTGTGTAACCAAGCTACAAGAAGAGAACAAAGAAGTAAAACTGCAAGCTCAGTGGAACATTCCTTGGACAAGGGTAGCATCCTCTGTGCTGGAGACAGCAGCCACTCCATGATTTACCTTTGTCTGAGCATCCTGGTTTGCACCGTGTTTGGTGAGTATTTCAGCTACATTCACTTTATCCTCTTGAGCTGCAAGGTGTAAGGATGTCAGTCCAGCCTGGAGGTGGGATATACAAAATGAATAAATAAATAGACAGAAATAAGAATAAAACCCTATTTAAAATGAGGAACGAAATCTAGACTTTCCCACTTTCTCATCTTTAAAACATGAACAGATCCTAACTATAGCTTCTGAGGATGGGTGGTGTTTTCAAACAAAGTGGAGCTGATGTTGCTCCTGTTCCAGCTCCAAAGCAATTACATCTCCATAACTATAGAGGAAAACTTTCAGGCATCAATGCTCACGCTCGGGTTTTCTACAATAATGTCATTTGGGAAGCTGAGGAGCCCATTAATAAATTAGGGAAGCACATTCACTGTGCTTCCCACTCCTCAGACAGGAAAGGGAACCTTGACAACTGCAGGCACGAGTCAGAATGAAGACCTTAATTCCACAAATAGATCCCATTCAAAGATGCCAAGGGAAAGGATGCAGCCTCTAACTGAAAGTTCACTGTGATCACGCACACAGCACTTCCACGTGAACAAGTCACCGAACAAATTTTGTATAAGAAATGAAAATCACCTTGTTCCTCTTAGCAGAATACATTAATTCCAGACAAGGAGAGACATGAGCCTTCTATTCTGATTTGTATGAGCAAAAGCTGCAGGCTTTTCATCTTAAGTAAGATTTACATATATCCCTGGATAAATCCAGTGACCTATGAAGATCTACAATAATGGGGGGTTTTTTTGAGGAACTTGTTTTCTATGAAAAAGCTGTAATGTACAATCATAAAAGAAGAAAAAAAATTGGAAAGGTCCCACTTGGGATTTTTCTCAGTCTCAATTCCAGTAATAATGTTGTCCTGTTATTTGCCAGACGCTGTCAATTTCTTCCCTTGGAAAAAAAACCGAAGGATAAACACAGGAGGAAAAGAGCCTTTGCTGGTCAGACCACAGCTCTCAGGTTTTGATACATATTGATAAGTCTACCCATGGACCCAGAAACTCCAGAATTTTATATTCCTCTTCCATTCCCTCTCATACAGAACTGCAGGAGTACGTGCAAAACACTTGAGAGATGGCAAGGACGCAGCACAACAAAAATACTGCAGCCCTGCCTTCCTGAATGCTCAGAAACAATATTCTCTTGGTCTGCCTTTCCACCTGAGCCAGGTGTTGCACCGGTTTCCTCTGGGCACAGCAAACAGCCACAGCTCCTCCTGTGCATTACCCACCAGAGCTATTAATTACATGATACAAGTTAACCGGTCAATTATTTTCCAGTCCTAGACACCCTCTCCTCATTTTTACTGTTTGCTCACCTGTTGTCACTCCTGCAGACTCACCAACGGAGAGAATTCCTGACATCATTCCTGAGTATCATCATTCCTGCACTGCACTCAGCATCTTACCGGATATTCCCACCCACGGTACTTTGCCTCTGGTTGTGAGTTACCTTTGTTGCCACATGGATGTTGGATCCTTTCTCCAAAAGCAAGGTCGCCATGTCAGCATGACCCTCTTGGGAGGCCAAGTGAAGCGGGGTGACTCCCTGCTTGGTCAAAATGTTGGTCTCGGCCCCATAGTTCAACAGAGTGGTGGCTATCTGCATCTGATTTTTCTTGGCAGCAATATGCAGAGGGGTGTATCCATTCTAACACCAGCAAGGAAATAAAAGGAGAATAAAGTTAACACAACAGCCACGTAAGCCTAAGAAGTCAGGCACCATAAAGCAGGATTATTTGATGTCACCCTCATTACTAGAGAGGAGAGTTCATTAAATTTTCAAGGCCAGACATGTCCCACATAGCCCTGCTGTTGTGCTGCTTTGTCCATCTGTTATTTGCGCTGCCTAAACTAGAACAAAGCCAACCCTCGCCAGGGTGGGCAGGACCGTTCCACTGATACCTTCAAATTATCCCAAGTTTGACACCTACATTTTGTATAACCTATGTTGCAAATAATCACTTCTGACTGATGAGTGACATCCCCCATGATGACTGATGGGTGCACACTCTCCATCACATTATGCTTTTTCAGAGCACGTGGGTGGAGATGTGTTTGCATATGGAATTTTGATGTGTGTGTCAGTCACTGGCTGGAAACAGCAAAGGGAAAGAATGTTTTTGCAATCAAATTAACCATTTAAGCACAGCAGAACGGCATTTGCTGGCAACGAGACAACCTCCTAATTGATTTATAACACACCATTCAACTAAAGCTGTGCTGGGGCAGAGTCCTCTGAGGGCTTCCCCTCAGGGTCCCCTCACCTACGCAGTGACACCAGGACACCCCACTCCTAACCCCGTGAACAAATGCCCTGTGTCAGAACACACATTTCTAATGTCATTGCTAATATTGCACAACAGTGAAGCGACTTCCAGCTGCCAATAAAGCTGTGGTGGGGCCAGGTCCCCTCAGGGTCCCCTCGCCTACACAGCAATACCATGACACAGACGCTGCTCCAAACCCTGGAATGAATTCCCAGTGTATGTGGTCAGAATATACATTGCTGATGTCATTGTTAATATTGCACAAGCGGTGAAGTGACTTTCAGCTGTGAATAAAGTTGTGGCAGGGCTGGGTCCCCTCAGGGCTCCCCTCACCTACGCTATGATACCATGGCACCTCTCCTAAGTCTGGAGTGAATTCTCTGGGTCTGTGGTCAGAATATACCATCATCATCATTGGCCATATTGATCATCATCACTGGTCTACTCTGGCCTCCAACTGGGAGACACAGAGACACGCCATTCATAACGCTGCTGCTTCTTTGAGAACACACGCAAGCTCATTCTCGAGGAGAAAAGACAATGCAGAAAGAACCGCGTCTTGTAAGGAGACTTTCCGCTCTGCCTTTTGCAACCGGACTTGTCTACCTCACGTTGGCCTTTTCCAGCAAGCATGGGTAGAGCCCTTCTCAAATCTTCCTTCGCGAAGCCTAGCCACGATGATGATGATGATGAAGTGACTTCTGGCCGTGTCTAACGCCGCGGCAGGGCTGTGTCCCCGCAGGGCTCCCCTCACGGGTGCCGGTGTGTGTGTGCTCACCTTGGCGGTGGCGTGAGGCGACGCGCCCTTCTCCAGCAGCAGCAGCGCCACCTTCTGGTTGTCGTAGTGCGCGGCCACGTGCAGCGGCGTGAGCCCGTTCTGCAACGGCGGTTACGGCGTTAGCGGCGGCGGCGGCCGCCAGGGGGCGTTAAGGGGGGGCGTTAGGCGCTGAGGGGACTCGCCGTGGACGGGGGGGATCGGGATTGGGACGGGGGAAGAGAGGGATCGGGATGCCAGGGGGAGAGGGAGAATCGGGATGGAGGGCAAGGCAGCCCGGCTGTTAGCAGGGAGAAGCCGTGGAGGGGGTGAAGCAGGGCAGCAGGCTCAGGCTTCCGTCGCCCCCGCCCCGTGAGGGAAATTTGCACTGGGGTGGCAGGCGCAGGCTTCCATCGTCCCCCCCCCACCCCGTGAGGGAAATTTTGCCCCTGTGTGTTTTATCCACTGGGAATTTGGGCGGCTTGACAGAACTGGCGTTCGTGAGCCACAGAAACTGTGCATTCTCTAGCCACGGAGCCAAACCTACCACCCTGGGGGGATGCAAGCCCGCCGCACCAAAGCAGCCCCAGCCTCCTTGGTGTGCCTACCGCACACCTAAGGAGGGATAATCCAGCTCCTTTTCTTTCCCACCAGTACCTTGCCAGCGGAATCGGGACAGGCACGACGCTGCAGCAGGAGCTTCGCCACTTCCAGGCTCCCGTATTTGGCTGCCACGTGCAACGGCGTGAATCCCTTCTGAAAAATTCCGGGAGATAAAACGCAGATGTTTGCGTGAAAGGTCACGCTGACATCTCACTTTTAAGAACTATGTACTAAGCACTTATTCTTCAATCTATATTCCTGCTCTCAGAATCAATACCCAGACCTAGAAAGAGCAGCATATCTCAAAATAAACACAAGAAAATACTTTCCCTTTTATTATTCTTTCCTATGTACGTGCTGTCAGGCTGGCAGACATTTCATCTGATACACACACTGCGTGGGGGCAATGAAGGCACTTCTTCAAATTTACACCCCAAACCAGCTGTACTTCTTCTGTTTCATGATGACAAGCTTTAGAAATATTTCCTGTATCAGTCATTGCCAGTAACAATGAAACACCGACTAAATTCGGGGAGAAAAAGCTTCAAACTTCATATTCCTCCATTAGGGCTTGTTGAAAAATTATTTGTATTTGGACTCATGTATCTATACAGTCACCAAGTTCTCCAGCAAAAAAAAAAAAACCTGCTCTTTGCCTCTTTTCATTTGAAAACTGATAGGGAAAACTCATGGATGTATGACAGTAGGTGGCAGCCTGCACTGCTGCCCAACAGGAATGTTGGGAAGCTATGATGACCTATTTGCCTGGCACATAAATGATGTTTAATGTTTATTATCATTATCATTTAGTTCCATTAATCCCACCTCAAAAAGAGTTTATATCAGGAAATCTCAAACGTTTTCAGTTCATGAATCACAGGTCTGTAGAGATATTATCCAGTGGGCTGCATCTTCTCCTACTCATAATTATAGAATGTTCCTGCAATACTAATTGCCATCGAGCAATATGGGAAACTAGGAAAGTATTTAGTGTATTTTTAGCCATTCTAATGTGATCTAACAGCTGGATAAAAGGAGAACAGCAAGCATTCCCAGTAATCTATGGATCATAATATGAAAATTGCTGGTTTAGTCTTCAAAACCCTGGAAGACACCCTGATGTTCAAAAACATGTTTTAAGTTCCAGCTGTAAAACCAAGGGTACTTCAATAAATAGTGAGAATTACGTGATTCTCACTTATCACATGCTTTAAATTTGGAAAAGATATCTTGGTATATAATTCTCTTCACAGCTATCTGTTTTCTTACACATTCATCGACCTATTAGAAACATACTGGTAAACATTTTTGGCTAAAAAACCCAATAATGATTCTGCAGAGTCTTTTATAACCCCAGACAAAATGGCCTGTTGTGTCACAAGACACCTCATTTATAGAACCACTGAAAATAGATTCAGCATTCGATGCAACTGGACAGATGCTGACCTGTATGTTTTGGGAGAATTAAAGGAACAGAGCAGAGTTATTTTACTAGTTAAGTAATCGTGGTACTGAAGAATAAGGAGGCCTGTTCATAAAAAAATGTGTCACTGCCGTTCACTTTTCCTTTTTGAAATCTTTGTCCAAAAAATCCCTACCCAGAGGACAACGGGAAAGAGAAAAACAAGGGCATTTTCAAACCTGTTGGGGACTGCGTGTTTACCAAGATCTGCATTTCGCTTCAGCGGGGAACCATCCCAATTTTAGACAGCAGTAAAATAAGCTGAAAATTTGATTAATGTGATACATTACTCCAGTCTATCAGATGGCTGTTGATTAAGAACAAAGCGAAACACTCAAACTAGTCTAATTTCTCAGTGTGAAAAAGACATAGACACGGAACATTTTGCCTTACTTTGGTGGACATGGAGTGGGAGGCGCCGGCCTCGAGGAGCACGGAGGCGACATCGACCTGGCCCTCCCTGGCGGAGATGTGCAGGGGCGTGTACCCGTTGGTGGTGGCGGCGTCGGGGTGGGCCATGTGCTGCAGCAGCAGCTGCACGATTTCCGTCTTACCCAGGCGGGAGGCGATGTGCAGCGGGGTCTGTTCTTCCTACAACTCAAATCAAGAGGATAATTAGCGCAGGTAGAACCGCCCCGGACGCCACGTCCTGGTTGATGCCCACACGCTCATCCGTGCATTTGTTTTGCAGAGTCATAAGAAGGGATAATGCAAAAAATGGCAGTAACGGAGGAGAGAGTGGTGACGAGTAATTGCCTGAACTCCTCTGCTTCTGCCAGAGGAATCAAGAAACCATTGTAAGCAGAACACCTACCCTGGCTCGGGCATCAACCAGGGCCCCGTTCCTCAGGAGGCAGCGCACCACTTCCACCTGCCCGGCACGTGCCGCCATGTGCAGCGCAGTCTCTCCACGCTGCAGAAAAAGCAAAAGCATTTCAGTGTCCTAAACCCCCACTAAGAAATAGAGCTCTGACAGCGTAACTCCCACCCGTGACAACTCGTGCAGAGACCCGCCTTCCTGCCAGCTGAGACTCTGGCTTCAGCCCCAGCACGGGCAGCTCAGGATGGGGTGTGAACACATGGTGCTGGGCCTTGGGTATGTTTTAGATTGCAAGCTGGGAGATCCCAGACAAACATCATCTCGACTACAGAGGGTCAGAACAAATCTCCTGGCTCATGGAAAATCCTGCCACATAGGTTTGCTCTGGTCACATATGTTCCTCAGCCTTCTGCATAGCAGCCCATCAGCTCGCGTGCTGCACAGAAGATAAGAGTACACTGAGCCTTTCCCTCTCAAGGGATTGCAAGGCACATGAGCCTCAAGATGGAAGGGGCTATTTTTCCAGATGGTCCCTTCCTGCTTGCTGTGTGTGGAGCTGGCAGCATAAAAAGGCCTTGCAGTGGCTGAGCACAACCGAGCCAGCATATGAAATGTGTAAAATCTGTGCTCAGCAGCGTGGCTCTCTCTCCTGGCTAGGGAATCAATCTTGTCTCAAGCCTTTGGTAGCCCACAGAATTTGGAGGAGAATATGAAATTTTGGAAAGCTGAATGGTGCGATATGGAATTTCAGGTCAGGTATGTTCTTTTTTGTAGGTTTGCAAAGGAACACTGAAAATGAGTATTCCTTGGCAATGGCATTTCTAGCTTAATTTTGCACTGTTCTTTGAGTGCAGTGTCCTAAAGTGGACTGAAACGGTCCTTGTGCAGCTTGTCAGTACCTGGTACATCAGGTACTGGGACAGTTCCACAACCAGGAGCTCTGTATTTATCTGTCATGTCGTGAGAACACAGCAGGGCTGATCCTTTCTTTGTGTTAATTGTTCATTTTTCTTACACTTGAGCTGGAGAATATCCTGTTGTAAGGTCTTTAGCCCCTTGACTATCAATTAAACTGCAACTGCCAAAATGAACACTCTGGTCAAGATCTTTTACATCAGAATGGGAATCATGTCTTCTTGTCCTTGGTCTAGATGTAGGGAAAGAAGCAGCCTGAGCTTGCCTGCTCCTATCAACTTCTAATTACAGCAAACCCTCTTCACCAGGAGTTGATTTGTCATTTTTAAATTAACATTGTATTTAATATAAATTAACATAGCCGTGATTAGTAAATAGGCAGCAAACAAAATCCCACAGCCCTAGCTACAAATCTTAATAATTTCATCTGCATAAACTTCACTACCTGAAGAATGAGCTGTTTAAAATGTGAATAAGGTTTACATTTCACACGCTCTAAAGATCAAATTTCTACAAGGACCCTTTTGAGCTTGAATTAGCAAAGCAATTTAGTTTTTGGAAACAGTAATTCAACAGGGATCCCCAGCTTACCAAGTGAAAGCCAAGACACCTGCGCAGCAGAAATTGTAAAGTGTTAAACTTTGCACACAAATGACCAGTAACACAATACTTTTAATTGCTTCCACAAGAATTTCTTGTTGGCTTTCATATCATCAACAAAGTCATTATATAAAGACTGCTTCTATAAAAAAGTATGAAAAGTCTGTTCCAATGAGTCACATAAACAACTCTGTGTGCTCAACACTTTTACTGCGTCCCATATCAGGTTCTTCTGACAAAAACTAATGAGTCCAGCTTTTGTTGTTGAGAATACTTACCCATAAAACCTTATTTACTGGTAAAAGGTTGCTCTCAAAGTACTAATGGTCCTGAGTTGAATATTTGTTTATACTGACAAATTCAAACAGTAAAATACTTATGAAATACAGCTCAGAATGTTCTTTTTATTGTTATTCTGCTTGGTAACAAGGCTGTTGGTATACAAATACTTATTTCTATGGTAAGTCAGGTTCTGCGTTTTGTGTTACCTCCCAAAGGTCACATTTTCTAGATTTGATCACCAGTTCCTGGACTTTCCTGTCCAAGAGGAACATCTTGATTTTCACAGTTCTACTTTTTGTTCATTTGTTGGGTTTTAAGCATTTTTGTGCCCTTTCAGTGACAGAAATGACACAATCTCATGGCAGCCAGCAAAGCTACTCAGGCAGAAATTACAGCCATTTGGAGTCAATTTTCACCCTTCAGAATGGAAACACAGGCTTTGTGGGATTTGGCTTATAATCCATTTTGGATGTATTTGGTGAGCTTTGTCCGTTTCTAAGGAAAACTTTACCTACTCAAGCACTGCTGGAGAACACAGGAAACCACAGATGGCTTATAATACCATATACAGTCACCATTTCCCCCTCTGCACCAAGAGAATAATTTCTCCTAAAACGCAATGAAGTCCTAAAATATCGTTAAAATGTGACCTTTGGTTGAGCTCCATGATACGCCAGAGACTGCCTGGAGGTACTACATGGATGATTCTAGTCAAAGCCATACTCACAATGTTAGTGACATCGGGAGAGGCTCCGTTCTGCAGCAGAAGGAGGACTATGTTCAAGTGGCCCATAAATGCAGCCACGTGTATTGGTGTGAGGCCCGACTGCGAAACAAAGCAAGAGCAGTTTTACTCCCCTGCACGGGCGTAGGGAAGGGGCTTCTTTGTTTAAATAAAATAAAACTGAGGCGTGACAGGAGAGAGAGAGAGAGAGGCAAAAAAGAAACCAAAAAAAAGAAACAAAAAGGGCGAGAGAGATGGAATGTTTCTTCAGGACACAAAACATTTTTTCTACCTCTGTTATAGCCTGGATTGAAGCCCCATATTTCACCAGGAGTTCCATGACTTTGATGCGATTTTTCTTGCAGGCAATGTGCAGTGGAGTAAAACCATTCTGTGCGAAAGACAGTCATGTTAGTTGGAAACATGCAGCTACACTTCCCACACAGCTCCGTGCCGGCATGCCGGGAGCAGAAGGGTTAGAGTACCAGAAGCAACTGCTCTCTAAGCACGACAGGTTACAGATGAATTACAGACATCTCCCAGTGTCTGAGGCAGAACAAAGCAGTGCTGCCGTGCTCTTCTCAGGCAGTGGAGACAAACTGAGCTTCCACCTCCAAAACCCAGATGCAGACATGCCCATCCTGACTTCCAAGTGTATGTGTGCACATGTCTGCATGTGGTTCCCCAGGGAGTACACACGTGTCCGTTAAGGAGGGCTTACAGTGGTTCCCAAGAGTGCCTACCAAAAGGGAAATATTAACAAATTATAGTGATTACTTTGGAATCAGTGCCTTTATAAAGCATTTTCTATACCTCTCTAGGAGAATCACAGAATCCCCAAATGGTTTGATTTGGAACGGACTTAAAAGTTCATCCTGTTCCAGCCATGGGCAGGGACACCTCCCACTGCACCAGGTTGCTCCAAGCCCTGTCCAACCTGGCCTTGGACACTTCAGGGATGGGGCAGCCACAGCTTCTCTGGGCAACCTGTGCCAGGGCTTCACCACCCTCACAGGGAAGATTTTTTTTTCCTAATATCTAATCTAAACCTACTCTCTTTCACTTTAAAGCCATTTAAACTGAGAGACAACAGAGCACTTCTTCCACACTCCACCTTACTTGGTCATTTTACCTGTAATCTAAGCACCTGCGTGTATTAATTTTTATATTTATGCCTCAATCCAAGACATAATATTCACGTCTGAGTGTGTGTGTGTGTGCATTGTGTGAGGTGTCTTAAATAAAGAGCTACCCCTTCAGCCATGGTGTGGTGATGAACTCTTACAGTTCATGCAGGTTAAGCGTGTCCCTAAAGCTAAGCAAACACGTGACTCACCGTACGTGAACATTTTAGTGAAAAGCACAGGTAATGTTTTTCTAGATAAGGTTGAGAAATTGCTGTATTTTCTAATTAAGAGCATCAGCATTGCTAAACAATCAACCAGCAGTAACCAGGACCTAGCAGGGAAATCTTAGCTCATGGGAAGAGGCATGTGACAGATTATTCTACAGGCAGCTTCTGTTAAGGGAAATGTTAATTACTAGTTGATTTGAAGGTGCTAAGAACACACATAGTGCTTGTATCCCCAAAGCATTTTGCTAACATTAACAATCATTTTTTTAAATCTAGCTGAAAAGTAATTATTTGTAGTATTTATTCCATCGCAGGACTCTGCTGAATATTATTACTGCTTCTCCAATTTCTAAGGAAGGAATCAAAACCATCTGATATTTTACCTCCCACACAACTTCTCTCAATATATTTCACAGGGAGTTTTACTGTTTCAGAACTTCCATATTTGCACTGAATTTTACTGACTGAGTTGATTTAATTTTGCTACTTCTATTTAAGTCAGGAACAGTTTGATGGGGGAGAAGAGAAGGCAGAAAAAAATGTATCAGTAACAGAAATTATGAGCTTCATTTAATGTATTAAACACCATAAACAAGCCAGAGGCAACAAGTCCCTGATGGGAGAGGAAACAAGAGAGAGGGGGGAAAAAACCAGTTTGGTGTGAAGAGAGCAGAGAGGCAGCAGCCTGAGGGTGTTCTCCTTTCATATCAGATGTTTCCCAGGGAGGAAGGGAGGGGGAGAGAAGGTATATTTCTGGTCATGGAAGGAAAAAGATTTGGGGGGTAGCATATAAAGTGTATGTGTGGGTAGCTGAGGAAAGTACAGCTAGAGATAACCAGGAGACTGGCAAGAAAAACAAAAAAAGGATGAAAACAGCATCAAAAAAAGATCAGCCAAGTGAACATGACACTGAGAAAGACAAAACAAGGAAAGCACAAGGGGAAGCAAGAGGGGTTCCAGGATTTGTGGGTATGGAAAGGCCAAGAAAAATGAGAGGGCAGAAGAAAATGGTGTCAATAAAGTCAGTTCCAAGGAAGTAAGGGATAGGGAGAGAGTCTACACAGGAAAACGCTGGGTCCTACTGGGGGCAAGAAGCTGGGGAAGGCATCCAGGCAGCCTGAGGGGGAAATTCTGTGGGGGCCCTGACTAGGGCAGGCAATGGCAGACTTCGGGCCATGCAGAACCACCTCAAGTGTTCACAGACTCTTTATTTCCACTACAGAGTGTAATATATTGCTACTTTAACTCCCATCCAGCTATCAGTTCCTGTTAGAGAAAATTGGAACCTTGTCTGGCTTTGGATAGATTAAAGACTCTTGAAATGTTCCAGGAGCCAAATGTGATGTTTTTCTCTCTGTTATGAGTGATGGTTTGAGCAGTGAGTGAGAGGAATCATACCTGGGTTCCTGTAAGCATCAGAACTGGTTTTGAAAAGAAAGAAAAAGGGCACCTAATAGAGGGGAATGTCATAATTTGATAAATGCAGAAATATTACCTTTTCAACACATTTTCTCTATGCCAATTAACTTACTGCTTCGGTTGAAAGCTTAGAAATTAGTTATGTATCATATCACACAGTATGGACAACTGAAGAATTAAATCAGTAAAACACCAACGCATACATCAACATCAGCCAGAACTGGCTCTGATTTTAGGAACTCTGCAGAGCTTCCAGACCTGCCACTACAGCCACGTGCCATGGGATGTGCTCCATGACACACCAGCAGGTGTGAACACCCCCCTGTTGCTACTACACCTATTTAAGGCTGTGGAGTTTGCTGACAGCCTTTTCACTCGGCCTTCCTGGCAAGAAGAGCTGCTCCCCTGCCCTGCCCAGCTTTGTTCCACGGCACAGGAGGGACATGTTTACCAGGGCCCGGGCGTTGGGGTTGGCTCTCTTGTCCAGGAGGAGTTTGGTGACACGGTAGTGGCCGCAGTGCGCGGCCACGTGGAGGGCGGTCAGGTAATCCAGCGTCACGTCGTCCACGGGGGCCTTGTGCTGCAGCAGGTGTTTGACACACTCCACGTGGTCCCCCTGGGCTGCCATGTGCAGGGGAGACAGTCCATTCTGTGGCAAAGGAAAACAGCAAACTTCTAAGTGACTCTCACTTAGATCACGGCGCACATTGGGAAGGTTATTTGTTGTTGTGAGGAGCTGCTCAGTGGGGTTTGCTGTTCTACAAGTGTCTTCCTCTCATTAGTTTGATCAAAGGGACAGAATTTCTAGGAAGTGCATTAATCTGTGTTTTCCAGAAATGAGTAAGAACACACTGAAATAATTTTCTAAGTCTGAAATAAAAACAATTGGGAGAAGCTGCAAGTCACAGGTTCTCATTATCTCATATAAAGGATCAGAAAACATGTAGCAGGAATCACCTCCTAGGAGTGACCAATCTAGCTTTCCCATCTGTGTGTTCTAAGGCTCAGGAAGCAATACAAGTGAAGTGCTGGCAGTAGCACTCCATATCATGTGTTTAGTCTGGGGCAAAGAAGTGCATACTTCTCATATATTTGGAAAGGATAGTCCCTAATTACGTAAAAAACCTTATTTTGGATCATTCTATCCGTTAACGCATTTCCTTTGGGAGGGCAGAAATGTTCCTGTCTCCTTCCTTGTCCTTTCAGTGGGAAATTACACAGAGGTGCTCACATATTCCAATAAGACACACAGAGGTGTTCACAGGGTCTAACAGGACACACACACACACCTTGGTCCGTGCGAGCAGAGGGGCACCTCGCTCCAGGAGCAGCTCCACAACCTGGTCATGTCCGCTCCTTGCAGCACAGTGCAGCGGGGTGAGTCCATCCTTAAAGCAAAAGGAGGGAAAAACCAATGAGCAAATCCCCAACTGCCCATCCTGCCACCCTGGGGAAGACCCTTCCAGGAATGTAGCCCCACACATGTGCGGAAAAGCTTCTTTTTCAACTCCCAACTGAAGTTGGCTCCACAATGAAGTTCCATCTCTGTTCTTCCTTAGAGGACACTCTAAGGTTACTGTTTGAGAGAAGCCTTAGAGTGTTGAAAGCCTTGTGTGTTGAAATCTTTTATCAAAGAGGATAATGTGAGTTTGCCCTGCCTCCTCCCCTCCCTCTCCTCTGCGTTGCCTCCCTGGATAATGCCTGCTGGGCCAAGGATGCTCCATTAATCAACCCCTTGTCCTTTGGACTGCCTTTGATGCAGGGATGAAATGGGAAATGTTCATGCTAGAAAATATGCTCTAGAATTTTCTCCTGTTTTTAAATAAGCAGCAGGAGAAAGAAGATTTTAAAACAGAGAAAAAAAAAGAGAAACAAAACTAAAATTTTCATTTCTGAGATAGAGGGGTGAACAAAGAGCTGACAATTCTTGCCTAAAATTACTGTGAGACCACAAACTCCACAGTACTTTTTTCCATTGCAGAAAACCATCCTGTACCTAAAGACTTGCTCAGGCTAATGATGACAGCAGCAGTAGCCAAAGATGTGCTGATGAAATACTTAAATGAAAGAATGAATTCTGGGTACTTTTGCTGCAGTTTGGACTTCATGCAGAAAAACAGAGTAAATATGAGGTAAGAAAAATTTTTCTCCCTTCCTTATCTCATTTTTCCAGAGGCTTTTCAGAGATATGTGACAGGGGTGATGTGTGTCTCGGTGCTCACTATCTCCCAGGCATCCCTAAATCCCACGGAAGCTTCACAATGAATTTCAAGAGATGCAACATCAAAACCAGAATTCACAGCTTTCAGCACTTGGCAGGTGGGGTTGGGGTAAAGAATTGGGTATAACTGGCTTACTTGGTATTTTATTCACTGAAATTTCAGAGGTCCCTAAACCAAGTCTTTATATGCTCAACTGAGGTATATTATCATCTCAGTGCCAGAGGGATCATACAGATAATTCCCATTGGCATTACTAAGGTGAGAATATATCCCAAAAGCACTTCTAGACAAGGTATTTACTTGGTATTTCTTTCCAGTTTCTGGCCTCTTGTGCTCTGCATTTTTAATCAGTGTGGGAGGTTCACTTTCCTTATCTGCATGGTGGCTTTGATGTTATTCTATTTAATAAAACAGCAAAAGAAAAGCAGAATTGTGTGAATCCTTGAAAAAAGCAGGACAAATCCCCAGAGGGAGAAAAAGAAGAAAAATACAAGCCAAGAAACACATCAACTCTGCAAGAAAGTCTGAATAAACCAAAAAGAACTAAATCATTAAAAAACATGATTTCTCCTCTGTTCTTATCTACAATTCCCTTTAAAAGCAGAGATAAAAATTTGCTACTTATCCTATTCTATCCTGGCACAGCTTCTTTGCAGACTTCCCACAGAACTCTCTTCCCTGCCATGGGGAAAACAGCACGTGTATTTTAAGATTATTGTATATTTAAGACTTTAAATTCTACTTTTGCTTCTGTGTTTTCTTCAAGGGTGAGGGAAATTACAGGGAGAGAGCTGTTGCAGCAGAAGAATTAGTGCAGGATACACCAAGGACAAGCTGACATGAGCCAACATCACGAGACACACCAGTGGACCAAATCAACCCTGCCTGTGCCATTATCTGTTTGCAATGAGCCTCAGCGCTCTGAAGGGGATGGCAGGATTCTGCATAAGCACTTTTTAAATCATTCCTTTGCTAATTCAAGAGCACCCAGTGGCCATAACATCCAGCACATCATTTGACAGGACACGCAACGCCGAGTCAAAGGGATGGAGACTCCAAAGCACAGATAATGGATATCCCATAAATACAAAGGCTGTCATGCCCAGAGACAAGAAATTCAGCAGCTGTGTGTTTTGAGAAGTCCAATATTTATTTTTTCATCTCCCAGGTGACATCCTGCACCTGGTGTTCTGCTGGTGCCATACCTGGTACTTTCCTCTCTCACACTCTGCCATGTCACTATTAGAAATAGCACTACAACCCCCTATGTATGGAAGCCATGTAAGTCCATCAACCCTAATTTCCTCTCAAATGACTCTCAAAATACAAAGTAAACTTTTGGGTTTTTTCCCTCCCCTTGAAAATCAATCACTGGCCACCTTTTAACCTGCAAAATTAATTCTGAATTCCGAGCGTGACGCCTAACTGCAGGGCCTGGGAAGATAAATTATTGGGTTATTCCACAAATGCTTTCCTTCAGCTTACCAGAGAGACTGTGACAAAAAGAAGCTGTGCTTCTGAGGGCTTTTTAATGGGAAATGATGTGGGCAGCATCTTCACAGGACAGTTGCTCCCATTCAGTGCTCATTCGACCACAGACTGCTAATACACATGAATGTCAAAGGCCAAATTATCAAAGAATTCTTCTAAACTGCAGCTGCATGATCCTATTTTTATAAGGGTGAAGTAAAATTTTAGTATTCCATGTGTCAAATACGCAAAATTGTCTAAATTTTCTCGACAAATAAAGGGCTTTTAATTTGTTCATTTTTCATTATGACTAAACCTCATCTCTTTAAAAATGAACGAGGCGAGTCTCCCTCCTGCTCTAAGCTCTTGGCATAATTAAACATGCTGTAAAGTATTCCTCCAGGTCTGCCATTCAAAGTGCACATTTTAAAAATACAGCGAAAACATACAATGCACTTGCTTGAGTAATAAGGTATTAACATAAAGAATTCTAAATAAAAGTCATTATCTACATAACTTGCTTAGACACCCCGTACAACACCCCTTCCTACATGCTTGTAAACATTATACGAAGCCACTGCATTTTTTATAGCAAATATCTGCATTGTGATGAGATATTTATAATCCGACATTGCTTTAGGAACGGCAAAAACTGAATTATTAGTGCTCTGTGTGTGTGTGAAGACGAGGAGAAAATGTCACAGCAGCTTTACTGCAGGAAAAAAATCACTGTAAACAGAGTACGGTGCCACTCCCATGTGGAAACAACAGAGCTGTGCCTATTTTTTCAGGATGCAGATCCACAAAAGGCGATATTACTACAAATAAATCTCAATAGGTTCCCAGGATGAGCATTAAGGGGTGTCTGAAGCACATCCCCCCCCCCCAAAAAAAAAACAAACAATCCAAACCAAACCAAAACCATCTGAGTTCCGCCGCCCACAGTTTCCTTCCCTCTCTTTTCCCACTGGCACTGCACATCTCCATGACTGACCTGCCACTTCTTTCAGCTCCAGCTGAGACTCCTTTCTTTCCCGTGGCCCTTCTCCAACCCAAATGGTGCACCACACCTTCTCCCACCATCACCACAACTACTCCCACTCCAGCTGCCATGCTCCGGGCACACCACACCATTACTTTCCTACACAATAAGCTTCCCCTTCCAAGACCGTTTCATTCCAGGTTTTTTTCCCCAACTGTAAATCTTCTGGGTGAAAGCCTGCAGGAGGAGAGTCTAAAAGTCCCCAGAGCAAGAAAAATCTAATTTCCATGTTGGCAAGATGGAACAGAAAGAACACAAAAAGTGTGACAGCTTCAGCGGCTGAGACAGGTGAACATGTTCCCTCCCCCTTCCAAGGGTGTTTGCACACTCCCACAAAAATGGAAATTCCAGTAAGTGACAAAGGCCTGTGAATAACACTGTATTTTAAAAGTAAAAAAAAAAAAAAAAATAGAAAACCTAAAAAAGCCTTTCTTATTCTTTCTTTTCCCTATATAATTTATAGAGAGAGATGATAAAAATAGAGATATTGCAAAACCTGCATTCAGAAAGAATATTCCTAAAACCTTTTAAGAGCCAGGAACATTTCAAAATCCCACATGTCCTTATTTTTACTATGCCATTATATGAGGATTCTTTATTTAACATAAATACACTTATTTTGGCCATACTGGAATTGCTCAGCTTTTAAAAGCTTACAGTTATTCTCCCTGTAGCAATCCTTTTTCAGGAAGGCTGTAAATGTTTTCCTTCCCTCAAAGTGCCAATTGATAATTGCCACTTTACTTTTGACCACATGACATCAAATTAATCATAAATTGAAATTTCCACCAACTTTCAGAGAGCAAGTTTCTGCACAACAAGTCCTTCCAACCCCCAACTCCACTGAACCACCACCAGAAGTTGAACAGGTCAGAAGTTTGGTCAAATATTAAAACTTTAAATTAAATTATGTCACTGAAGTTTTTACTCAGGTAAACACGTAGAGAATATAGGTTTGAGGAAGATTTGAAATTTGAAATATTTTAGTCTAAGAAATTTTGCCCATTAATTACTTAGTGAACAAAACCCCAGATAAGGTTTATATGTAAATGGAAGTAGCACAAATGTATGGAAGATATTGTATAGTATGTGCTATAATATTATTTTATTGCCATATAATAATTATCTATTGTTATAAGACTATGTTTTATTATTATATAATATTAAATTACTATCTCTAACAGATAAAAGTATCCTCTTAATATATCGGGGAATGAAGTTTACATTTTCACTTTGGATATAATTTAAAAGAGAAATTAAATTCCACATTTAAAAAACTTAGTTGAGGAAAAAAAACTGTAAAACTTGCCAAAAAAATTAAGTAAAATATTATTTTAAAATATGTAATTGTTGCAAGGAGATTTCTTAGGGATTTTACATCTTTATGTTCTAATGAGAAATGCCATAAAACTTCAGCAAATGCACTATGAAATGTATAGAAACTAAAAATACTAATTCCTGCAGAAAGCAGGGCTTTACATGCCACATTAACTATGGAACAGCAGGACACGTGCATCATTTATTCCCTTTGAAGAACATACATTTTAATTCATATTTTTAGACAACACGGGGGATCCTAATGAATCATTCCAGTGGAATACTTTCAAACATAAAAAAGCTTTCACAGATTAACCTTGCAAAATTGAAGTACTGAGGCTCACCTAAAATCCATTAAAGGAAGTTTTTGCATCTCAATTTATGCAGAATCAGATGGAACAAAGCAAGTTAAAAATAAACGGAATGAAAGCAGCGAGGACTTTTTTAATCAAAGAGCCTATTTTGACGTGGTACAGAGACTGAGAACTTGGCAATGATACACCCTAGGACATTTAGTCCCACTGTTTTCCAGGGATTCTGACCTACTGGAGGAATGCAGGTGTTCCTGGGAAGAAGTGGAAAGGCAGTAGGGAAGGCAAGAGTGTTAGTACTCATGGTCTGTCTTTCCGCGTACAGAGCACATGCAGCACATCACCTGCCTCCTCAACACCCTACGGATTCGTGGCCAAAGCCAAGCACACAGGGCATGTGGACGTGGCACAGGGAGAAGAGAGAGACACCGAGACAATATAAACAGCTGGCACAAAGACATGGACAGCAAAACCAAAGCTCTGGAATCTTCCCCACTGTGGAGCACACGCCGCCGACCGTGCGCCTCTGAGCAGGAGGAAGCTGTGGAGCCTGTGGGAACTGGGATAAGGGTGCTTTGGGATACCTTTATGGGTTTTCACGGATATCTTTGTGCTGACATTCTGAGCAGCTGACAAAGGGCAGGGAGCCAAGACAATGAGAAGACTCTAAAATTAGGCCCTTCCACCCACGTCGGGCAAATCCTGCTCTTTCGGATTCATTCACAACTGTGCATCAACCTTCAGGGGTGAGCAGGGAAGGGAACACACCCTGACCTCTTAAAATCCAAAACATACTTTACAATCACCTCTGTCAACCTGTCTAAAACAAGTATCTAAATAGTGAACAGGAAATAGGTGAACTCAATACTGTCATTCCACAGGCCAGATGGACTGTTTCTGTATGACATGCTTGGGAGCATGTGCAATATCTGCCTGCAGTGTACTATTACCATTTTAGGCCTCTTTACCATGGGATTTTAGGCACTTATTGTGGAAAATTTGACCAGGGATGATTTACTGCACACCCGCATGAGAGGCAACTTTTTCCATCAGCAGTAGTTCTTAAAAAATGAAAGAAAAAAATAGCAAGAAAGATATCATTTCACAAATAATCAGAAATTGAAATCATAATCACATATAGAGTTAGACAACAACAGCGATTGTCTTCTGAGCTCATGAAGCAACACATGGCTGATGTAATTAATAACTAACTACAGAGGCTGAATGAGCCCCAAGGGTACCTGACTGCAATATCCTCTACTTTTCTACTTTATTAAACAAAAACCCATGTCCAGCTCTAAATTCTGTATTCTAAACACCCTCTATTACTTTGAAATACAATTTTACAGACCAAGTATTTAAAAGCCAGCAGCTCTCAGCAGCAAACCCTGTGCAGTTCAGTCTGAATAAAAGACCACGTTTTCCCAGGCGACTCCAAAATCCCATTTCAAATAATTAACCCTGCCCATATAAAACGATGGATTTTTCTTTTGTCCTGAAAGACTGTGAAATCACCCACAAATAAAGAGCAGAGTGATGATGTGGCATTGCAAATAGCACAGCTGGGAGGAGGAAGCCAGTGAGAGTCACCTAATTCTCCATGGTTTGTCTGGGGAAGGGCAAGTGGCTGCTGGCACAGGGCAGGTTACCTGTTCCCAGTTATTGCCTCTCAAATAAAAAGGGACTGGCACGGACATTTAGGAGTCAGGCTTAGCTGAATCCAAACCCTCTGCTTTCCCACAGCTGTGCACCACACGTGTCACATGAAATTGGACCAACTAACAGGCTTATTACCTAAAAAAGAGCAGTTTTATCAGCTTTTTCTTGTATGATACAGGCAGATTATTCAGGAGACTAAAGGAAATAGTATTTCTGCCTCCTACTATCACCAACACCTGCTGTTCTTTAGTCTGATAGCATAGAAAACAGTCTACATAAAACAAACACACACCAAAAAAAAAACCCCAAAAGCGAGCAAGCAAAAAAATCCCAGTCCGCTCCCAAGGAGGGAAAATATCATATTCAGGGAACAGAAAGACTCACCCTGGTTTTGGCATCGATCTGCCCTCCGCGATCCAACAAGAGCTTCACCATGTTTGTGTTTCCCCTTTTGGAAGCCACATGCAGGGGGGTGATTCCATTCTACACCATGAAAAGAACAAACAATGAGCCGGATGGATTTTGGAGGCGTGTTAATGGGGGTGAGTTTGGGATCGGATCACAACAAATGAGACCATCACATCGTAGAGAAGAAACGAAAACATAGTTGAGCATCAGAGCTGGGCACACACCATACAAGCTAGAGTTAGTAATTCCTTTTCTAAGCAAGACTTTTTGTTGTTTTGGGGCCCTCGAATAAACAAAGCAGCGCATCTGCCCAAGCAGCAAACATGGCAGTCCTGGGGTCAGACACACAACAACACACACCAGAGTCCCGAGGAGTCAATAGTCACAAAACACTGACGCCTCTGAATCACTGCAACGCACACAGAGTACACAAACGCAGCAGGGGCAGGGCCCTGTGCAGGCTGAGAGTCCCTGAGGACGTTTTGGGTGAGGCAAGAGGTTCTATCAGCAGCTACTCCGGGTTGGATATGGGACGAAGACAGTGTGGAAGGCAGAACCCTAAAGTAATTCAAAGCGTGTCTGGCAAAGTTAAACAGCAGACTTGTGATCCAGGAGCCAGGTTGAGGTCACCAGAGGTTTCCAGGGCACCAGATGCCATACTTCCAACTACGTAATACGCAACAGCAAAAGGACTGTGGTACGTAGCTCTGCAGTTGTTTACCCCAAAAGAGTTTATATAATGGCAATATACCCTGTTTATCATTTTCAAAATATGTTTATATGTGAAAACACCAAATTAAAGTGGCATACTGAATACTGGATACTGGGAACAGCCAATCAATCCTACACCTGTTCCCAGAGTATGTCTAACAGACAGAAAAGCTCAAGTCAGTTGACACATTAGGAGAGTATCAGCTTTCTGGAGCTGGTCAAAGGAGCCTATTTCCTCCAGCTGGGAATTCTGGTCACTACACAACTCCCAAGGCCTCTGAGGCATTGCACGGAGACAACCTTTAAAAATTACCTCAAAAAACCCCATCTTTGACCACAAGAGAATTTCAGCCTTACTTCGCTCCTCTCTTAACTCAGTCCCTGACTAAGAGTTAACACAAAAGATCAGCCCATTTTTAGGCCAGTCCAAGTGAGAAGATCAAGGAAAGAGTCCGTACCCTTGCTGTGAAGTCGACGGCAGCTCCTCGGTTCAGCAGCAGCGTGGCCACGTTGACGTTGCCATAGTGTGCGGCGATGTGCAAAGGTGTAAAGCCACTCTGCAGAGGGAAACAGCCCTTGTTAACACAACTCAGTTTATACAAGATCATCAACTCAACTACAACTTGATTTTAAACCTGCTGGTAAACAAATGTATGGTGTCCATTTTACCCACTTCACCTATATTATAGCACAGTCTTTTCAGGGCAGTTTTCATACTAAAGGTTATCAAAAGTACTTCAGTCTTTCATTCTCCAACTTAGTCTTTTGCATCTGTGGCCAGAAAGTAGTTTTCATCTTAGAAAGTATTAATGTATTAGCCGTTCTTGAAGAAAATAAGGGAAGTTTCCTTATTACAATTTGGAAGCAACATGGATCTCATGGGCTGCATCTGTTTACTGGGTTTGGATAAATGATAAATGTCCACAAAGTTGCTAGTCTCTTATTTTCTTATTTTACTGCTCTTAGAAATAGGGAAACATATTTCCCTCTGGATTTTTTCCCCTTTTTTTTTTTTTGAAAGCAGTAATTATTTAAAATGTAATCCAAGAATTCGGTTTACATGAGAAACTTAGTAGCACAGTGAAAGAATCATAATTATTTAAGTTTATGTATGATTTGGATCACAAAGGATCTGAAGAAACTTTGCCATCCATAAATAAGAAACAAAAATGATTTACTTATTGAGTTTGGAACACTAGAAGGTGAAACCTGCTCCAGCTACAAGATACAGAATCGCTTGACAACAACAGATAAAAAGATTAAATTTTCAGAAAGTAGGACACAGAAGCTTTCAGCCTCATAAGTAATTCAAGTAGAAAGGGCCTTGCTTTTGAGGTTTCCCTGAAGAGCTTTACACTGATTTGATTGGATCTCACTGATAGTTACAGAAAGAGAGAAGTACTTTTGGCTTCTTGACTACGGCACGTTTTACCCCTTTCAGTGGACAAACCACCATTTTAAACTCCTCGTGGAACAAAGGAATGTAGGCACGTGTTGCCCTCCTTCAGCAGGCACTGCAGCAACACTTCCACGTTCACCACAGCGAGGAACATTCCCGTGGGTGGGTTGGATGCCAAGAGAAGCTGCCACCCTTCGATTCGCATCACCGGCTGCCTCCCGGCAACCTGCTCATGTGTGTGCACACACCAAGTGGGAAGTGCCTTCCCATGGGTGCACCCATTCATAATTCATTCCCTCCTCTGACAGGAAAAGCTCCATTATTCAAAAAGCAGGCATTCAAATACCAACTGCATTCCTGGAAATCGTTCTTTTCTCCTAAATGCAATAATAATCTTTCGGGGAGAAATCCCGGTTCGAGCCAATCAGAGCCACGATTTTTAGTGGAAGTGTTTGGAGAGTTGGTATTTCCAGAAGCCATGTGAGAAATGTATTATTTAGTGCAGGTAAATTCTGATTGTGTGCTATCCCTTAGGGCTTTGCAAAACTTTATGGAAAAGATCATAATAAGAACAAGGGTAAAAATAAGCAGATGCCCTGCTTTTACCTTGGGGAATTTGATTACATTTATCATTAGAAAAGATGGAAAATTAATTTTACCATTATTCCGGCTGAGCCAGACACCTTGATTTAGTTATGCCAAGTGAGTGCATTTTCATAATTAATGAAATTGAGCTAAAAAAGCATCTTTATCCTCTTAGCTCCATTACTCGCTTCAGAGTTCTTTGAACTGATGTGAATTCTCAACAGTGTCCTTCACCAGTGACACAAAGAAAAAGAAATTCTAAGACAAAGAATGAATAAAAATAGGTTTGCTGAATCCCAAATTTCTATGTATTAAAGAAAGAGCCATATCTTCACTTTCAGTGCTAAATAATAAAGAAATATGGCCACAGAGCAGAGAAAATAATCATAAGTAACAGAAAGAGTAATTAAAAATTGTTGATCTCGGTACCTCAGTCGTCCTATTCACCATCATCTGATGCAGCGTGGTTTGGGAAAAAGAGGAACAATATTAAAGACTGGCCGCAAAACGAAGAACTATGTTGCTTTTTTTTGAAATGAGTTATGCTGTTAATTATGGGAAAAGCCATTCGAGCATGCATTAACTTTAAACACAACCCATATTCCCATGGGCAATAAACCAGTACCCTATTTAACAGGGAAGCAGCGATCCTGCCTCCATTCCAGCACCTTCTGGTTTACGAATAACGCGGAAAAAGCTGGTTACCAAAGAAATGAAAAGTAAAAAAAAAATTTAAAAAAAATGAGCAGGTTGGAATTACTGCAAAATTAAATATCCTGCTGGTGGTAGCAGTGGAGGAACGTGTCTCTCCACACCGAAGTTACCTTTAAGGGTTGGGATGAAGGGATCCCGGGGGCCGCCCACCCCGTTACCTGCCCGGCCGCACCGCGTTACCTTGGACTGCACGTCGGCGTTGTGGTCGTTCTGCAGCAGCAGCGCCGCCGACTTGGTGTCGTCCTTCCTGGCGGCGATGTGCAGGGCCGGCAGCCTCACCTTGCCCTTGGTGTCGTTCTCCAGCAGGATGGCCACCGCCTGGTTGTGCCCCTGCTGCAGCGCCACGGCCAGAGGAGTGAAGCCGTCCTGGGGGAGAAGAAACCAAGGTGGTAAGACGGGGGATGCGGAGCTTCCGTGACTCGCTCGCACGCAGGAATCTGAGATGCCCGTTGCCAGCTGTTTCCCACCTCTGCACCTCCGTCTCCATCAGCAGCACAACATTTTAACCCTTTTCAAACATCTTCAAAAGGCTTTCAAATGTTTCAAATGCTTTTGAACAGCCTTTTCCACTTTGGCCTTTTTTTAAACTCAAGTACAAGCGAAGCATCGTTCTACAGCATCTCTCTTAATTGCTTCCCATCTTAAAGCATATTTTTAGCAATTTTTTGGTAAATTTAATGAGCACTGAACAAACTAGATGTGAAAAATATACAGGGAGCCTGTTTGTGAAAAGAAAATGTATCTTTGGATGCATTTGCTGCTGTTCCCCTTCCAAGTTACACATGGACCGTGAGTCAAGAAAGCCCAACCATGTTTAGGAATTTATTCTAATCTGAAGGAGCAAAATCGCAGATTATTTGTATATCTTGGAAAAACAAAGAAAAATATCCCTGCTTGACATTCCTAGTTTTAGCTCTGTTTTAAAATTAGTTTCAAATTGTCTTGCTCCTCCACACATGCCTGGGATGGCCAGTGCTTTTAAAACCCATCACATGATCACAGCCTGCTCCTCCTAGCTGAAGTACTGCCTGCTCCCAAATATTCTCATTTGAAACCGAACCTCGCTCTGGTCATGCACCCTCCCCAGGCACAGGTGTGCTGTAACCACATGAGAGATAGGACAGAAATGCTTTGGAACAGGAACATGGAAAGAGGGTAAGATAATAAAGGCCAAGTTAGGAAGGAACCAGAGCTGACATATGCTGAAAGAAACATCTGAAGAATTGCCAAAGCCATTTTTCCTCCTAGTAATCTAATAACTTCTGCGTTGAACGGTGGGTAGGTGTGTTGTAACAGCGATACTGCCGCGGTTTCTGCCTGTAACAGAGATTAAATTCTGTGCAGGGAATTAAAAAGGGGTGAACAGCTGATGAAACAGCTGAACTGTAAAGATAATTCTGAGATTGGGGCTACATAAGGTGTTGAAATGGCTTAATGCATTTGCCTTTCGCCTCTGGGAACATGAGAACAAATCCTGGATTAGAGGCCCTGTGAAACTGAGCTCATCCTTACCCTCCTTTTGTATCCCTACGTATGTAAGCCTGGGAGGAAAGGAAACGCATTCAAAGGCATTGCAAGTGTCAAAGCTTCAAAGACAAGATCATCCATTTGATTTGCACCATTTCATCGTCCATCCTTCTCTAAAAGGACACCACTCTTTCTGCATTCCCTCTCCTATTGCTTCTGGAAAGCACGGTCGACCAGAGCTTGGAGAAGGCTTTTTATTTCCTGACGTCCCATGAGGAGCACCAGTCTATGATGCCAAGCACAAGGTCCTTCTCCATGTATTCCAGTGGCATCCACAGTTTGGGCTGCCATCCCACCTTATTGAACGTGCCATTTCTTCATCCTGTTCATGAGATGAACTCTGGGAATGTGTGGAAACAGATGGTGGCTCAGGAACACTCACAGAATCATGGAAACCTCAGCAAGACCTGAACCTAAAACTGACCTAGGTCTGCAAGAAGGATGTCAATAGCCTTTACCTTCCAAGCTACAAAGTGACAACTGACCTTTCTCATGGCAGCAGACAGACATGGAATCAGGTTCAAAGTGGGGATGTTTTATTTCTTTCCTCCCCTCTACCTTTTTTTATAAAGTCAAACTATAGTGTGACTTCTTCACATGAATTATAACCACCTCAGTCTCACAATTCCTGTAAACTGACTGAATTCCCAAGTGCAGCCAACCATCCCAGCCAACAAAGTCACTGGGAGAAAGGCTGCCAGCAGGTGACTGTGGGCTCCTGGAGAGCCCCAGTTCCCCTCGGCTCCCTCCCAAGGAGTGTGTTTCTGCCACGTTGCCTGGCAATCCCACGGGATTTCATCCTTCAGAAAGCTGGCATGTAATGTGATCACCTCAGAAAGGATTATTTTCAGGAGCTGTCACCAAATGGTACAGTATCCACTGAGAGAGGGGACAGTGAAACAGCTGGTAATGCTGACAAGTTCTCTTCCAAGGGAAGGAGAGGGAGCATAAATGCACCAGCATTTCAAACTCATCCACCCGTGGGGGCAATCCCGAATGGGAACGTTTCTGGACAGACTGTGGAAAAGTAAGAAACATGAGGAAAACCTGTGAGTGGAAAGGAACTTTCCCATTGCTACTTCACATGGCACAAACAGGAAGGTGACACACTTTGCAGCACAGAGCCTGTTCACTCATCCCCTTGACTTGGAATAAAAGAACACTTGGAAGAAAGAGAGCAAGAGGAGAGAACAGAATGAGCACAGTCCCCATGTTTTGCCCTTAAATCCCTCCTTAATTACTGTGCTTCAGTTCCTCCTGAGATAGAGTCTCATCTCTCCAACTTTAGTGTCTGCTCTGCTTGCACTGAAGTCACTGCAGGTTTACAAAACAGAACCCCAATTAATATCCTCTTTTCTGCCTTGACACCCACGTGGTCCAGCAGTAGAAATAAAGTGTCCGTGGAGAAAACAGCACGTGGCCTGCTGAGCTCATGGATGTGATCCTTGTCAGCCATTTGATTTCCAGCTTCCACTGCTCACAGACAATAATGAATACTCACAGGTTACACAATGTCCCAGGTGAGCTTCAGAACCAGAGGAACTTGGGGGAACAGCAGCAGGAGGCTGGAGTAAGTGACCTCCCAAATGGTTCTGTGAGCCCAGCACCACAGGGAACCTCCTCCATTCATCACTCCTGAACTTATCCAAAATCCCAAGACCCAGTGCTGGGTTTATGGTTGGACTTGGTGGTCTTAGAGGTCTTTTCAAACCTAAACAATCCTATGACTCTAAAAGGAAGCTTGTTAACAACTACCTGTTGATATCAATTGTTTTTATACCATTTTACACCACACAGACACCCTTTTAGACACAGCCCACACAGTCCTGACTTTAAGGAATCTGAATATAAAGGCAAAGAAAAACATGAGACAAAAAAAAAACCCCTCACCTCAGTAGCTGTGCTTTGGTTGGCTCCATTCTCCAGGAGATACTTCACCACCTCAATGTGGTTCTCTTGAGCTGCCATGTACAAAGGAGTAAAGCCATTCTAGGAAGAACACAGGAGAAAATATTCCGTTAAGGAAAGGGGAATACACCAACCATAACGAACCACAAAGAAATACACAGCTCAAAACGCATTTGTGGTTTTTTTCAACTGAAATGCTTTAAGTGTGTAAGAGAACAACTCTGTATTTGTAACTTTAGATGGTAATGTTTCATGCCATTGAAACCCACGGAACACTACGTGCTTTCTCACTCATTTTCTTCTGACACGTATTTTATGGAAGCGATGGCCACAGTAATTATTAATACAGCTATTCCTTGCTGATAGTGTTCAGGGACTGCAAAGCTGGCAAGAAGGTTTTATGAAAGCTGACAGGAAAGCAAGAATTTCCTCCATTTATTACATTTACTTGAGCAAAGACGTCACCCCCTGGAGACCGTGAAGTCCATACCTCCTGACAAGCTCAGCAGAGATGGCAAAGCCTTAACATACTACATCAAATTCTGTAACACATAAAACATGGCAAATCACCCACCATAAAGGACCTCAGTCTTGCAAAGGAACCACTGCCTTTCTGACCATACAGCAGGTTCATCTATCGTTTAATTAAAAACATACATTAAAATCTTCTAAAGTTATTAAAAGAATTTGCTTCGGATAAAACAGTAATTAAAAAAATTCTTTTTAAGTTAATCAACCTACTTTGATTCAGGCAAATTCATTAGAAATGCAAGTCCTTTCTTCCCATTAAAATATTTTAATGCAAACAATTTTAATTCATTACCTACAAAATCCTGATGAAACAAAGGCATGGAAGTGAGCTGCCTGCCTGATTAATAACTTTCTTCCATGAGTTTTTAGGATTGCTCAAAAGAGCTTATAAAAATCTTCAATATTCTGTAGATAACCAAGTAACATAAGAGGACATAATCACCTATACTTCTGAAAACATTTTTCTGCCTTAGAGTGGCACTTTTAGATAGAAAATAAACCCTAAACCAGACTTTGAACATGCAATTTATTTGTAATTTATTTTATTATCTTGTGTGGTGTCACGCTGAATGATAGGCTTTGCACATTCACACATGGGGTCAGAATTAATGCAGTGATAACCAACAACCTCGTTTCAGAGAAGCCAATATTACTCCTTCTAGAAAACCTGCTGTGCAAACATTCCAGTAATTTCCTAATGAAATGAAATCTCATTTTTCAGTCACTAGATAATACAGAGATTGTAGAACCCATGTCTTTACAACGCCCCTCTGTGTTTACAAATGTAGAAGATTGTTCAGGTAATAAACATCACTTATGTTGTGGATGTCATGTATGATATGTCATATATGTCATATATGTTGTAGCAAGTCTTTTAATACCGCTTTGCATAATATTCTGATGTTTCCATCGACAATCTTGGGGCACAGAATTAAAAAATGGCACCCAGAGAACAGTTAACAGCAGTTCAATGCCAAGGCTGGGGGATGTGTTTTGAGTGGCTTTGCACAGGAGTCAGTTATTATTCAATATTCTCAGAAATGACTCCAAGGAGGGAACAGAATGCTCTTATTATAGTCACAGACATGTTCTACAAGTCCACCACAGCGCAGGACCATCATTTGAAAGGTTCCTGCAACTCTGGAGAAAAAAACTTGGAAAATACAAAGTAAGGACAAATACAAGTTTCTCCGCTATTGCAGGAAAAATAAACTATGCACACGGGGAATGATGGGTTAAGAGAACAATTCTGCAGGAAAGGACCTGAAGGTCACAGTGGTCTTCCAGAGGGTCACTGGTCAAGGAGCTCATGCTGCAGACAATAAAGGCAATCCCTGCACTGGCACAAAAATCTATCTCCCCAAGGAAAGTATTTTTCTTTGAGAAAAGACTAATAATTGGTGGTGTTCTGCCTGTAAAGGGCAAACGAGGAAAACAAGACAACAGTCCTTAAAGAGAAGGGTAAAGGTCTGTTCTGCATGATCACGATGACGAAAACCAAAAAGCACAAGGTTTACAAGGTTGCTAGAGGGCAAATTCAGGCTGGACATCAAGAAAAGCCTCTCAACAGGAAGGTCAGTCCCTCCTCCCAAATCACTGCTCGAAACCAGGCAGCAAACTGGATGCACACAGAGACAGGTTCTTCCATAGCCACCCCAGGGCAGGAGCAGGTGAGTCAGGGAGTGCTGGTCTGGCTGCTCCTCCAGCTCTTAAACAGAGAGGGAGGAAGAAGAGATCCCCTCGCCACAGAAAATGCAGGAATGCCGTTCCCAGTGGAACGGGGAAGGTGCAGGGGCTGGCAGTGGGAACTGGGAACAGATTGGGTTCTTTTCCACTGCACTTGTGCAGAAAACACAGAGGAACCTGCAGGTAACCCAGTTGGCTCACTGTGTCCTTTTTCCTTCCCGCTCCGGAAAGAAACAACGTGGCAACCTATTAGGTAGAACTAAGAGTAATTTTCCACCCGCCTCATCAGCTTTTTAATATTAAAGTCTCATTTTCTACACGTAATACATGCCATTTGTAAAGTCCTTCTAGCGCTGCATATTACAAGGATCACGCCAACTAATATAAATTGGGCAAATATGATGATTTTCAAGCCAGAGTAAATCAATTTGCTTAAGAGCTTTGAAGAATCTAATTTTTTTTTAATCAAGTCCCTGGTTCTAGAACAGAATTAGGACTATAAATCCTGGATTAGGAGACCATAAACAATGGATATATATGACTTCATGGTGGTTTAGCACCAAGAAGTACTAAATGTTTTTCCACGCAGAGATCCAGAGGAGTGCCCATTATATCATACCTGTGCTACAATCACACCTGAAACTACAGCAATCAGGGCTGAGGAAATTCTTGCACATAAGATCATAGTATCTCTTTTTTTTTCTCTTCAGGTTTTAATTATAGCCTAAAACTACTATATATATTTCCTTGAAATCTGGCTTATTTTGGGAATTACAACAACATGGGAAGATCTGTACACAAAGCTACCGATATGCTGGAAAAAAGATGCCACTGAATTTTTCCCCCTGGCAAGGTCAAGTCTGATTGTTAATGCTGGCAGGGAGAAGTCTGCTTTCTCAGGCTGCTTTCAGTGAAGCTCTGGTTTCAGAGCTTCTAATTGCAGCGTCCCTGACCTCAACACTCCTGGCTCTCGGCCAGAGAACTCCTATTTTAGGATTCCCAACATGCCTGCCCTCCTGGGCAGAGCTGTGCCCAGTGGGATTGCCTGTTAGCCCTGCTGGAGCTCTTCCTTCTCACCTGGCCACTGAACCCCAGGAGTTCTGTGCCTCCTCCCAGCCTGCCCGGCTTCTGGGATGTGTCTGTCTGTCTGTCTGTCTCCCACACAGCAAGTGTCTGTCTCTCCCAGACAGCTCTGCGGTTGAATGGGAATGCCCACACAAAAGCAGATATTCCTGAAGTTTCCTTTCCTTTGGTCAATCTAAAATCCCTTTCCCAGTTCCCCAGTTTCCAAGAGCTATATTGCCAACACTTGGGTTCTCCGTGCTGCTTCCAGAGATTCCTCAAAGCTCGGGATCCCAGATCTCTCCAAACTGAACGAAACGTGTTTTCCCTTGGTTTTTGTTTCACTCTCCCAAAGTGTTTTCCACCAAATCCATGACGTGCTGGTTAGTGATTCTGCATGGAAGTACAGCAAGGGAGACTGACCTCTCCCCTCAGCATGTGGAGTGGCACAGAGAGGGTTTATTGGGCCAGGGGTGGGGAATCATCACTTCAATAAATTTCCCTTCAGTTTACGGCCCTGTACTGCACAAACACAGTCCAGAATGAAAGTAAAAACACTGACTGTGACCTGGAAAAGGAGAAGTGAATTGTAATGGGTAATCATTTGTGTGCTTAAATTCTGCGCATCTTCTGAAAAACTGAAATTAATTGTGTAATGATATGTAACGTTCACTTCCAAACAATGGGTTCATCAGAGTAGTTGTAGTGAGGAGAGAGTACTCCGATTTCCTTATCCTTCCAAATGTGAACTGCAAGATGTTTACTGCTATAATATAAAGTCAGAATGAGAAATTATCACTGAACAGAGTATATTTCATACCCCCTTCTTTCCACTACATTCACTGATTTAGTGGCTAATTGGAGAAAATGAGTAGCTCTCAATGATTCTTCAAGCTATTAATGCAAATTGGCAAGTCTATCTATGACTCAGAGTTTGTATCATTAAATTTTGCCCGAGCCCTAATGAAGAACACAGGCTGAAGGAGCAGAGGGATTATTAGAACATTGAGAAAATCATGCAGTTCTGTAGCTTGGTGGAGTTTTATTTCATGGCAGGCTTTGAAGGAACTCTTTGTATGCAGTACTGAATTATCAGACTTCCGTATCCATATACCTATAGTATCTATATATCTTGTGTCCATATATATATATTCATACTGATAAGGAAGAAAGAGAAAATAGAGAAAATAGAGAAACAGCACCTCTACATTTTGCCTCTTTGAAGAGGATTCATGAGAGTTAGCAACATATCCTCTGATTAAATTTAAGTCGTTAATATAAACCCGGATGCACAAACCTATTTTATTTGAAAGGCCTCCAGGAACTGCTTAAAACTGTATTAGAAGATCACTGAGGTTCCCAGGACAGACAAGAAAAACTGGCACCTCATCCAATGGTTTACATACAAGTGCTCATTTCTACTTACTCTTACTCAAAAATAAGGGACAGTGACACAAAGAATGAGATAAGGGTGAGGCAAGCTTAGATTACTCCTCAAAAACAGCTCACACACATAATAAAACCTGTGTGATTTATGGTTATGTGCTAAAACACTGCTTCATGCAGTAAGATCATGATATTTTGGGGGCCTTCAAGTTCAATAACTGTTTCAGGATTTTTTTTTCTGCTCTTCCAGAACAGTAAGTTCCTGACCTAAATCATTATTCAGTGATACACAAGATGACCCCCAGAGGCACCTTCCAGAAAGCCTCTAACAATCCAAGCAATAAATTAATTGTTATCAATGAAATATGAGCGTGGCAAATAAATGTCTGCGAGCTAAATTCAAAGCAACCTGCTTG